GCTATGAAACGCTTTGTCTTTTAAATATATCACGCGAACGAATAGATAATAATTATTTTTAGCAATAGTAATCGTTAATGCAGCGAGGACGCTGAAAGAGGAATCGGGCATCCCATTTGCACCACAATGAACCTAAAACAACGAACCTTTATTAAATTCATCTTTTTTGTATTTTTAAAGCCTCATCATTTGGGGGCTCTCGCGCTCGCTGCCACATACACAGTATGGTAGGAATAGGGATGCATATGTGGTCTCAATCGCCATTTGAATAGTTTCTCCGTGGAGGGCTATTGGACTGGCATATACAGGGTGTCCAAAAAGTTCCGCCCTATTTTATGTCAAAAACAAATGTAAATTTAAATAAATTTTATTGTATGATAATTGATAAGTACAACATCCAGCATCTATAACATCCAATTCAATACAGGTTCAAAATAAATCTTTCTACAATTGAAAAATAGGACTTTATGATCGGGCGAAACTTTTTAGACACTCTTAGACAGTAGGTTGAAAATAAGGATGGATATAAGGTATTGGTATATAGATTAATATAAAAATGACGGATGTTCAGAGCTACTAAAGGGCTTGTAATCATCATGATAAAAAAAAAAAAAAACTTCAAAAGACAATTACCTCTGGGTAAAATAAATTAAAGTTATTAAATAAAACATAAAATTAATTTAAATAATATGACCTATCATTTGTGTTCTTAATATGTTTCCGAGCGACCGTTTATAGGTCGCAAAACGTCACATTAAGCGACGCTGAATCTATTTGCGGTAACAAACTAGCTAATATTTATGACGTCACACACTACAACCTGTTGCGTGATTATATACGCTCAATGTTTCCGGAAGGATTTTTACAACTTTGGATGCGTACGGGAATGACTTACAAGGCAAGTCAACTCTAAATGTGGCTTATGCGGCCATACATGCAGTTATTATAAAATATGGCCGATTGTTACCGCATTAACATGTTCTATTACATTTTATCTTGGGGAAAATTTCTATATATTCAGCATTGGAGGAAAGTTCTGTTAAAATCGAGCCATTTGTAAAGCATGACTACTCCAGGCTGATATTAAATTTGACTTCCCTATCGGATTTGAAAAATTCGCTTTCCAGTTTCTATCAAAAATTCGACTAAAAACTTAAAATAATAAATTAAAAATCTGACTCCAACACGACTGGAACGCTTAAACTTTACAGCTTTGATACCATATCAGGAAAGACTAATTAAAACTAATTAGATTTATGCATTCATTCCATTTCAATTCTCATCCATCAAAGGTTATCACTGAAGTGTGGCCGAGTAGAATAATCACGTTATAGCGTGACGATTCATTCAGTTTCTTACTGGAAACCATACGGGTTTGTTTTGCTCTGTCAGATTATATGACAAGAATTACTAGTTCAACCATAGTCAACATATGTTCTCAAACTGTCATTTGGTATATTTGTGAAAAATACCTTTTGTCTAGACAGAATTCTCAGGTGTATTCAACTACGGACCAAGCTATATCTTTTTATCTGAGGTTTGGCGTCCTTCATTCCCGAAATCCGGAGCATAGGACACAACCATTGTTTTAATGGTCAAGCGAGACCCGGAAGACAGCAATCAAGGGATTTATAATATTCGTGCCACCGAAAAATATATGGGAGCCATCTGTGAAACTGACTTATAACTCTGTCCAGAAAGGGATTGTTGAACTGTAAAATTACTTAAATTTAAAGTAATCGGTATGCACACATACAGCTTACTCTCATATGGGATACAGACGGGGTTTAAAGTAACTATAAATCATGCGTTTAAGACGGTTAATGTTCAGATAATTTTTGTTGATAAGTGTTTTGTTGATGACAAAGTTTGCGTAGGAGCCCGAGGTGTTTCGAATCCCCACTCTGAACAACTGTTTGGGCTCCTAGATTGAGCAAAATTCAAACCGAGATAAAATTTATCACAATGGGCCTGTTCGAATGTTGTATAAACGCATGGTATTTGAAAATATATGAATTGAAAAAAAAATACGAGCTGACAATTCGGTGACCATATCTCTTATTTACTCGTACTCGAGGCCCCTGGACGTTGAGGACCTAGGCTTCAACCTACCTAGCCTATTGGGAAATCCGGCCCTGGATGGAACCATTTAGCTTTTGTATCTTTTAATATTATTTTATATGACGTAATATATGACGTAAACGGAATTGACGCCATTTGGACATGTTTTCCAACACATAACTTAATATTTAAAACAAAAGAGCGATGCTCAAATACACGGAGAGAAAAACCAAAACAAAGTACGGGTATGCAATCTGTCACGGTGGCCTACCAGTACGGCAATGTTCACAACTGCCAGAAGCTGCGTAAATTTTGATGACGTCATCGCACACAAAAAAACGCCTATAAAGTCAACAGGAATCTTTGAAATAAATAAAAATGATAGCTCTCCAGTGAAATATACAATCTTCAACCACTGAAAATTTCAAATCAATTGGTATTATAGTTGATAGTAAAGTGACTTTTCCAATACAATAAGAAGAAAATACTAACAAGAACAACGTAATACCAAAACGATCCACATGTACATTTCGTGTTCAATAAAATAATTTGGTCGTCATTATGTACGTATATCAAGACACTCGGTAAATCAAAGGACATTTCATGTATTGTAAACTAACATTTTACTTCGTTTATACCACATATAGACATGGTTACCATCTGCCTAGGGCCAAAAATAAGCACGGGTGTCAAAAGGTTAATTTTTGGGGTTTCTTAGCTATGGCAGGAACGCAGAATAAAATGAGAAAGAAATCATACACGAGACTCCTCCTCACTCCCATTTATTTTATTACAAGTCGCTTTGCACGAAATTGTATGCGGCCCCAAAAGCCATTGAAAGACACGAAGGCACAGACACACGCAACCTCTGAAAAGTCATACTGTGGTTTCCCGCAATGCTTCTTGTGTTTTGTAGCCGTATTCTGGGCACCAATTGCTGTTTCCCCGATGGCCTTTATGTTGATATCGCTGTCGGAATAGCTACATTGACCATAGCGGTTTCACCCAGTTATTTTTATCTGGCCCTCCTGTATTGAAGGTTGCACACCTCTGGTCTTCACCATAAACAGTATCACCAGGAGCAACTATTGTAACTGTGTCACAGTTCGCCTGGAAATGCCGCAAACTCCACCGTTAACAAAAACAGTTCGCGCTGAGAATGAACAAGGCAGTGTCCGAGGCATGAAGTCATGGTGGAACGTGGATAATTGAAACGTCACAATAATAACACAGCGAAGTGCGAATACGCGTTGCGTTTGATGATAAACCCCCTCGTTCTCAATTCCACGGAGGCTTTGTACGCAAAGCATGAACGTGTCATCCATGTTTCTAAGACAAAAACCACGCAACTCAAAAATAAGCATTTTTCTTAGAAATAAGCACGATATGGTAACCCGGTATATAGGCCATTTTTTGTTACGGAAAATTTACATATAATACAGACTACTTCTTTCATCCAGTTACTATATCCCCAATGGCAAGCATGGGCAAAGATTCTAGTGGCAATATAAAAATTTGGAATAAATGCATGTATCAAATCAAATATTTTAAATTAAATTTGGTATTTTAAAAAAATAAAAAATACTGCCCTATTTATGATCATTCAATTACCGACTCGTTCCATCAAAAGGTTAATACGGGTGGGATTCGGGGGGGGGTCAGCACATGTTCTCGCGAGCCAGTTATTGGAATATCGTGATAATTTACCTGTATACATTATCTGGGATGAGGAACCCTGGTGGTGTTGGTGAGTTCGATACAAAAAAGAACCATTTCATGAAATTTCGAAAAATCCATTTATAGTATTCATTTATATACATAAAACATAAAACCAATCGAGTTATTGTGGAAGGAAAATTGTTATTCTGTACGTATAATTGTGGTACCTTGAATAAAAATCATCATTTTTAATTTTTTGATCACAAAATAAAAGTTTATATATACTATATGAAAAGTTCGATAGGAAAAAGCATGAATTGCTTTCATGAAAAATGAAGAGCCTGAAACTGATATTTATTTGGCTTAATCGAAGAAAGGTCGTGAGTTGTTTTGAAAAGATTACCGATATAAGGTTAATATACAAATAGGATAACGACTAACAAATTGGTTTACAGATAGAAGTCGATACAAATAAGATACCACCAGCTGAAGTTATAAAATTTGTTACAACATGTCTTAGAAAACTGACGTTATTTATTCCGAATAGAATTTAACGCCGTACGGTTTACACACCCAATGTCACTCTGGTCTTACATCACACAATGGGGCTTGCGAACATCGCCCTAAAAAATATTTTTCGAATAGAAATTTCGAAAAATCATTGAACCATCAAACAGTTAATCATATAGGCATACATACCCACTGGTATTTGAAATTAAACCGTGCAAAACATATGGGCAAAACGCATTCAACGCTCTTCATACCATATGTTGAAACATGCAATTTGATATATATGATGCTATTGATAACAAAGTTGAAAAATTTTGAACAATACCGTCGAAATAATTCTTACTCAAACTACTCACGTAATCCAGTTGGCAAGCAACAAAGAACAATATGTTTTTCCTCAATCAGATAGAATACATATATTCGAAGTACGGTGGTTATTACGGATATCAAGTAATTGTCCAGATATTATGTAGATTTAGATGTTCCTCATATTTTAGTCCAATATCGCATTCCCTTCATTGTTCTAACTATCAGAATGTCATGGAGGAATATTATTAAGATAAAAGAATTCAATTGGAACAATAAAAATAAAATCAAGTCAAAATACGTCAGTGGAAATGGATATTTTGTTATCAAATCAGTTAGTCTGAACAAAGTTACGGTAATGACTGGTTTACAACCTAAACCTAGACATGAAACCGAATTGCAAGATTCGAAATCTAATGTACCATAAAGTACAGGTTTTATTTCAAGTCAGAGTAATGTTTCATGATAGTCACAAACAATTGAGTGTAATTTGCGTCCGTACAACAGTGAAAAGCGCTCTCATTAGATTGGTTTAAAACAAAAAATATTATAACCGTATTACGAACAAGCATACCAAAAGGAGAAGACTGAAACTGTGTCGCAAAGTTTATCGCGATGCTATTGTTCAAAAATCGACATACTTTTATTTCAGTGGTTGGAAGTTGACACCGTCTCATAGATACGGTATGAAATTTACTCAATCGAACAGTTTGTTCAATAGATAATTATCGTTTATATATCGACGTATTAAAGTTATATCGTTATACAAAAAATGTTTGTCATTCATTTGATAATGATGTTGATACTTCACTTACTTGCCACAGAAGCGTGTTGGTCTGAGAAGCCACAAGATATTGACTGGAGCAAGGTAACTAAGCTATGGCCAACGAAATGTCTATCTCATTTATGAACGTTTTGATGGGTAAATTCATCTTATTCTGCGTTGAATTTGAAAACATTTATTTGACAAAGTGGAACGCAATTTGTAGGCATTACATTTGTTTTATTTCATCTTGTTTACTGCCTATTCTGCTTTCAGTCGACACAGTATGGATCAGATTTACTTATTCAATATTAAAGTCATAAAAAGTAGATCAGATACAATCTTTTTATCGACATGCACCTAACGCAAGAAATGGACAAATATGTAATATCCGATTACATTTCACATCTGCATCTTAACGGTTTCAACGAACAAAGCAAATAAGTTGGAATATTCAAAAATTTTGTTTTATCAGCTGACGGGAAATTGGTATAATAGTCTGGTCACACATGACGATTGGGCTCTATCAAACAAATGTGTTCTGGTCAACGTGTGGAAAGCAACAGATAATGGAGTCACAATCAAACTTCATCCTTTTCCTAAACATGGGTAAGATGTTTTGTCGTGGCGTAAGCTTATCGGCGAACTTCTCGCAAGTGAACACATTTTTGTTATGCGGTTGTGCTACCAACTTCTAGAAAAATGCGTTCACCAACAGTCGATGAGGTTTAATTTAATAGATTAATTTCAACTTATAGTTTGGTAAAAGACAGCATCACTCATGAGCTACTAGAAGAGAAAGAGAAACCTGGATGGTATCATATAAAGAAGGACTCTGGTAAGGCCGTTATAATTGATTAATTTCTTTAACACTCTGAAAATAATCTATCGAAAATCGTCTAAAATGTTGTACCAATTGTATCGAAACAACATTAAATCGAGTGGGTAAAATGAAATGGCATGAAAGAAATTGTGCAAAGCCAACAATAAATCTGCTTATCTTTTGTTGAATGCAGTGTGTGGTATAATATACGGATACAAGTGTGAACATTATGATTGTAACATGCTGTTTCAAAGTAACGTATACCAATTGCTATTCATATTTCATGTTTTTCTTTCCGCCGACTCTTTCAAAAATCTATTTGTTTCTGAAATATTGGAATAGGTGTTGAACTACTGCGTTATGGTCATTAAAATATTAATATATCGTATATATGTTCGAAATTTCCTTAGTTGGATAATTATGGCCCTCATATGTTAACAGGACAACAACAGTATATTTGAAGAAAAATATAGTCATGTTATTGTTTATGAATGTCATATTAACAAGGCCTTTTCTTGTTGCAAATGTGACTGATATCATTTACATTTGAATATTCGCGCTCTTAGCAAACAACATTTACTGACTGAAAATCAATGATGTTGATACTTCTAATGACTGATATAGTTATAGTTATATAACTATTTAGTTATAGTTATATAGCCATACAAATATTCATTTTATTTCAGCGCTTCAAGATATTGCAATAGTCGTTGAATCTGTAACAAAGTCGGAGTCAACCATTCCAATTGCAAACTTAATTGAAGGTAATGAAATACTCCAAGTCTAAAATACCACGGAATTAAGCTTGTTGCTTTCTCGAAGGAAAGCGAATTGGTGGATTGACTTTAATTTGAGTAACGTAATCTCGAGAAATATGTTTTTCAATTTCACTACCATTAGCACCACAACGTTGAAAATGCAATTATCCTAGAGGTGTTATTGTTATACCGAAAACTACGCAGTGTTGTATAAATAATATTTTGATTTTGTAATTTTACATGAAATAAGCTCGAGCCCAACTTTACATGGAACCTTTGACTTTCGTGACTGATTACTCTTCATATCTTCTGGCAATGGCATGTAATAAAGATGGAGGTAAGACATAGAATATATCATGATTAAAAACTAACATCGTCAGTGAGCCATACAAAGTAACTGTTTCATACTTCACAAGAAACCGTTGCGTGGATTAACACTCGCGATCGCACTCCAAATCACGCGGAGAAAAGGATATTGAGAATATTAGCAAGATTTCATGGAATAAAAAAGAAGATGTACGAGACGAAATGTAACGAGATCAAGTTAGTTGCAACCTCAAGCAACGACGAATACCACGAATAAATAAACAGGCAAGGATCAAGATTAAAAACCGGAAGGTTTTATTTTCAACTTTTTAAATGCTTAAATATAAAACAACACTCTCATCATACATGCCTGTTTTTGAACAAAAGGGGGACCTATGGATTTCTTTGCTTACTTTTTGTTTCTTTGAAAACGATCTCATACATTCAATACTAAGAGATGATAGAAGTCACTAATTATTGGAAATAGTTTTTTCGAATTCTACAAGGCCCGAAAATTCATCCAACGTTTTCCTATTTTAGTTTGGTTTTTGAGAACACTTTGCTCTCGTGTCATACCTATTTATAGTGATATCAACAATTGAAACTCAAATTCTACACTAATTTGAAAGAATTTGTGAAAAACGAAGTAATTATTCCGAAATTTCACGTATCACAAATTTCATAGGAATCAATTTAACAATCGAATTTTCAAAAATACGATTTTGTTGTTATCGAATTGCAGTATCTTTCTCAGATTATTATCTATTATTGACCCTTCTAACCCAATCTAAAAACAAGCCGGCATAGTTAGGTTCCACAATCCACAATGCACATTTGAGATGCAATGAGAGTACGTTACAATTGATACGACTTCAATGAAAAATAAAAAAAATTCTAGAAATTTCTGTTTTAATGATGCTGACTGATGTAGAATAAAATCAATTAGAAAGTGGGCATTGATGTAATGTCATGATATTATGTTGGTTTTTGATATTTCTATCGTTTATACCAATACATGTAGACCAGGGGTGTGCAATAGGCGGTTCGCGGGCCACAACCCGACCCGCTAAGTCTCTTAGTGTGACCACTGACACTTGACAACACAGATTCTTCACCATCAAGCATAAAATCCTAATCTGATAGTTTATGTTTGAAAAGTCGCTCACATTGGTTAATGGACGTACGCAATGTTGTCTTGCTCTTTTCGCTGCGTTTCAACTTTCGCCGTTTTGCCCGATGACTTTTTTACCGTAATGCTAAGCGATAGCCGATTTCGTTTCTTCTTGTGTAGGTCTGAAGTTGGTTATGGGGCCCACTGGCAAATATGTTGCACACCCCTGATTTAGTCTGATGTATTTCGTTGTCAATGTGAATAGACTAATTTCAACTGTGTCTTGATTATACAGTCCATATACGCAAAAATAATTGACGTTGTCTACAACACTAGAAAATCCCGAAATCACGAGCTAAAACGAGTGCCCTGCACCGCCGCTGCACGCAATAGTCTGACGGCTTCGCACAAATCAAGATATATACTCAAGCCTTACATGTACTTGAAACCGTACCTGGACGCTTGAAGTCGTCCGTGTTGAGCTGCGTAACAGTTTTTTTCATATAGTACAAACTAATACAGTTTTTAATAAAGCAATAATGCTTAGTTTTAGATGTAAGTACAATAAAAAAGTAGATTTACTCATTCATTTTTACCACAGTTACTTGCATCGTACATAGTCTCCACGTGCACATTGTAGTTGCTATAGTTGCAAATATAGATACATAAATATATATATATACATGTACAGGAAAATGAACTGATTTATATTATTTGAAAGCGAAGTTGTTACACACCTGAAGAAATAATTTGTGTTTCTCATCTTCCTACCGTATAGCATTCCTGAGTGCTCATGACCCTGCTCAATTTAGTTTAAAATTTACATTCGGTCTCGTAACCTCGGTGCTTTTCCTTATTTTGTCGCTTGCATATCAATTCATTCCATCTATTGTGTCTGCTTTTCACTTGGAAAATATGCGCCGCGTATCTTTCTTAAAAATGTATAAGTAGGCCTATCCCAAATTCAAATCTCGCGGCGCGCTGTGTAGCAGTATGCATTGTAATTGTACTGTACATCTGAATCCGACAGAGCTTCAACCGCATGTAAACCAATACGTACGTCATCAATGAATGCATTGTATTGATTAACACGCACAATTACATACCCAATTATACTAAATTGGTATTTCTAATCGGGGATTTGATTACGACTTATCCTTAATTATCAAATTGCTCATCTTATCGGAGTGTCACATCGCGTGTCGTCCGGTAGATTTTCATCAATGATGTTTGTTTGAGGAAACAACATTGTTGTTGGTAAAAATTGAATATAAATATTATATATGAAGGAAAGTTAGTGCATTGAGCATTGCTGTTCATGAATATGACATAGTGATAGATTGGGCTGGATCGAGGTTATTGAATAGAGATTACCGATATATAGGCCTCGGGTATCGATATCCGATATATTCGGCTGTTTAATTTGATCCAAGTTGTTTTAAGTATAAGTTAGAAAACGAATGTTGATAAATGGAATTTTTTTACTGGGGAGGGAGCATGTTCGCGGCCCACTCGCGGCGTCACCAGAATGTGCGCACCTTGTGACGGTTCCGCGAACGCATATTAGTGTATATCGTGCTTAACGAGCGTGAGCATTTTTTTATTGGGAACGGTAGACTGTGGTAATACAGAAGTGAATCGTATCAGTTGGTATTTCAATTCACGTTGAAATTGAATCAAGAAGAATGGATCATCGTCACAGGACATGGGAAATCTAGGACAGTCCCTTTGCCGTTACCGGTACCCCAATACAGGTACCGGTACTGGTAAGTAACCACATATGATTTTGGAAAGTTTATTTATGGGGAATGATAGACTGTGATACTTGATCTAGTATAGTAATACAAAAGTGACTCATATCACTTAGTATTTTAATTCACGTTGGTATTGAATTATGAAAATGAATCATCGTCACAGGACCTGGAAGAGCTATGACAGTCGCCGTATCGTCACGATACCCCGATAATACTGGTAAGTTACCGCATATGGTATCTCGGGAATTGGTGATAAATATTTCGTTTTGCCTTCCGTGTCCACATATTCGAGTATAGCACTCCTCTTCAATATAACATTATATTAGACAACGTGCTATGAGTTTTTCAATCAAACACCGCTTTTCCCGGAGCATGTTCACAACGAAACGTCCACAGGAATTGCAAGTACCATGTAATAAAAGTGTCGAGTTAGGGCTGGTAATGGTTAACCTATTTTAGATGGTTAATGGTTACGATTTATTTTGACCGTCAACTGACATCTTAGGTATGAAATACCTTCTTACTGTATAATTTCGTCGATCATCGCAAGTTCGCAACCTTATCTCTCTCCAAAACAATTGAACCACGGTACTGAAATCGTGTTTTCTCTTCAATGCGCCGTGATTTGTATTAATTAATCAAAGTTATTGCGTATATCAATGTATATTAGAGGCAACTTAGTCACTTATGATCGGCTCTACAAGAAGCCTATAACGCCAGGGTTTCTTAGAGTAATAATGTTGCTATTGTTTGGATTTTTAGAGTAAAGTATATTGTTATCCTGCCTGCTGTGTTGGGGTTAAACTTTAACAACCCAATTCCAACCAATATAGGTAATTTATCCAAGCAACAACGAATCTAATATATAACATATTTTTTAATATTTCGAATTTTTTATCGTAGATTCATTTATTACTAGAAACATGTACTGTATTATGGCGTCGGGGTTTCGAGTGCCATTGCGTTTTATCACAGCCTTGAGTTTCTTAAAGCGCTTTGAAATTCAATACAATATCCAATCTTCTTGGTTGGAGTGGGTATCTTACCGGCTATTGCATTGTAAGAGAATCCTTATATTGTTTTGCTAATTTTCATGGGAGGACTATTGCTCGACTTATTCTGGTATAATGATAAAATTAAAACTGCATACATGTTTGTTACTTGTTTGTTTCACGGCATAAATATAATTCGATTTTCTTAGAAATCAACCATGTTATTGTAAACGGTATCTTATATTCTGATAATCTTATCAAACGGTCGTTCCGGTACAGTATTGGTATGTAGCTAAAACTGTAACAAACGTTACAAGTCATAAAAACAAAACATTAATAAGGAAATATGACGTGAAATTCTAACGTTTTAGTATAAAATGTGAAAAAAAATATCCAACACATCAAAAAACTGATATAATAAATACAACTGCTCGTCTATGAATGCACCTTCGTCAAATTAGAAAGCCAGAATGTTTACATAATGATGTTTCTCACACATACCTAGTTAATATATCGTTGCATAATCTTTGTCGCTGATGCACTGTCCGAGTTTTGATAATGAATTAAACTAAATAGGTAACACTCAAACATTCAATGTCTCATTCGTGTGTCGTTCATGTACAGAAATAAAGTCACGAATTGTAGCAAAAATATTCACATATATATAAATACATATTAATGTACTTCGAGTGCGTGTGGAACATATCGTATTCAAAGAGATGAATCACTTATGAAATTATACCAAAGTTGAATTGAATCCCAAAACGAGTAAGAAACTACCATAGTCAGTAAGTCTTTAGTCATCGTTGTGTGAAGCATATCATTACAGCACAGAGTCGCTTGTTGAATTGAACCCTACCAATGGCTGATCACTGGCTTCGATGTCTACAGCTGCTGAATTCATATTGAACCGATTTGTCTCCTTTCCGTCCCCTTCTGACTGATTCAAACGTGGTGGCGTCAAGGAGACGTCATCAATCCCCACCATCTCTTCGTGGTTGTTGGGCGATGTCATGGGATCCGAATCACGGTCCCATTTTGCGATCGAGTTCCGTCCCTCGCGGGTGTCACGAATTCTCAGCGTCACCAATGTGTTGTTTGTTCGACTTAGAGAAACACTCGATGCACGACGATCTGAAATAATTATATACGATTTAACAGTGTTTAATCAATTTTGTTTTTCAGTGTATTGCAAACATGCATGAGAATAAGATGTATTTTGCCCTCTGAACAATGAGAAGCATTTTTCTACTATGAAAATAAGCAATATGTGCAAGATAACTTGGTAGTTCTGCAAGCTTTCGCCATAAAGTTTGACTGAGCCGATGATATGAATATATTGAATAGGTTTCTGCTTTTTGTTTCGTTAAGTTTTAATCCTATTCTTATATTCTTGTAGCGAAAGTTACCCAAAGAACATCATAACGAGTATGTCTCAAGTTCTCGCCAACGTATTTGATATAAATATATTATACATGTAAATCGTGTATCTGACAGAAACAGTCAAAACGCATAACAGGCAAAAATAGTGAAACATCAACTACAAATTGTAACAAGACACCAACAAGCATTTTGCTCACTCGATTCATTAACACTAAATGGTTTCGATTTTCGTGCCATGATGCAAATCCACATTTGAGATGAGAATGTAGCACTGAAAATATTCCAGATTCCCAAAACATTCAAAACGAATTTGCCAAAACAGCGAAAAATTTTGAAGCACTCATGATCACTCACCCCTCTCGTTAAAGTTCTTGGGGATTCGCTACGTACCCTTAGTTGCAAGTCACGATGCATTTGCATCTTGCATATTGGCATCTTGTAAAAGCGCAAAGCAGTAATAAAACAAATAAAAATATAATTTTGTTGGGGAACTTCATCACACTTCGTGTAAATTAAGTTTGAGTTGGCAATTAAAACACACAAAACAAATAAAAATGTCTTGAAATGAAACAAAAATGTCAAAAATTCCATTTAGAAATCTTATAATGCAAATTTTGCAGTTATTAACCAGTTGAAATCAGATAAAAATGGCTGCTCCTAAATAAGCAATTGGTTGTTTTATTTCGGGAAATAAATATTTAATGTTGGCTACATATATGATTATGAGTGTATCTGTTTTAGTTCTTTCTTAAAAGTAGCGACTAGTACGTGTATCATAATATGCTACCCATATATATATATATAGATATGTATATATATGTACGTATGAAATGTTCCCATTCAGTGATGAAAGATTTTAGCCGAGGCGCAAAAAAGTATTTACTTACTCATTCCAATTTCTCTTTTCTGCCAGAAACAGCACGGGAAATTGATTTGCCATTTCCACGAATTGACCTTTTTCATCAAAGCTCGTTGAATTTCGTTGTTTGCAAAACAGTATATTAAACAAACAAAGAAACCCTGTCAAGTGTATTAAGTTAAATTTACTAAGCCAACAGCGTTGCAAACAACGAAACTAATTACTTCGCTCGCAAATAGACAAAAAGTGTTCGAGGGCCGGTACCGTCAGATCAGATAACTAGCGTTCGGTAATCACCAATAGCACAAACTGCAAAATATGGCTAATTCAAATAAGACAAAAGTACGGTAACAAGCACATATGCTTGTAATCTTAATTGAATAATCGTTTATACTATATAAGTATATGGAAATCACTCCATTGCATAATTACGAATGTCGTAATGAAAATAGCTGCAAATTGTTGTACATTTCCGAAGCTAGTTCTATTCAACTTGTTAAATATTGTTGTGGTTTTAGATAATGCGCATAATGATCGTAATGTATTTTCTGATGCTAACAAACACAACAATAAAATACCTGGAATGACTGCATGAATGTGTTGAAATAAAGAAATACAATTTCTCCTGAAGATTCAGCTGGCGGACTAACGAAAAATATCACGTAGGTTACTCCGAGAAGTGGAAACAAGAAAACTGCTGCTTTGACAGCTTTGGTGTATTGCGCAGCTTCTCCGGTTATTCCGCCGGATACATATCCGGCTCGAAGTTTTGTGAATAGTATCCGCACCACGTTGCCCAGAATGATTGCGTTGACCTTAATAAGATTAAATTTTTCCCTTTTTTTGTTTTATTATATATATTGTTTATATATTCCATGCCTTAACTTAGTATTGTAATATTCTTTAAATATCTCAGAAGGCTGTATTTTTATCCATAGCTTTGACCAATAGGTAAAAGCATATAATTACTATTTTAATATTCCCATTTCAATGAAAATATTCCTAGCATAATTTTGTATTTTACTTATAGTACGATAAAGTCACAATCCTTTCAAATCCTATTTTCAGTTGAATTTGGAGTTTTTCCGAATATTCGCTATATATTGCCCAAAGTAATTGAGAAACTCGACTTACCAATAATATAATTATAATGGGTATTTGCAAAAAGTAATCAACCATCTTTTCCAAATCTTTATTTGGCATCCAACACATAGTATCTTCTTTTTTGTATTTCAGAATTGCCCAAAGTAGTGTTAGTGGAACCGGTAAACCTATGAAACAGATAAAGCTAATAAAATATAGAATACAGTGAGGAATAATGTTTGCTCTGTTTATTAGAATGACTATGCGGAAATTCGCATTACTTATGTGGAAGGGTAGAAGGTACTATAGAACTTCTATATTTGATACACGAATGAGCCATAGCAATCATATCTCTGACGTTTGACGAGTCAATATATTTAAAATAATTTTTTGTTGTCAATGCCAAATAAATTGACGAAAGTACGGTCAAATAAAGATAGTGAAAATTTATCCTCATGAAATATTCTAGCTGTGTTAACTGGTGTAACAAGTAATAATATCAAAAAAATTTCACCCCATCCTATCGCGAGATAGACTCCAAGTTTTATTCTGTCATATGAATAAGCTAGCACGACCATCATATGTAAGTATAGCCCTTCAACAAACATCCAAAAGTAGTTGGTTGCTTGTGTGTAATTGAATATTGTCACCAATATACGACAAAATACCTGTAATTCAACAAAATCCGATTAATGCATAAAAGGGTACTTCGTGAGCGTATGTATTATTAATATATTGCCTTTGTCTGCTCCATGTTTATAATAATATACTTCACCATTAATTTCATGTTGATGCGGCTCGAGTAAAATGCAGTTCATTTTCGCGTCCCAAGGAAAGAAAGACTAAAATGAGATGACTCACGGCGTTACTTTGTCTTGATTGATAACTTATAAATAAATGTAGCAGTATCCAGAAAATATTTCGAAGTATAAAAGATGCAACCAAATTCCAGTGAATGATGTTTCTCCAACATCGGATGCTCCTGGATTCAAAACAACGCATGGTCGTATTCAGTATAATGATTAATTCGAAGATAGGTTTTGCAAATTATATTTAATACCAGATTTATTTATTTTCGAAGATATCGTTTGTATTAGTATGTATGTATTAGTACCAACCTGAGTATCCAAAACAAAACAAATGCAATGACAAGTGTAAAGAGCGCCAATCCTCTTCCAACGTAAGATATAATACGCAAATTGTACAAATGAGATTTGCATGCTTCGACCTAAAATTGAAAAGAATTGTTAACGCACAGAAGTGCAAATTCGAGTGTTGAATTTGTCAGATTTAGATGAATAGTCTCTTCATTCACTTGCCTTGCGAAATATATAAGCTATTTTAGTTTCAAAATTGGTACTCACATCTATTTCTTGGTCTTGAGAGTCCTCCTGGAATGTACTGCACATTGAATCCTGAATTTGAAATACACTACTTATCAAACAATATAATATTTCAAATTGCGCAAGAAAAATTAAAAAAAAAGTATATAGCACTAGCAGTTATATTCATAGCCGATAAGACGGCTTATCCATATGGCGAACCACGGCCTCTCGTCCGGTTACCCTTCCAAGTCGGGTATGGGATTAGTTTTTACTGTATTGTTTGTTTTCGGAAGCATGGACTTGGTGGTGGAGGAAGCCGTAACCGACCAGCGGTTACGTGAACCACCCAACGACGGCGAGGAGTCCAGCAATCCTCTCGCACATAACCATCACTGCATGGGATTCGAACCTGCAAACCCATGCAGAGTGACTAGAGGTGCGGTGGCGAGCGTATTCCTAACGCTTAGCCCGTTGAGCCACACCGCGGCGCCTATTTCAGTCGTATATTAACTCACCATATTAAGAGGTTTGCATTCTGAATAATTCGACCTTGCTTCCCATGTTCCGTTCACATCGCAATATCTTGTAACATTCTCTGTTAAACAGAATTAAAATGAAGTATTCTGACACAGCGGTAACGCGACGATGGTGAACCCTTTTAGTGGCCCTTTTGTATGAATTAAATCAGGGGTGTGCAGCAGGCGCATTCTCCTCTCTCGCCTTTCCCACATGGAAAAACTGAATTTTTAGTGTGGCCCGGCTATATGTCCGAAATTGGTGATATGGCCCACAGTCAAAAAATATTGCCCCCTGCCTTATCCATTATTTTACTGATGCCAGAAGTCATTTAGAATATAATACAGTTTTGAAATACTGAAATAAAATTAGATATTACACATTAGACCTTATCTCAGCGACACAGAAGACATTCGGGATATAATACTTTGTTGGTGTACAAGTATACAGGAGGTCAATATACATTTCAAGATATATTAGCGATAATTTTGCAAAAGAGTGACCAATGAATATGAATGCACTCCCCTCCACATTATCATAAATTGTTCGGTGTTATACTTTTTCCTGGTTGTATATATAGTAAATACTCTAATTTCATTTTGTCTACTTGAAATATTTTGACTTTGTGGAATTAGATTACCAACTTTAATACTATAATGATATAAAATCGATACATAACTGCTTATATCATACGCAATTCCAGAAATAGAAGCTGGACAGCTTGTGCTTGCGGTTTCTCCACTCTTGGTAGGAAAATAACATGTTCCAATTCCATCAACGTATACTCCACATTTGTTTTCTATAAATTAAATTGAAAAAAAAAGTTTCAACGAATTTACAGTAAACTTGTCATATCAAAGTTTTGAAGTACCAAATTTTATTTAATTCGTAAGTTCAATATAGCTATAGCCAAAAAATACATGGACAATGGTGGGAATCAAAATTACAAGACATAAGAAAGACATGGGCAGTGGTACGAATTATAAAATGTATCGAACTCATTCATCAACAGGATTCTTCATTTCAGAACACCACGCCGAACTTATGCTCTAACGTTTTACTTCATATATGCCAGTAAGTATATCACAAGTAAGCTATACTGTATTGCCATGACTTGATTTACATAAACCAAACTAATACATTACTGTCGAAACGCAAAATATAACGGTCGGTAGTCGTCAGTTGCGGTGCACGTAATTACCCCATTTGCTGCTGTCGCCTAACGTCTAATATAAAAAAACGATAAGGATATCGCTGATTATCACGGCATTCCAAAAACGGGGTCAAACGAACCCGTCAAATGCATAATGCTATATCAGATATAAGTACTGACAAGCTCTTGACTTTTATCAAATTTGTTACAATCTCAGACTGCTTATTTAAATATGCAAATACTCGCCCTGCGACCGTTGAAGTCGACATATAAATAAAAGAATGCAAGCTTCACGAGTTGTCTCCATGTTGTTCAGTACAATCTGTTCTATCAAATCGTTCGACACTCCGTGAAATCTTTCCCTATGTACAGATGTTTATTAAAATATAGATAGGATGAACTTGAAGTTTGAATTGGTAAAATAACAACCCTATTTCAAAAATTGCAATTGTAGAACTCAGTCAGAGTAGCGATTATACGTAATTTATTGAAAGTTAGGGTCCCAGATTCATATAAATTATCGCCAAGACGAAAATTTGAATGTATTGTTTTTGCAAATTTTGCGAAAAACTAAAAATTCCATGAAATCGTAATATTATCTAATATGTATAATAGGGTGTCAATTGACAACGTCAATCATGTTAAATATTAATTCTGGTAGTGAAGAAAAATAACTTTATTTAAAATATATCATATATCCAGCTGTTTGCCACAAAGCTATGTGAAGCGTCGATTTTAGCTTGGAGTGAACATGATTGAGCTATCGAAGAGCAGGGAATGAGAGTAGGTGGTCGTGATGACTTATGTATTTCCATACATGATCAAGTTTGAACACTAATATATACAACGTAGTTGTTACCTCAGTTGAGCACATGTAGAAAACAATTTATCTGTGGTTGATTTGGTGACGTCATGTTGTTGTGTCGATGTGATTTCTAACAACTTTAAACCTGCAAATAAGGGATGAAAGTATAATTTACTATTTAGATTTAGATCACAAACATAATTCGTATTGCACAAAATCTCACACCTCTTAATTGATAGGAATTAATTCCATTTCCAGGTAATTTGGTACTAATGAGTCACTTATGAGTTTAGTCTTCGTTATTTTAGTGACGAAAATCGTCCATTAAATCGAAAAACAATTCAAAAGTTTTTCTCTTCTCTGTTTTTCAACATTTCAGATGTATGTGAGATAAATATTTCAAATAATATTGCTCTAAAATTCGGATGAGAATGCTTTTATATTATAGTATATCACTGTTAAAATTAACTTACTGGTTAACAAAGGTTTTACTGAAGAAAGAGTACTAGCGTTTTTGTTTGGAACATCGTCAAACGATGGAGGCGGCGTCGTAGTTCCTGCAGCAAACTATAAAAATAAAATTCACCATTGTATACTGCAGGGGGGCCAACCTGCTTTTTACCGCGATCGACTAAAATCTTCAAAATAGCTCGCGATCGACTGTTCGGTAATAAGGTCATAAACAAAAATGAATGAATACTAAATAAGCAGATAACTGCACACATGCATACAACAATTCCACCGCTGCCAATAAGCTCGGCTCTGCGGGCGCATTCTGAATGAAATTGCCACAAAAATTTGAATTTTTTATATTCCATTCAATTTTTTAATTTGAATATTCTGATCTCAATCAAGCTAAACGTATCTTAAAACGACAAAACAAAATTCACCATTGTATACATTGTTTAGGATTCAAATTAGAAAACGCAAACGTTGAGTGGTTAAACGGACAGAATTTGGATTTCACTAGTCTTCAATTATATTAAATTCTTGATTTTCTCTGCTTACAGAACCTTTCAATTTACCTGCAATATTTTCAGACTTAATCTCAAATTGTTCATTTTATTGCTTTACAATAGATAATAATAGATATATATTAAGGCGACAACTAAAATTGCGATCCTTTTATGCGGAAATTGCAACACGGAGAAACCAATTCATATAAATTTAATTAACTTGTTAACTCCATTTTCTGCACATCAATAAAAAAAAAACGTTCAGCGAAATATTTTCTGACAAACGAAAGTATATTTAAAACAAGCCCTTCAACATGAATACAATCTCGTCACCAAGAAGCCTATTGAAGACATTAATATAGTAAATTAAAATGGATGGTACTAAGTAACGAAACAATATTGACATTTTACTAATACGCCTTAAATGTTTAATTCGGAGGCCCAAACCGAAACAATCTGTGGAATTCACAATTCGGAGGATATATGCGTCTGAGAATACGTTGTTGCCTAACGGCACACCATGGACCTCGTAAAAAAGTGTTACGTTATTCTGACGAAAATAACGAAAAATATCTCATAGATCTCAGGCTAAAAAATCACTTACTAAATAGTTATGTTCAAATTGTCCGCTAGAAAACTGTATAACTTGCTATTTAGTGTTAATATAATATTTACTATTCAACTATATTTATTTATTAGTAATTAACCGGATATTCCGAACATTCCCATTCTATCCGAATCATGAAGAATTCTTATATTTGGTTTAGCTTATTTTCATCTCGAATATGGAAATATAATATTGCACGATACGTTCAAAATTCTTAATTTTTATGACGGCGAAGTTTAACGACTATTTCAGTCATAAATCGATGATTCGCAGCTTAAATCAGATTCTCTTCGCAATATGCAATATTAATGCGACGTCTGCTGACAAACCAACCTTTCGTCAACGTGGTATTAATAAGGCCATACTAAGGTTTCGAATTACTGGATGTAAATTTTTAACTCCAACAAAATGAAATTGGTTACATTATAGGTAATATATTAATTTAAGACTGAAATTTAGTGAAAATGTTGTGATGCTAATGAATGAGTTATATACTGTAACTTCATTTTAAATTCAGTATGAATGAATTGAATTTGCAAGTCACCGTTTCTGCAAAATTATCGCTGGTCATTGATTTACAGTTTTATTTCTACGTTTACAGGATAAAATCAAAGAATCCTTCTGATTCAATCAATTTATGACAATTATTTTGAGACAAAAATTACTTTATAAAAACATATTCACAATTTAGCACAGCACCTCAACCTGTACGATTAGCCACCATGGCTAGGTAGTAAATTTGGGTTTATTGATCAATAGATCGAACAGTGATATATCCTTGTACATAATATAATTAGTTTAGCTTTACGTGAATCATCATGGCCTCTTATATCAGTATCTGGTGAACGTGTTTGTTCAATACAAAAGTTTATTCCTGTTTTGACATTTTTTTAACCAGGTGGTTGTTTATGGGATAAACCGTTATTATATGAAAATATTCAATTAGACGGCTTGTATATTTGTTCTTTAGTGGAATGCTGCAATATTTTTGTTAAAAATATCGACGATTCCGTGATTCCGCCGCATAGACAACCATCCCATGGGCATTGTCAGGTTGAATAAAATATATCAATAGAGAATAAAATTGAAATAACGAGTTTTTACTTCGAATGTGACGTGGCGTTTAATACACAATTTTGACGTTTGAACCAATCAATAAGTTTAACTATTTTAACTGGGATTTATTTAGATCGCTTGGGAATTCGCAAAAATCTATCATGTTTTATTTACAAATATATCTATAGTCAGTATTATACAATATAGAAAGAAAATTACTGTATATATAGGCAGTAATCTGATGGTCGGCAAGGTTACGTTTTGCATCGAAAGCGTTCGATTTGCCAAATGTGAAGTATAGGTAAATCGAATTGGAGGCACAAGGACATCATCCTACTTCGGAAAATTTTTCACAATGCATGGTACTTGGTAGAAAACAAGATTCTGACACTTGATTTGTGATTTTTAATGTATTTCGACAAATGATTTTTATTTATTACACATAAATTATTTATTCATTTTCATTATCTCATTCATAATTAATTTTCTCAAGCTGAAAGAACAATAGATTTCTCCGCGCCATAACCACTTGAAAATTGACCACTGATTTACGTATGTATACAAATAGAAAATTGAAATATTGATCAAAAACAATTCGAATGTTTAAATTATGTGGTGTTTGATGTTATATTGTATAATTTGTATTTTATCGTTGTTTATTTCGCCCTTGAGCGTTGTAAAGCGGCGTAACTCAACACCCAATGGTGTCCTATAAAATAAATTATTTATAATTGCAATACACTAATAAATATCAAAAACAATTTATGTTTACAAAACAGTGCACGTTAAATTACACATTAGGTTTAGATTCAATAACACTCAAATATATTGGGTAAAACATTTATATGGAGTCGAATATGTTTCTGAGATGGGACACTATAAGTGTTGCAGTAATTGTGTCAAATACAAGTTTACTGAATCACCTGAGTGTAAATTGATTTTAGTATTAGTATGTTTTTCTCATAAATACAGTCGTATTATCTGTCAATGGATCAAATCTTTGTTATATAATTTGCATAATGACGTATTTTCTATTGCGAACATAGCGAAAAGATTAAAGAATGCCCAAGAAATATGAAAAAAAAATAAAAATAGTTCTATGAGTCAATATAGTTATATTTCTCATCCCTTTTAGTCAAATTGCTTCGCCATGCGGGTGACATATTTCACATATTCATGTTATATTCGCTTTTGCATAATGCTTGAATAATTATTGTAGAATATTCCAAATATTGGAAATTTTGGCCATCGTTACATCTGCCTGGTTATATACGAGTCAAGCATATTGGGCTCGATTTATGGATAACATAAACATGACTTATGATAATTGTTATTTTCTCAATTGTTTCCGGAGAGACAATTTTTGGAATACGGTTCTCTAATTTTCTCATTAGCTTGACGTCGGCATGTCAGATTCACGAAAAATAATAAGAGCGTGGAAAAAATACAAATTCAAGAAAATGAGTCAAAATATGACTACAGAGTAATTATGTAATGAGCATTTCATAACATTTTTCATTTTGGCTTGACTTATGCCGGCAGCGAAAATACATATCGATTTTCGAGCGGATGCTCCTCGCCCTCGGATCTCACCCATACACCAATATTGCAAAAATTTAGTTTATCAACTTTTTAGTGTGGTCCACAGATTAAAATTGTAAATTTTTTAGAAGTATTACAGCCGGCCAATACATGAAAACAGTTGTGGTTAATTTAGAAACGTGGCACGAAGCAAAATTCGTAACTTATATCCTATCCTTTGGGCTCACCATTGTTGATTCTTCCGATCGACCATTCATTTCCCAAATCGAAAACTGTTTCGGCCGCAAATGTCCTTTAAATGGATCATATATGTGCCATACGCGATATAACGATTACATATTCTGCTCAAATATGAAAGGATAATTTTCTCAATTGTCATTGCCAGAAATTCATTTTGTCCTCGTTGTTTATAATGTTTTGGCTCGAAAATATTTACACGAGCAACGTTTCTATCAAGGACATTCCGCGGAAATTAGAAGTGGCATGTTATTGTAGACTTGAAAAATACCGTTAGGGAATTTCGGAATAATATTACAGTCACAGCTTTAACAATTCACTGCGAACATTCTTGTTTATATTTGCAACATCATGTCGGAATAGTTACATTCTTCCCAATTATATCATTTTGGTTTATCCCTTCCGTGTATGTCTTTTCCTTTCAGGCGAGTCGCTTTTATGCAAAACAGACGATGCGGAAATAGTCGCATTATTGAAATCCATTTTGAAACTTTCTGAAGTAAAATAACATCAGAATATACTTCTTACCTATTTAAAAAAAAGGAATTACTGCGAGATGAAATTACAAAAAATTCGAAAACATGTGAAGTGAACCATGACAAATTTCCGATTGGGCACATATCCCCAAAGCGGCCTACCGCGATGTGAGCCTAAATTTAAACTCTCGGAAAATGTGATTTGCAACGCCTTGCTCCCACTGGCAAATACAACGGTAGAGTCAAAGGAAATGAAGAGCACGGGGCGAAGAAATGAGTCATTTAATAAATTAATGAAAACCGCTGAGAGAACTTTCAGGTTAAAATTCGACTTGTGGGTATTCCATTTAGAAAAAATTTGTAGTACGAAGAATAGCATTTTGGTACTGTCTAATCTACATCAATAATTAAACATCAGCTATCTCCCTGTGTATTGAATTAGATATCACGACTTGTAAAAAATACAGATATTAGTCAAATATTTGAATTCCGGAGGGGTAGGGTTATTCAAGTTGGAGGCTCCTCGTATTCTAATAAATCCCGCTTTGAACGAGACGGCATACGAATATACTATTATGATTATATATGTTCATATTACACTCTCATAATATATTATCATATTGCTGCATTTTATGTGAGAAATCAAGCCGAGGTTTCTACACAACAAAATTCGAATTAATTTCTATGCATGTTAGGAAGAATACGTGCATAAAGAGAACGTAGTGAATCGTGCTGGGAATGGATTTAATGGCATTTAATTAAATATTGAAAATATAATTTATAAATAAAATCGCAATTTAGTAATCTCATATGGGACTGATACTTGAATTTGAATGAAAAACTGCCATCAAAGATATAATAGTACAGTTTAACCAAAACCATGCATGTTATCCATATATGTGAGTTCATTAAAATTCTTCCACATTCATCGATCCGATTTCTCATAAGTTGCGATGTATCTGTCTATGATTGAGATTAAACGCATAGACTCTGATTTGGATATTGATTTTTTGCATCCAAATCACATTTAAATCAGATTGGGTAAATTAAGGATAGATGACTGATACATAACATAATAATGACTCAGTGGTGTATTCATTTGGTGTTCATAAAAGATATCAACAGCCTGAGAAAAACAAATCAGTAGAATTCAAAAAGTTTGTCTTAATGGTCCTAAATAAGTTACTCTAAAGTAGTCGATGAAGTTGTACAACTAAATTTCAAGTAAAATATTTTTTACTTTAACTTAATCTCATTTATTCAAAGTCAATTTGGTGGTATATTCTTCTAGACTTTTTTTTATCATAACTGCACAGCTGAAATATTATAACACAAGTACATTGGCGAAAAAGAAGTAGTCAATTTCATATAATGGTTCAATGATTGCGTCACAGGCGAATTTTTATAACAAAAGTTAGTTTTGTCATTTTATTTTTTGTTCAACCTCTCTGGTGACATCTTTATTATTCTATTAGCTTTGGAATTATTCTTTACAAATATGCACTGTTATAAGATTGTCGAGAAAGATTAAACGCGAGTGTCAATAAGACAGACTCGGATGATTAAACATTTGCATATTTTTAAACTAGATGTCTGCTTTACAGGTTTGATTGTACTCAAATCATCATATTTTCCAATATCCAGGAAAATTTTGCATTGGACATAATCATATTTGCTACTACGTGAGCGAAAACAAATTGATTTGTGTTAAGCACATGTTTGTCACATCAGGAGAGCAAATGTCACAATTGTCGACATTGAAATCAATTTTAATCTTATTACTGATTTGCACTTGGTCTGGAATTTTGGTACGAAATAGCAACGACTTTCAAATCACAATATCTGCGGGTTTGTTATATTACACAATCTCTGTAGGTGCCGAATAATTCGATGACGGTTATTGTAAAATTGTTGTTTTTTCTGTGATCATTTTTTTCATATTGCAAAATCCTCTCTTCTGGGAATGTATAAGACAAAATATTATTTAAACAAAAATGTAACCCATTTATGAGAGTATTACGTTATAAAATAACCAAATGTAGATTCCATGTAAATTACCAGCCTAAACAAATGATCCATTCTTGTTATAACCAAGCACAATCTTATACAAGTTGTAACTGTAATCAAACGTGTAGTTTTTCCGGTTCGTATAGTATAGCTTTAAAAACTTGGTGGCTATAGATCTTATTGACTTGTTGTCTTTAGCTTTGCTGAAAAAGGGTGAACTGATCAAAGTTTCAAAAAATCGTCAAGTACACGTTGTTGATGTAAGAATTCTTGTAGAAGGCTTGTATATTTCTCGACATTTTATGAGATAAAGATTGTGTTCTTTATGCCGGTTTCGTGTTGACTCGGATTTTCCGGTTCCGGTGATTACCGCAGCCGACAAACCTCTGTACAATTTTCCCAAGACAATTTACATATAGCATTCCATATATATATATAAATAAGCGTTAGTACACATTGACTTTTAGCTAAAAGTGTCACCAAGAATTTCATTCAAATACGCTTTGCTCTGTTTTAGTTCAACATATAGCAAGTTACGCGATTCATATTTGGTTACTGTTGAGTTAATCACAAATGGGCGAATAACACGGAAACCCATCGCATCTGATTGCGAGAACCATGGAAAGTCGGCGGCTTCGCATTAATTTGTTCCAGCATCAGTTTTTCTCGGATAAGTAATGAAACGATAATGGTGAAATTGAAGCAAAATTATTTGAAAAAAGGTCCAAGTAAATTTTCCCGTGATATTGATTGATTATTATTATGAAGGAGCAAGTTCAGTTTTTTTTTTCTTTTATGAACAAAATTCAACTTTTCATTGGGCGACCAACTTTGGAATGTACTAAAACAGCATTTTCAGCAAACGTTTATAATTACTTGATAAATTGAACGTCATAGAACTTTACTACACATTGATATTATTTTTGAGAGGAAAACTAAAAAGCTATTTATGTTGAATGAGATCCCTCTATGTTGCAGGCGCCTTTAGCTCGGTCCGATTAGTATTATCATCTCGTTTGCATTTTAAAAATTTTATCTTTTCATAGCTATTATTTAGCGATATCAAGCTTAAGTTGAGTAGTAATTTTAATTGAAATCAATGGATCGATTGAGAAACTACGTAACCTTTTCAAAAAAACACTTGATGTCTGAAAATCCAAGCCTGAGGTTCTAGCCATATCAAGCTTAAGTTAAGTAGTAATTTCAATTAAAATCAATAAACCGATTGAATCGCGCCGTATATTTTGTAATTCGAGGTATTTAAATACTCCAATTTGCCAAAACGATTTGAATAATTGAAAACAATCAATACACGCGTGTGTTTTATCAATTTGAACTCGACTGTATCTCTTCCAAAGCCGATGATTGCCATTAAACATAAATGACTCAAACAAAAATAGGAAAAATCATCTACAATTATCAGAAATCCAAATCAGTAGGAGCATGGAGCATTCTGGATGATTTTACTATAGTAAAATAACAATTGCCTAGTTAGTGATGTAACGAAATCAATGATGATGATGAATCCGAATGATTGCACAGATTATCACTTTCTCGTTACGCAAACTTTCAAAAAAAAAATCAGCATAATGTACACACATCAGCTGTGACAAATAATAAAATTCTTACCTGCCAAATAAAAACCAGCAGCGTGTATTTCTTCATATCCTCGACCGCCATTGAACAGATTCTTATCGGACCAAAAGTATCAAACATTTGAACCTAATTAGATAAACTGTATCGAAGCAAAAAATCGCATGTCAGTTGTTTGACCAATAGGCACTGTGACCCTAATCTAACGATTACCAACACGAAGTTCAAAGAAAAATCACACGGAGCAAATATAGCGTCGGTGATCGCTTCTCTCGCCCGAAACCGGCGAAGTGAACGCGCGCACAAACGACGACACAAGAAGGAATGTCAGAAACACCGCGATCTAAACGGTATTACTCCATTTAACGAGAAAAAGTACAGTCTCACGTGAGTTGTAAGAGCAATGATAAACAAAATTGACGATAAAGTTTATCATGAATTCCATTTGAAGTCAATTCACACCTAATGTGGCCGAATGGTTAATTTCAATAGGTGCAAATCGTTTTTGTTACCAGTCGAACGAGATTTGCTACTCTTAGCACCAACCAATTTACAGGTAAAAGTAAAATTATACCTTTTAAATTTTATTTTTACTTCATACTAACTTAATTTTATTCTGTTCTAAAAATAGTAAAAATAGCCAAAGTCTGCTCAAGTAAAACGCCAAGTTCAATACCAAAAGAGGCCCGGTTATTGCTCATTTTTGCGATTGAGCCAAACATGTTTATGTAACAGCTGCTTTGAGTGTGATTAATCATAAAATCTTAGTCTAAGATCAACATATGCTTCGTCTTGTGTTAAACTCTCACATTGATACTGTGTAACAGCGTCCCCATAGACACACACTGCTGAGGAATTATTTAGATTTAAATAATTGGCGTAATACGATTGTGTATAATGATACGTTCATACAAAATCGTTCAAACCCTCGCACATATCGTGTCGATATATCCTGTTCGCATTAAAAGTCAATGAGTCCACAGTTATTGGAGTGGAATGATATATATATGTAGTAAATTATGAATGCAATCATGCTTTGATTTTCAATCGAACACAGAAGTGCCTACTTGTCCCAGAGTGTATTTTAATCATGTTTCTCGAACACGTGCGCGGAGTATGCGTCTGTATCCCAAATATAGCTATATCGATTTTAGGGTGCAAGAAAATGATTAGAAAGTATGCGAGGTTGACGTCGATCTAAAATCGATGATACACTGTGCTTATCGAACCCTTATAGCAGTGGTCGGCAAACTTTATGTACTTGCGGGCCAAATATAGGCTACACATTTCCGGTAGCGTGCAGACCGCATTATTTTTGCCTACGAACAATCGCCGCATAAAACTACAAATTATGAGGCACTTTCTACTGCTGTGTTAAAGCCTTCCACAATGAGACGTGTATGTGGCCTTTTTTTAATAAATATATATATATATATATTCAAACAATGCATTGTTTATATATATACTCAATATTATGTAAAGGGTGATGTTGTTTCTGAGTCACGCCAAAGCGTTGAAATCAAATGGCAACTTCGATCTGACGAGCGAGTACGAAATTTATTCTTGGTGCAATACATTTTAGATAAAGCTACTCACAGCAATATATGCTTTCGAACGTACACATTGCACTGATGTACATATGGCACTGTGATGTTGACTGTGCATATCAGGCAAACGGGAATTGGAATACGCAAAAAAGAAAAAATAATCCGTCCAAGCACTTCGGAATGTTCGACCTTCGTCGAAAACTTCCCTCCGTTTTCCAGACATTTTTTTTATGCATTCCAAAAATTAACTTTTAAATACAACCAACGATGGGACGTTCATCAAGTAAATGACACAGAACTGACGCTACTTATCACAAAACAAGCGCCGTACAGCACTTGCTACCACACGCATTAGGATCAATTTTTGTTTTAATGCATTAAAAGTCGGCCGCAGTTTGCCGACCCCTGCCTTATAGGAACAAACCAGAAGCAATTTGGAGAGTCATTACATAGCTCGCGCGAGTGCTTCAAAACAGTTATAGCCTACATACACATGGTAAAAGATAACCAAGTAGAAATGTAGACTGATGTTTTGACGAGTTCGCTTAGAGCTGTCTTTCCGGTTTTATTTTCATAGATTGATGCGGTCTTTTGCGAAAGCTATGCTAACATTATAGAATGAACTTCGAAAATAGGTTGTGAGACATGTATAGACCCCCATCTATCCGATGTATCGTATATCTATGCAGTCCACCTAGTTCAAAATCATGAAATAATTGAATTGTGCCGGGATTTTGAATGGAATGAACGTCGTATATTTATTTCTATTGTTTTATCACTGCTGAAAATAATTAGATTTGATCAAAAACTTCGTTTTTGAGGTTGAGGATCTTTTCAGAATGGGTGTCCACGCAGTTATGATATGAGATTCTCAATTTCGTGTGCTGGGTTTGCGATCTAACTTCAGAGTACATAAGTATATTATGTAATATATTTTTTTGTCAAAATTAACCAAAAATAACAAACAATATGAGAAGTTTTCATCGACTTTTTGATTGAGATATCGCAAGTCATTCCTGAAGTTCTATCGTCTCCTGAAAGTAAAAAACAAAACTGAAATTAATAAATCTTAGATCAAAATAAGAATAATAAGTAACCTTTTTAGGCTAAATAAAAGTGTAATGATATCGTACTCTATTTGGCAGAGCTGGAATATAGGTAACAGGAATACATCAAGACCAATACAAATATGACTCTTACTTCTGTATCCGGTGAGACTTTGGGTGATTTAGACCTTCCATCTCTGGGAACATTTCTGATTATGTAAGTTAGAGCAAGAGCGTAAAGCACTATATACAATGACTGATATGTTGTAATCTGGACAAAAAAGTTTGCTGGCTTCATTCCCACTATGTTTTCCAAGATTTTGATTGCTATAGTTTCTGCAGCTGGCCAAGTGGTCTGCAAATAATATCTTATCAGTTGAATGCTATGCTGAGTATGAAATATAAAAACGCAAAAATAACTTTTGTGGGTGCTAAAAAGGGTGACCGTACATTTTAACCCATGTACATTTGAACCCATGCGTATATCCACGGGTTCAATCTATATGCGGGTGCTAAAACCCATGGGTTAGGGTTAGTATGGGTTTAACTATCCGTGACACAAAAAAAATTCCATAGGTGCAATAGCATACAGGTGCAATTGTCATGGGTTCAAATGTACGTGGGTTCAAATGTAATGGAACCGCTAAAAAGATATTACCTGACTGATTTACTATAAATCCATAAAGATTTTATTTCTTTGCTATACTTACATTTTCATTGCAAAGGTATGTATCACAGCAAACTGTGCCCACGATTTGTGTTAGGAATGTAGAAGAAAGACAATCATTTTCCGTTGCGCAGCCTTTGTCAAAAACGCCACCTGACAATATAACAAGTAACAAACAACATTTATTTATTACGTGACACTCGTCATTCAATAGGAAGATAGAAAGATAAATATCCTAATAATAAATTTTAAATAAAATATCACTTATCAGAATACTTGTTGCACTTCTTGAGCTACAAAGAAGTAAATACTGCCAACACTAGGTGCAGACTGAAACACTGACGTTACATTCGACCAGGGGTTCAAGAATGTAATTTCATGTTCGCCGGTAACTTTACAGCTATTGTTATAATAATTTCCCGGGTCCTATATACCTTAGGTATCTGACGACAGAGGTATTTTCATTGACTCACCAAGTTTCGTTGTTATCTTGCATCGAGATCCACCCACGGCAGTGCAGTTTTGCAGTTGGCGCGGGCCACGGTTACATTCTTCGTCTGTATCTGTGTCCTTGCAACTGAAACAAAACAAATCTTCCGAAACTACACTTACAACAACGAATGCTACGATAAAGAGGACTCTAAGCAACATGCTTAAAAATAACAAGTTACTTTTAATCCAAAACGCAGGAGTAACGGTTCGACTCAGTCAGATTCAATGGTTACAATTGTCTCTGACGTCACAATGTATGTTTATCAACAATCGCATAACTTATACTGTTGCCAAATCGCTTCTTGTATACCCTAATTGCCTAATTATTAATTCACACAAAATGAAATGAAAGCAATCACGCAAAAGCAAAGGTGGTTGAATAATGGGGAAGGTATTCTGATTTAGTGAAGAAAATTGACGTATCTTTTCGAAAATGAATTGTTGTTACCCCATAAATAGTCTTTTTTGATTAAGGGCTGGCAAAGATCGGTTAGTGTTGCCAGACCTCAAAAAACTCAAGAAAAGTATGCAACGCAAATATACACGCGCAAATGTGAATTTAGATGCATAATCATTTTAGTATTTAGAACGGGTCCTCCTTGCCCTATATATATTGCATGCCATTTGAAGCAACGAATATATGTGCAATTAATTGTGAATATTCCATACTATTCTCAATCATGTAGGCCTCGAGTTGAGGTGGTTTAGCTTTCAGTTTCGTAGTGCACATAAGGGAACTACTTTGAAATAATTTTAAAATTTTTTATAGAAGTTTAGTAATAGATAATATCTTGTTCCCATTTCCAAAAGTTGCACTTTTTACGAAAAAGACGCTCTTACTACAAGATATATGTGCTAACAACTGTCCTATATTTTCTGCTTTTCCGACAACATTGGCCAATGAACGCAGATTTCTGCATGACGTAACAATTAAAATTTGACCAGCTGCAGGCGGTCGGATGAATCTCTGTTTGTACTGCGCGGTCTTGCGTTGAGTTGGATAAACTTTCCATCGTCTATTAAACACTTGTAGATTCTTACCATGAACAGCAATTTTAGTTTAGCACTAGCTTACATAACGTTGTTAAATAGGTAAGGTGCGGTACTTTCAAGGAAGGCTAGGTCTAGAAAGATACCAGTATTCCCCAAACAACGATACGGTTTTTCATGCTTGTATGGAGGGTTCATGATTGATTTAAGGACGATTCTCGGGTATTCAGCGGACTTATACTGCAATATAAGGTACAGTGTGGCGAACCACTTAACTAATAGCCGTTATGAGTCACAATTGTTTTGTTTATGTTTTTGTCACGCATGATTACTTACGTGCATTTCTTACGATAACTTGTCATTCTGTTTTCTGTTCGCTTGTCGTTAACATTGCTTTGTTATGGATTAAACATCAACATAATTGAAAGTCTTTTTCTTGTTAGAAAGAAGTTAGTTCGCTTCAACAGCATATTTGATTCAGAAAATAATGACCGTTTGTGCAATGAACGTTTGTGAGAAAGAGGAGAAAGTAACCAATTTTACTGATGTCATTTTCTCTGAATTCATAATGTCAACAAGAACCTGGGCAGCAATGATAAGTTATGCAGGAGTTGAAAGAAAGCGATTGGGAGGTGATAAATCATGTATCAAGTTGTAGGCTAGGGCATTTCAGACTGTGCGATTTATCGAGATTAAGAGTAGAAAGTCTGCAAGACTGTATTACATCAGATAACATGCAGTATATATGAGTATTAGTCAGTATTCAGTGGTATTTTTATTTGTCGAAAACACTCATGTTGTTTCAAATATAATTTGGAAATACTTTAACATTCTTCTGCACTTGGAACTGCCCATCAAACTGATGTTGGAGGTGTCGGAATTCATTGAGTTTTTTTCTCAACTATGAAGATCTTCGGCGGTGACACTCTAACTGGGATCCAACAACTAGCCCTACCAATATTGATGTCAATGGTGCATTCAAAATTCGCCTTTTTTGTACATTATCATGGCATAATTGAATTATAAACACTAATCACAGTACAATAAGTGAAAGATGTGTTACTAGTTACTACTAGGGCTAGGCATTTTCGAATACCCGATGATTTCAGAATCTAATCGAATACTTTTTTCAAATAAACTCTCGAATACTTGGAAGTCAATGAGAGATATGTAATTGTATGCGACTTTTTTTATTGTAATTGGTCCTGTCAACAAATGAATCATTGAAAACATAGAATACATCACTCAGACAGATTACTGAGCGTTGACACACTATAAAAACGTTTTTATCAATAAATCACTACAGAAAATAGTTTATATGTCAGAATTGCGTTGAAAAAATATGGTTTCAATAAAAAAATGGGGAAATTCACCTCGAACATGGTTGAAAAAAAAACAAGATGGCGGCGATTCAAAATTCTGCTCTGGGCCGATTCGAATAATTTACTATTCGATTCGGAATGCCCAGCCTTAGTTAGTATTACATATTTGTGAAATCGCCTTTAGACGATTTTTTGAAATTGAAAAAAAAATCCTTTTTTGATCAATTTTTGGTCACTAAAAAGATATTAAAAATGAGTTTGTATTAATTGCTTACATAGAATACATGAAATACAAACTGTAATATCGAAAGAACAACACAAACGGATTTTTGGGAAATCTCCTCCATTTTCACAAAACCAAAGTCTGAAAAGAATACCGGTGATCTTCATTCATTTTTGCTTTGCCTTTCCCTATACTATCTCCAATGCCATAATTGTACTAATATTAGTTGTTCTATTTAGTTTTTACCTAAAAAATAGCAGCAATGCTGCTGAAACTGCTAAAAATACTGCTGCTATTGAGATATACATTTCAGTATACATTGAATGGAAATTTGGATCCGTTGTAGCCACATGTTCCGAAATGTTTCCCCTTTTATTCCTGTGTGGAAACGGCACAGCTGGTTCATCATGACCCAAGAATTTGCATAAAGGATGCCATCCGTCTTTCAAATTGAAGATGAGAAGTCTATCCTTGGGTGCATTCTGAAAATTTGTGCAACAAGATAAGTATGAAATTGAACTAAAAACATCCAGAAGAGCTTGCAAACTTTTCTGCTGCCCAGTTTCTGATAATGATGCCCCTTATAACTAACTTCAAAAATAATTCGGGAGATAAACAAATTAAAGATGCTTTTATAGACGAGAATGAATAAATTAAAGGTCAAGTAAGTGTAAAATGTTTGTATTATTGCGCCAAATCACACAGGAAAGCTCATTGGCGGCGGGAAAGAGCAGTCACCCATTGCTGGCCCACCATGACTATAAATGTAATGTCTGTCTGCTTTCACTTAAATAAAAACGCACGGAGAAAAACAGATGTAATAACGCTTACAGCTTAGATCCTCTGCCACCGACAGTGGGCTACTCTGGGTGACTGACCTCATTGCCTTCCTCTGTGTACAGGTCATGGAAACGAAGCAAACTACCAAATGGGCTGTTTATACCTGAAGAATATCTTGGTTGTGATTCCTGAAAGCCTCCAGTATTCGTTCGTCGTCAACCATCCAGTATTGTTTATTTGGGGAGAGAAAATCCAACCAAGTTGATTTTTTTGACGGATCAACGTGATATCTTAATACTTGAAATTTACGTCATGTCACCATTAGGTCTCGGCAATTTCTAATACCTAATAATTTCAGGGTCGAACCGAATAATTTTTTTAATCGAATCTCGAATATTTGAAAGATGTGTAATTTTTATTGTAATGGGTCCTTCAGACGCATAAATTACTGAAAACATATAATCTATCATTCAGTCCGTTCATTGAGGGTTCACATTATGTGAAACTGGCAAGAAAGGTTAATGTGATGTTCCCTACCCATGGGATTTCATGGACAAGCGCCAGTGTGATACTGATGAGAGGGGTGAGTTGATTGCACTATAAGCCAACCCGGGTCCAATTCGAATAACGCGACTTCCGTTTATCGTATTAGTGTTTATAAGAATATTGCACGCACATCCCAGCGCCGCCGTCCACGTTTTGATTGAAAACTTTTTTCGATTATTTTGTGCTTTATCGCAGTGGTTCCCAAACATTTTTTTCGCGACCCCAATTTTCATAAAATCAAAGCCTACAAATACTCGTGACCCCACAACTAGAAACGTTCAGCAACTTCAAAATTCAGTATATATATATCAGTTTCAATTGCCTCAATGAGAACAATTTTATTGTCTATATATCGATTGCAAGTGGACGTTGAACATTGGCCAAGAAAAATATACGAACAAACCGACATTGCGCCGGGACATCGTATGAAAACCAAGGTGTTAAAATCTCTTAGATCAGGATAAAAACGGCTCTTTGGCGAAAACAAGACGGACTTGATAAAATGTGGTAGATTGTAAGGAAGCGATCGATACTTCGCAAGTAGTAAGGTTGCTTCTAATTATACATAAATTTAGAAATCTTATTTAGCATATTCCAGCAGTGTCCGTTCAATGTTAACATATTACAGATTGTTCCATTAATTAATAAGTCGAAAATGAAATAAAGCATGAAATTAAAATATGGAAAAACGTGTGCAAAATCATATCTTTTAGGTGCCTTTCATTATGTTAGAACTTGTTGCGGTTTTGTGTTTGACTGCTCGGAACGCTTCGAAATTATGTATGAAACGTCTAAAGACGTAATATTGCAATACGAAAATGTTCACCCTTATATGGAGGCGATGTGGACAAAAGACGTAGCCTACTCGTAGAATTCGGACACGTGCGCGAATTAACAAAGCGCTTTCGCAACTGATCGAACCCAAAGTGTAATTTCTCAGCCAAGACACCGCCTGGCAATCAATACCAAACTTGTCAAACGCCTAGTTAAGAGCCAATCGCCAAATAAAGCAACTTTGTTTTGCATATTCAATAACCAAGCGACTATACTAGCACAAAATAACAAACCAACATAATTTTCCCTGCCTGGCCAAAAATCTGATTCGCGTACTAGCGGGTCCACTGATGGGATGTAGCATGATAAAAAAAACTATGAAAAAGAAAATATTATTGGCGCTTGTACACTGTCACTCAATTACACTTATATACTAATACCGATACCTGCCGACCATCTGGAAAAGTTAATTACCACATAAAAGTGTTATTGAGCAATTTTGGCGCCGTTTGGACAATAAATGGTCGAATTATTGATGAAAAATCCTAAGTTGGAACTTTTACGGTACCTGCCAACCAAAACAAATTTCACTTTCCAACTTATAAATCTTATTCACTTGCGTGCGCATGTTTGACAGAAATTAGGCGACCCCCGAAAATCTCCACTGTTTGAGAACCACTGCTTTATTGTAATCGAAGTCTGTACTGCTGCAAATTACAGCCGACATGGAAAAATTTGAATTAGCGCCGACTTGCAGTGCCGTCGAGGATGTTTTTGATTGAAAATATTTTACAATTATAGTATATTTCAACATAGTTTAGTAGATAGGACGGGCGGTCATGACATTAAATCTAACAGAAAATTGTATCGTAATTAATTGTTTCATTTTTTAGTTTCGATCATAACGGGAAAGTTTTGCATTTCTGGCAATTTATAGCTTAGAAAATTGCTCTTATATATTATGTAGGGTGACAGCCCAATAGTATGTAGGGTGCAATAATATGCAGGTGCAATCATCGTGGGTTAAAATGTAATGGAATCATTATGTAGTATTTATCGCGGATTTTATCGTTAGCCTCGCGTCGTTGATGATAATACCGTTCAGTTTGAGTTGGATCTATTAATTTATGAGCAAAAATAAAAGCATAACAGCCGATGTGAAATATTGAAATCTGCGCCAGCTCGACCGGCATACCAAAGTATTCCAGCACTATGTACCACCTACCTAAGAAATATTGCAGAGTTATAGCGACAGCGTTCTGCAATGACCGGTTATCGATTTGAACGCTGTGTGTCTCGTCGGCCTCCTCGGCAAACTTGTTAAAACATCCCCACTAAATTTGCTAAGGCTTCACCAGTTTATGAATTATGGAAGAATAAGTGGTACGGATTGTAAAAAAACTTATTATTCCGATGGCCTGCCGATGTCGCTAACGACACGCACAGGGTAAGGCACGTTACCACTGCATTTCGTATACCGTACCTTATCTCGACAATCTGTTTACAAAATCCGTAGTTCCGCAGCAAAACATTCATCTAATTTGGAAATATCCGTACTGGTATCGTCCATTAATGATAAAACCGGATTTAAATTTAATTTCGCTATAAGTGAATTAGTATGACTATACCGTTCTATTGGCAATGCAATATGGCTATTTGACATTGCAATCCAATTGGTCACATCTAACGATTTGTGTTGTCACGGCGATTTTCTTTTCGAAGGTGCATACACCAAAAGGAGTCGCAGCATGTTGACCACAGTATGCCACACGGGAAATTGATGCTACATTGATGTATGTTCTTTTCCGCTTACAATGAAGTTTTGAAAACTAAATTTTATAAACTAAGACGACTACAGAATTATGAAATAATAATAAAGCAGTGACTTCGATACGGTTGAAAGCCGATCGAAAAATTCGATTATCTCGGAGTGGAGTCGACTTCCGTTTATCGTATTAGTGTTTATAAGAATATTGCACGCACATCCCAGCGCCGCCGTCCACGTTTTGATTGAAAACTTTTTTCGATTATTTTGTGCTTTATCGCAGTGGTTCCCAAACATTTTTTTCGCGACCCCAATTTTCATAAAATCAAAGCCTACAAATACTCGTGACCCCACAACTAGAAACGTTCAGCAACTTCAAAATTCAGTATATATATATCAGTTTCAATTGCCTCAATTAGAACAATTTTATTGTCTATATATCGATTGCAAGTGGACGTTGAACATTGGCCAAGAAAAATATACGAACAAACCGACATTGCGCCGGGACATCGTATGAAAACCAAGGTGTTAAAATCTCTTAGATCAGGATAAAAACGGCTCTTTGGCGAAAACAAGACGGACTTGATAAAATGTGGTAGATTGTAAGGAAGCGATCGATACTTCGCAAGTAGTAAGGTTGCTTCTAATTATACATAAATTTAGAAATCTTATTTAGCATATTCCAGCAGTGTCCGTTCAATGTTAACATATTACAGATTGTTCCATTAATTAATAAGTCGAAAATGAAATAAAGCATGAAATTAAAATATGGAAAAACGTGTGCAAAATCATATCTTTTAGGTGCCTTTCATTATGTTAGAACTTGTTGCGGTTTTGTGTTTGACTGCTCGGAACGCTTCGAAATTATGTATGAAACGTCTAAAGACGTAATATTGCAATACGAAAATGTTCACTTTTATATGGAGGCGATGTGGACAAAAGACGTAGCCTACTCGTAGAATTCGGACACGTGCGCGAATTAACAAAGCGCTTTCGCAACTGATCCGAACCCAAAGTGTAATTTCTCAGCCAAGACACCGCCTGGCAATCAATACCAAACTTGTCAAACGCCTAGTTAAGAGCCAATCGCCAAATAAAGCAACTTTGTTTTGCATATTCAATAACCAAGCGACTATACTAGCACAAAATAACAAACCAACATAATTTTCCCTGCCTGGCCAAAAATCTGATTCGCGTACTAGCGGGTCCACTGATGGGATGTAGCATGATAAAAAAAACTATGAAAAAGAAAATATTATTGGCGCTTGTACACTGTCACTCAATTACACTTATATACTAATACCGATACCTGCCGACCATCTGGAAAAGTTAATTACCACATAAAAGTGTTATTGAGCAATTTTGGCGCCGTTTGGACAATAAATGGTCGAATTATTGCTGAAAAATCCTAAGTTGGAACTTTTACGGTACCTGCCAACCAAAACAAATTTCACTTTCCAACTTATAAATCTTATTCACTTGCGTGCGCATGTTTGACAGAAATTAGGCGACCCCCGAAAATCTCCACTGTTTGAGAACCACTGCTTTATTGTAATCGAAGTCTGTACTGCTGCAAATTACAGCCGACATGGAAAAATTTGAATTAGCACCGACTTGCAGTGCCGTCGAGGATGTTTTTGATTGAAAATATTTTACAATTATAGTATATTTCAACATAGTTTAGTAGATAGGACGGGCGGTCATGACATTAAATCTAACAGAAAATTGTATCGTAATTAATTGTTTCATTTTTTAGTTTCGATCATAACGGGAAAGTTTTGCATTTCTGGCAATTTATAGCTTAGAAAATTGCTCTTATATATTATGTAGGGTGACAGCCCAATAGTATGTAGGGTGCAATAATATGCAGGTGCAATCATCGTGGGTTAAAATGTAATGGAATCATTATGTAGTATTTATCGCGGATTTTATCGTTAGCCTCGCGTCGTTGATGATAATACCGTTCAGTTTGAGTTGGATCTATTAATTTATGAGCAAAAATAAAAGCATAACAGCCGATGTGAAATATTGAAATCTGCGCCAGCTCGACCGGCATACCAAAGTATTCCAGCACTATGTACCACCTACCTAAGAAATATTGCAGAGTTATAGCGACAGCGTTCTGCAATGACCGGTTATCGATTTGAACGCTGTGTGTCTCGTCGGCCTCCTCGGCAAACTTGTTAAAACATCCCCACTAAATTTGCTAAGGCTTCACCAGTTTATGAATTATGGAAGAATAAGTGGTACGGATTGTAAAAAAACTTATTATTCCGATGGCCTGCCGATGTCGCTAACGACACGCACAGGGTAAGGCACGTTACCACTGCATTTCGTATACCGTACCTTATCTCGACAATCTGTTTACAAAATCCGTAGTTCCGCAGCAAAACATTCATCTAATTTGGAAATATCCGTACTGGTATCGTCCATTAATGATAAAACCGGATTTAAATTTAATTTCGCTATAAGTGAATTAGTATGACTATACCGTTCTATTGGCAATGCAATATGGCTATTTGACATTGCAATCCAATTGGTCACATCTAACGATTTGTGTTGTCACGGCGATTTTCTTTTCGAAGGTGCATACACCAAAAGGAGTCGCAGCATGTTGACCACAGTATGCCACACGGGAAATTGATGCTACATTGATGTATGTTCTTTTCCGCTTACAATGAAGTTTTGAAAACTAAATTTTATAAACTAAGACGACTACAGAATTATGAAATAATAATAAAGCAGTGACTTCGATACGGTTGAAAGCCGATCGAAAAATTCGATTATCTCGGAGTGGATTTTATTTCCAAATTCGTATATCTCGCCATGCCCCTGTGGCATAGTTCTAATCCGGTCAGTGATCTTTCCATTTATTTTCAAATCTCTCTGAGTTTGGTTGAACGTTTGCATCTGTTTTTTTACAATTCTAATATCTAATAATTTCTAATACCTAATAATTTCAGAGTCGAACCGAATAATTTTTCTAATCGAATCTCAAATATTTGAAAGATGTGTAATTTTTATTGTAATGGGTCCTTCAGACGCATAAATTACTGAAAACATATAATCTATCATTCAGTCCGTTCATTGAGGGTTCACATTATGTGAAACTGGCAAGAAAGGTTGATGTGATGTTCCCTACCCATGGGATTTCATGGACAAGCGCCAGTGTGATACTGATGAGAGGGGTGAGTTGATTGCACTATAAGCCAACCCGGGTCCAATTCGAATAACGCGACTTCCGTTTATCGTATTAGTGTTTATAAGAATATTGCACGCACATCCCAGCGCCGCCGTCCACGTTTTGCTTGAAAACTTTTTTCGATTATTTTGTGCTTTATCGCAGTGGTTCCCAAACATTTTTTTCGCGACCCCAATTTTCATAAAATCAAAGCCTACAAATACTCGTGACCCCACAACTAGAAACGGCAACTTCAAAATTCATTATATATATATCAGTTTCAATTGCCTCAATGAGAACAATTTTATTGTCTATATATCGATTGCAAGTGGACGTTGAACATTGGCCAAGAAAAATATACGAACAAACCGACATTGCGCCGGGAAAACGGGGAAACATCAGAAGTTTTGAAAAGACATGACACCGTATGAAAACCAAGGTGTTAAAATCTTTTAGATCAGAATAAAAACGGCTCTTTGGCGAAAACAAGACGGACTTGATAAAATGTGGTAGATTGTAAGGAAGCGATCGATACTTCGCAAGTAGTAAGGTTGCTTCTAATTATACATAAATTTAGAAATCTTATTTAGCATATTCCAGCAGTGTCCGTTCAATGTTAACATATTACAGATTGTTCCATTAATTAATAGGTCGAAAATAAAATAAAGCATGAAATTAAAATATGGAAAAACGTGTGCAAAATCATATCTTTTAGGTGCCTTTCATTATGTTAGAACTTGTTGCGGTTTTGTGTTTGACTGCTCGGAACGCTTCGAAATTATGTATGAAACGTCTAAATACGTAATATTGCAATACGAAAATGTTCACTTTTATATGAAGGCGATGTGGACAAAAAACATAGCCTACTCGTAGAATTCGGACACGTGCGCGAATTAACAAAGCTCTTTCGCAACTGATCGAACCCAAAGTGTAATTTCTCAGCCAAGACACCGCCTGGCAATCAATACCAAACTTGTCAAACGCCTAGTTAAGAGCCAATCGCCAAATAAAGCAACTTTGTTTTGCATATTCGATAACCAAGCGACTATACTAGCACAAAATAACAAACCAACATAATTTTCCCTAGCCTAGCCAAAAATCCGATTCGCGTACTAGCGGGTCCACTGATGGGATGTAGCATGATAAAAAAAACTATGAAAAAGAAAATATTATTGGCGCTTGTACACTGTCACTTAATTACACTTATATACTAATACCGATACCTGCCGACCATCTGGAAAGGTTAATTACCACATAAAAGTGTTATTGAGCAATTTTGGCGCCGTTTGGACAATAAATGGTCGAATTATTGCTGAAAAATCCTAAGTTGGAACTTTTACGGTACCTGCCAACCAGAACAAATTTCACTTTCCAACTTATAAATCTTATTCACTTGCGTGCGCATGTTTGACAGAAATTAGGCGACCCCCGAAAATCTCCACTGTTTGAGAACCACTGCTTTATTGTAGTCGAAGTCTATACTGCTGCAAATTACAGCCGACATGAAAAAATTTGAATTAGCGCCGACTTGCAGTGCCGTCGAGGATGTTTTTGATTGAAAATATTATACAATTATGGTATATTTCAACATAGTTTAGTAGATAGGACGGGCGGTCATGACAATAAATCTAACAGAAAATTGTATCGTAATTAATTGTTTCATTCCTTAGTTTCGATCATAACGGGAAAGTTTTGCATTTCTGGCAATTTATAGCTTAGAAAATTGCTCTTATATATTATGTAGGGTGACAGCACAATAGTATGTAGGGTGCAATAATATGCAGGTGCAATCGTCGTGGGTTAAAATGTAATGGAATCATTATGTAGTATTTATCGCGGATTTTATCGTTAGCCTCGCGTCGTTGATGATAATACCGTTTAGTTTGAGTTGAATCTATTAATTTATGAGCAAAAAGAATAAAGCATAACAGCCGATGTGAAATATTGAAATCTGCACCAGCTCGACCGGCATACCAAAGTATTCCAGCACTATGTACCGCCTACCTAAGCAATATTGCAGAGTTATAATGACAGCGTTCTGCAATGACCGGTTATCGGTTTGAACGCTGTGTGTCTCGTCGGCCTCCTCGGCAAACTTGTTAAAACATCCCCACTAAATTTGCTAAGGCTTCAACAGTTTAGAGTCTATCGGTATTATTGAGCAGATTCATTCGAATTCATTAACGACAAGCGCCGTTGTCGAGTTTCCCAACGAAAGCGATAAAAAAAAGTCAAGTGATCAGTGAAAGACCTCTATGGTCTTCTATAGTATCAAAAAAGTACTACATGTCGTTTAGTATTTGAGCATATCTTTGAATCGAAGACTTTACAAAATTTATTTTGTATATATATATATATATATATTTGCTTGAAAAAATGTTTGTTTTATTTCAAATTCTAACCTTTTTCGAAAAATGTTATGTAACGCCTCGCTGTCGGCGAGAAAACCTTCAAAATAAATGAGACACCGTTTTCGTTATCACACTTGATCTGATTTTTCCAACTTTCCAGCCATTTCTCTTCGTTTCGATCCATGAATATAAGCTGAAAAGAGGCAGAAAAAAAAAATATATTGCGTAATAATGTTTGACGAACTATATAAGGCGTAGTATCAATAAATTGCTCAGATTGGATTATTATATTTAGTACAGAGAAAACCTCAAATGACACGTTTTTATATTAAGCAAAAACACCAGTAAAAGCTTGGAGTCCAGGCAAAAGCATAAAGCTCTTCCTGATCAATTTATCGGACGCCACCTATAAGGCTCATGATTTGAAGCACGCCTTATGGTTTGTAAGGTTTCACTACAGTCTTGATAAATAAATTATATTCGATATTGAAGTTATTGGACATTTGAAATCATTTGGTGGAAATAATTTATAGTGCTTCTTTCACCATATTAGTAGGGTGGACTGGGAATTTTTGAATACCTAATGATTTAATCGAATCTCGAATACTTGAAAGATATGTAATTATATGTGACTTTTTATTGTAATGTCCTCCACATACATAAATTACTGAAAACATAGAATCCATCACTTAGAAAGTTCGATGAGTGTTCCTGCACAAAAAAAAAAACATGTTACATCGATAACTAACTAGACAAGAGAGCCATATGTCAGAATAGCATTTTACAAATATGGCTCCAATAGAATTGAGTGATTCATCTCTTCCTTTGGTGGAGAAAAACATGATGGCGACGATTTTTTACCATTCGATTCAAAATAACCACTCTACGTATTAGTAAAGCCAACACATAATTTCAATCACAATTCGCGAAAATAGTTGAGTGATATTCAAGTATTGTCCTGATTGATATATAAAATGAAATTATGCAAATTACTTTCAAATCTGGAAATGCATCTAGGAACTCTCTCCAGTAAAGTGCCATGGGAAGATCGCTAGTCGCATCGTAATGTTGATACATTCTTTTCAAATCGTTCGCCAATGCATTTCCATTTCCTTCCAAAATCTTTTCCCAGTCCTTTCCCAGTACAAAACAGGAGTGATAATAGTCAGAAACTCTGTACCCAAGTTGGCGAAGAGCTTCGTCAAGTGTTTTTGTCCCGGTTTTAGAGAACCCACAGATAAGGATTTTCATTGTTAAGGTATAAATACAACTGTAAAAGGTATTCTAAAATTAAATATATTGTAAATAATTAGAAACTGAGGCATTTTTTATACAATTTTTTATACTCGCAGTTATGGTAAGGAATACTGATTACACTGAAAATTCAAAGCATTCCTAACCCGTTCCCAAACTGGATAATTGCCCATTTTTTTGTTTTAAAAGTTGGCGGGGGTGGTTTTTCCAAATCCCACATTTTTTCATTAGTGCGGGGCTTTGTTACAAAAGCTCTAAACTCGACTCGTCGGTGTGGCGCATTGTGCTAAGCGTTCGGATTACGCTCGCCACCGCACCTCTCATTACCCTGCGTGGGTTCTGGTCAACTAATCCCAGACCCGACATGGACGGTAACCGGACGTTAGGCCGTGGTTTGCTATATAATTAGGACGCCTTATCGGTTTCCTTTCCTCTGGGATAAATACGTAAATCATAGGCTATCCTAAACTTAGGATTACGAGACATTAATAAATAAAGCTTAGGAATTTGTTTGTTCACTGTATAAAGAGGATATAAAGAATGTAAATGATACCAGGGCACGTCTTTCCAAAACTGACAAACATATGGATTATACTCTTCCGCCCAACAATGATTCACTGAAGAAGCATTTCTGGCGGCAAATTTCCGGGCAGGAATTCATCACTGTTGCCTAGAACCAAAGCCAATTATTCCCCCACCTATTGGTCATGGCATGGGTGAGTGATTTCTTGATGATGGCGTTTTGCTGGTAAATTGATCGATCTACTTCCAGCCCCCAAATTTGTTCTTGAGTTGGCAGACTGCAAGTGTAAAAAAAATATCAAAATAATTTATTCACGTGTGCCAAAAACAACTTAAATTGCACAGTATTTTGTTTTTGTATCAACTGCAAAAAACAGTACACTTGTAGAGAAAAAGTCGATTTTCGAGAATGAGGATTTCGAAAGCAATTCAGAAGAAAGTGAATTAGATATTGAAGTTAATTTAAATATTATTTATTTGTGTTTTCTAAGACATCTGTTAGTGTCGGAAGTCCTGTTTCTATAAATAATATTGCCTTTGTTTCAAATACACAAACACATAGATTAAAAAAAGACTGATTGTAATATTTCTGTTCACTATGTTATTTACATACTGTATTAATTTGAGTTTCTTGACTTTTCCATGCAAAATGAGCAACTTTTGTTAGTGGGAGCAAGCTTTAATTCGTTAAGTATGATCATTTTCATACAAAACTGAAGAATTTATATAGTTAGGCCTACCAGATGTGCGCTACGAAACTCATTTTGAGGCGTCTTGTCTCACGGCCCAATATACGGTAACCTATACGCTGAAGATACCGGTACGTGCATCATTTCCCTAGGCAAGAGATGGAGAACCGCTGACCCACCGGTCACAGAGTGACCCACCATATTTTTTTCGGTGACCCGCCAGGTTACGAATTAATGCATAAGAACAAACTATCATTTCGGTGATAAAAATTAATGATAAAACCGGATTTAAATTTAATTTCGCTATAAGTGAATTAGTATGACTATACCGTTCTATTGGCAATGCAATATGGCTATTTGACATTGCAATCCAATTGGTCACATCTAACGATTTGTGTTGTCACAGCGATTTCTTTTCGAAGGTGCATACACCAAAAGGAGTCGCAGCATGTTGACCACAGTATGCCACACGGGAAATTGATGCTACATTGATGTATGTTCTTTTCCGCTTACAATGAAGTTTTGAAAACTAAATTTTATAAACTAAGACGACTACAGAAATCTGAAATAACAATAAAGCAGTGACTTCGATACGGTTGGAAGCCGATCGAAAAATTCGATTATCTCGGAGTGGATTTTTCTTCAAATTCGTATATCTCGCCATGCCCCTGTGGCATAGTTCTAATTCGGTCAGTGATCTCTCCATTTATCTTCAAATCTCTCTGAGTTTGGTTGAACGTTTGCATCTGTTTTTTTACAAAACTTTTATAAAAAAAAATAACCTCCCATCTATGAAACAACGCAGTTTGATACTTACCAACGTTTCTATAATCCAATATACTTCTTGAAAACAATGACAGATGAAGTTCTAATATTTATTCAATCACTTCTCGAAATATATTTTTCTTTTTCAATGATCATTCGAAAGGCCAATAAGTTTTCGGATGCTGCCATAATTGGGAAATGCAGCAAATGGTATCACCCCACATGATAATTATATTGCTTTAACTCTAGGAGATTTTCCTGCTAGGACGTACTAAGTATAGACACTTATACCACGGTAAGAATAAACTTTCCTTCAAATTTCTGAAACCATTACTAAAAGGACTAGTCCATCTAAGCCAGGGTCGTCCATTTGACTATGTTGTAGGGTAACTTTTTTGGCCTCACATTTTTGATATTTGTATAGTTAGATCTCTTGGGGCTTTGTCAAACAAAGTTACATACAAAATATTGGTTGTAAGTTGCGAAATATGATCATGATGTTGTTGGAATAACTTGGCACTTTACCACCCGTACATCATTCATTGTCGAAAATATTAATGAAATCATAAAATTCAAAACCCGTTTTCGTGAATATTTTGTTGTAGCTGAATTCGAGCGACAGCATGACAACAGGCAAAAGAAGCAAGGTCGGCTCTTTTAGTTCATGACAGAATTTCTTAAAAGGGGACCCCGGCCTCCTTGGAGGCCACTGATCGGCTATCTGTGAGCACGAACAAACAGATGGAAATGCGAATATATAATAACAATGTATTTTTATAGAAGAGAAGAAGCAAAAGTGTTGAGAGTCTTTGGTAGCTCGAAAAGCATTAGCATGGAACATAAGAATAAACTACATTCTTTCCCAGGGATATACTATAAAATGTAGCAATTTTCTCATTCTTGTTTTCGTGATAGCCTTAATCAGGCGTAACGTTCCGTAATATGCAATCAAATAATATTATTGTAGAAATTATATTTGGAAATATTTCGTCACGCCAACCGCCGTCCGAAACGTTTTGTCTCTGGCTGAGCTTAGATACCAATTGGCACTCATGTATACTGGTGAGAATGTAAGAGGCACACGACGGAGCAAATACTCTAAGTATCCACCCCCCAACTGTCATTTGAGTAGGTACTGCTGTTTTTATTGCAGATGATACTGATCTTTTTGTATTAAAGATTTACTGGCCGATTTAAGGATGTCAAGTGATGGATGTAAATAAACCAGTTTAAAACCAACACGCAATGTTGCAAAACTTACTTCCAACACGCGGTTTGAATGAATGAAAAAGCTAAAACTAGTATTCTTTAGAACAGCATAGAAATTCTATGGAATGAAATCATGCACAAAAGCTCGTTAAAATCATAAAGCTCAATAAACAAGTGGAATTTGATGCATGTGCGCAAAAATGTGCGCGTTACTACGTACAACCAAAGCACGCAGGAAATGGTGTGTGATGTACTAGTGATCAAAATGTTTGATTCAAATATGTTGGCATAACATGAAGGTGCACATCTCGGTTTCACATACGCATATCTTCTATCTCCACAAGGATATATTAATTTGGCCAAAGTCAATGCTGCACCTGAAAGGTTCCGGTTCTTCCAAAAGAAAACACGTTACACATTGTTAGATACCAGTGGACGGTCTTAGATGGCCTTGTTCAAAAGTGAAATTAACTACTATTTATTCTACTAAAATTGAATTCCTCACATTTTAAGGAGATTCAATGTTACTGTGTATTCAAAACTAACCCATGTAGTTATGAAATAATTGTTTTTAACAAAAAGGTGCTCCCGAAGTATTCGTACCAAGATGGCGCATTCGGGTTCTCTCTCATCCCATCTACACACTTTACCCTTGCATGGCATGCGCATTGTTCGAGTTTTTTTGTCCATTATTTTTTGTTACATTGCAATATTCCTCTCTAATATAAGACCTCAATCGGGAAAACCCAAAATATTGTTTTAAATTTATATTTTACATGATTCTAACAAAAATGGATTTTAGCAAAATATTAACTAATTTGCTGATATTTCCTATGTAGGCTACTACGGGCCTCAAATTAACTCAAGCATGATTTGTGTTGCATGAAATTCAAATAAGCACTCTCATTTATAATTTCGACATTCTGCAGTGTTTGATATAGTCGTGGTCCGTTATTTCCATATATTCATCAATCACATTATTTCATGTTTGTTTCTTTCTTAAGATAACATGTATGGCCTGATTCAAGAGAATGCTATACTTTGTCTCAAGAAGTCCGTAGACTATGATAAGCATGAAATGTGTATTTTTATGATGAATGTGAATGAGCAACCAATTTCAAATTTAATCCTGATTCGCTGAACAAAATGAAACTTTCCAGAAGTCGAAATATAAAAATAATTTATATATATCACTTCATGCGGGAAGCTATTTTTTAAACATTTGCATTTTTTTGTAGATTTTACAATCTGACGAATATTACGTCGAATAACAATATATTTCAACTACAAAGCTACAAATAGAAACAACTGTACAAAATAAGAATGTTATATTTGGGTTAAAAACATTTAAAGAGTCGAAGTAAAGTTTTCCGACGTTTTTTGGGCATATCACATAAATTATTTTAATTAAGATATAACCGCTTTATTTTCACACACTTGACAACGCGACGTCGCGCAGTGCGGACGTCTTCGTGAGCATAAACCTGGATACCAACTATCTTCTGTTTCGTGGATTGAACTGGATACAACACTACATTAATACGGTGAGATCGTTTCTTTATATCCGATCTGTATATATTGCTGTATGAAAAGTGCAATTGACTGAAATTCAGTACAAATTTTCTTTTGTGTGTGACCGTTTATCACGGATAAAGCTGTTTTGTGTTATAAGATGAACGGCGATGAATCGCCAACCTCTTCTGGAGTGAAGAGGAAGGGGGACGATAGTGATTCTAATGCCCCAAGTAAAGTGAAAATCAACACAATAAGTCAAGAAAATGACGTTATATCTACATTCGTTGTTGTATGGGGTACCCAGCGTAAGATGAGAACGTACAATTCTATAGTTATACATAGAAATTTAGCGGTGTCTCCAAAATGTCGTGTCCCACTTGTCCTACGTGTCCCACTTGTCCCACTCGTACCACTTGTCCCACTTGTACTACGTTTCCCACTTGACCCGTTGGGACAAGTGGGACACAATTCTTTCCCGTACTCAGGAAAAACGTTCCTACGTTTGCTCATTTTTAAATTTAGGCTAAAATAACCACCACCACGACAAAACCCAAGGATCGCCACACTTACAATGCTTCATGCCTATCTGTGCCTTGCTTCTTTGTGTTCCAAATAAGATTGTGTTGCTTTTATGATGCCACAATAAAGCTTTGGCGATAAGACAAGCCACACAAAGCTTCATTTATAGAGTCGAAATAAGACAAAATAAGGACGCGCAAGCCAAAAATAAGGACGCAGGCTAAAATAAGCCAAAAATAAGGACAAACCTTAGAAATAAGGACGGTATAGAATCCCTGTGTATAGGGGAAGGTGGGCCACGGTCGAACATGGGACACAGTGGAGAATCAGCTCTCACACTCGTACTATATACGGAATCCGGTGTGAGGTTCGATGTTTGAATCCGGCCTTCGGTGAGTTACAACGTTCCCGCAAACGGACAATGGCCGTGTAGGGCGACGCAAGCTATGAGGTGAAATTGGTTTTCGGGGGTTGAAACTAAAATTTCATCATTCCATTTATTCTCTTTTATCTACCTTAGTCTTTCCAACATGACAAACCACCGTCCGATGTTTTTCAGCTTCAGTCTACTGTAAAATATCCATAACGTTGGCAAGTGGATGTGCCTTCCTAATCTCGCTGTGGGACAGTCAGAATATATTTTTGTTTTTTACGGGGAACAATGGACCGGAATTTAGTGGGACATGCTCCACTGGGCACAACTCGGTAGTGTTTGATCCATTAAGTGCTTGGAGGGCTAGAGATGTATTAGGTTTTGTGTAATATCATAATATCTTTCGGCCCATGGACCAATATGGAATATATTCAAAAATAAACAATATTCTAAAATTCAGAGTCATTTAATTTGTTTACAGAATTTTTTGGAAAAAAATCTGAAATATTTTGATTGGACATTAATTTCAAAAATAAAAAATCTCCAATTTTGAATTCTCTCCTTTTTTCAAATGCTAATGCTTAATTTTAAGGGTATACTTCGTTGAATTTAACAGAATGCCCCATTGTGCCCCAGGGCCTGTTCGAATTTGCCCCACAAGTTGGGTACAGTGGGGACACTTGACAAACGTTTTTCAAAGCATTTTGATGGTAAGATGTGTGTCGCAAGGGAATTTCTTAGTTCTTGAAAACTCAATCTACCCCTCTCTGCATTAGTCCCGCAAAGTAAAATAAATGTGCAGAATAAACGGCTCAAAATATTCATAAGAAAACAAAGTGTCTCAACCTTTCCCTATATCGTATTTTGTGCGCGCGCAGTACTGTATTATTCCTGTTTCAAAACCCACAACATGCCCTGCATGAAACTGGTTGAAGGCAATTTTTTGTGGCATGTTATCAAATTTTCTCAACATCAGACGATGTATTGGCCACCCCTATTCTATACTATAGGCTGCTACCGAGATAAAAGGAATCGGTGGTGAAACTGCAGTGTGCCCCTTATTCTTTCATCCCGATCTTATTACATTCAATAAAATATAAAAAAGAATGGACACAAATTGTGATTCAATGTTTAATACTGATTATTGGTGCAAAGTGTCGGGCTCGTAAAATAAAAGCCTTTAGTGTTTGATAATTACTAAAACAGAAAAATCATCTATAAATTAAAATTACGATAATCCAGTTTTTTGAGAACATGATTTGCATATCGCCTTTATTATTTATAGTGCGGTCTGCACAGATGTAAATTTTTCTTCGTAAAAATCTGTCGGTTTACGGTCTTTGTAATATTCTTGAATCTCATCCGATGTTTTCCCTCCGATAGTTGGCACAAAGAATATAATATAAATCAGTATAATGATGGTGAATCCCATCCACACTAAGAATGCGTACGGTCCGATCCATATCTGTAATAGTAATTGACAGTAACATAAAAAATAGTTCAAAGGAAAAGGGGTATTTTGCTAAACAATATGGAATCTACATTTAAAAATTTCTACATTGCGTTTGCGAATAAAATCTGAATTTCCCTTGAAATAAATTGCAGTATCAAAATATACACTCTAAAAAATATTGACTCAAATTTGACTCAACGAGCCTCCTACTCTTTCAATGAGTCAAGAAATATTTGACTCTTTACTTGAGTCACGCACATTAACTCTTCTTTGAGTCAAATTTATACCTTGATAGAGTCGTCAAGAGTCATGTGCGATGACTCCTCTTTGAGTCAAGTTTATCCCTTGATAGAGTCGTCAAGAGTCATGTGCGATGACTTCTCTTTGAGTCAAATTTATCGCTTGATAGAGTCGTCAAGAGTCATGTGCGATGACTCCTCTTTGAGTCAAATTTATCTCTTGATAGAGTCGTCAAGATCAATTGCGATAATTCTTTTTTGAGTCAAGTTTCCAACTCGATAGAGTCACCAAAAAGTGAGTTCTTGGTTTCCTCTCCAATTCCCACAGCCCCACTTCAACTTTCTTAAGTTACCCATGCATTTACCCAAAAAAGCAGAAATTAAATATACCAAATTTTTCTTGGAAAAGAACTTCAAAAACACTCACCGAAGATGCAGACTAAACCACAATCACCAATGAACAAAAGAAAATGAAATAAATTTCACAGAAAGAAATCATAATGAAAATTATGACCCCAGTGTTTGCTCACATCGACGACTCAAAACTGTAGTGGCCTATGTCAAATTTTGGCGATATGAGACAATCGCTTTTGAAAATTCCAAAAAAAAATCTCATTTTGAGATGAACATCGGGCTATAAAATCTGCATTTTTGAACGCTAAAAAGAGACACTGCATAATTCGTGTATACATATCGATTTTTTATAAAGTGTATAAACCATCAATTCGTACTCTGACATGATGGTTTATCATAGGGCCAAATCAGTATAAAAACAAAATAAACAAAGTGGACACTTAAAAATTACGAAGGTCGGCATAAGCACATTTTCATTTTGAGCCGTCTATGTAGGATCATTTTTTTTTTTACACAAAGTCCAATGCAGCCAACAATGAGGCCACTGAAGGTTTGGGATCCATGCCGAAAAGAATAGCTTCAAAAAAATTGAAGAAAGTTGCCAGTTTTTCATAGTACTCAATTCCAAATATCCAAAACGAAGCGAACAGTCTATAAAAAGCCAACAATGATGAATTTCCAACTGGCACCGCTTTCTTGTCAAGAATTAAGAAGAATTCCTCAGGATCAGATTTCGGCCAGTATCAGACTTCCCCTTTGTGTTGAGAGGTGGAAAAATCTTCGATAGAACTAGAAGACTCTTTAGTCCATCTAAAATGTGACAAATACTCGAAATATGCTCTCACACAAAATACATAGATATAATAAAGCTATTTCACTGCCGCCCAGTTGGCAATGTGGCAGAGATAGTTCTAAGTCAACTAGTATTTATACATAGAATATAAGTAATATGAAGCATGAAGCACATACCATCATCACACTGAACACAATCCTGATTCATTTTAAGAATTTTTTGAATGAGTGGTGGAAAAATTTCCATAAACTTCTTACACTTCGGGCAATTCATCTCAAATTCACAGTCAATCTGAGTTCACAAGAAGCACATTTGAAAAAAAAGATGCTTTCTATATCCGCACTTTTTAAAAATATCTTGATGTGATGAATACAATAATAAACAGCCTATGTACATTCACTTTACATCTAGATTTATTGCTAACTTACCAATCCACCCTCATAAGCATCACAGAACCTTGAGTACTTTTCTAAAATGTCAGTTAAGGTCATAGGCTTCAGCTGTATTTCAAGCCTACGATAGTCATGACTTTCCTTCATTATATATTTCTGCCTTATTGTCCTTGTTAGGTGTGGTTTCTTTCAGCCATTTAATCTGAAAAGCAATATACATATAAAATATTCCAAAAAATACTAGCTGCGGAGAAATAAAAATAACCACATATGAAAAAAATCAGAAATTTCCCACCTTTTTCAGTATATGGCTATCGTCTTCCAGAAGTGAGGCATCCAGTTCAACAGTACTCCCACTGGTGTCAGCATCTTCGCTACTCCCAAAACTGAAACTACTTGCATATGTTGAGTGGCTTCTCTTTTGTTTTTATACATCTTATCTTCTATTGCCATTTGTTTTCGTAAAGTTTTGAGCTTGTTTTCTATAAAGCCGGAACCACGAAGAGGATCATAATAATGGCCCTGAAAACATTTTTAGCAATTTAACAATAACAACAAAAGAGCCCTAATGACAAAGCTGACAGAGAGCAGACTTGAAGTCAGTAAACACAGAATCATATTTAACACTCATTTTGGCAACTTCAGAAGAGAGGAATACAGCCTTAATGACGAAATATTGTGTACAAGATTCATGAGATTGAATAATGCCTTGTAGGGAAAGCGAAATTATCTCAAAATGAAATTACGTACATATCCGGTTGTTCCCTTCAACTTCAACTTCAGCTTTGGAAATTCCTCGACACACGTCGAAATTCTAATACTAGTTGGTGGATTTTTTTCACATGCCGTAAAAAATTGTCAAGTCGAGTAAAGGTTGTGCAACATTGATTTTGAGAACAAGTAATATTTATATATTTCTTCTTTGACAGATCATGTTGGTGACGTAAATGAAGTGATAGTTCATCTGTCCCCCTCATCTTTCATTCACAACCTTCCATTGGACACACATAAAAATTCATTATGAGGCTCAAAAGGGCCTAAAACAAATACCAGTATACCGGTATATACCAGGTCTATAGCTGTGCAAGCAGTGTGATAAAAGTACCAATTTAACACTGCAATGAGTTGTCGGTAACTGTTTAAGAAGGAAATAGATGGCAGACTGACATAGGCTAGTTGTACTGTTTTATAGACCCAGTAGACTGCAGTCATCAAGTTGTAGGCCTGTGTGTCTGTAACTTGAGATAACAGCATGTAGCCTACTTCAGACATAAAGTTAACTTAACAGTCAGACAGTAGGCCTACCGGTAGCTTAGGCCGGCAGACCTAACTTGGCTCAGTAGCCAGTTGTGTTATACTGCAGTTCATGCTCATTTCGATAATATTATTTGAATCCACTGCTAGCAATCACTTACCGACAACGGACAATCGCTCCGAAACTGTTAGCACTGTCAGAATGTAGCAGGTGAAAGCTAAATTCCATTCTTTCATAACAGCAATTCACTCTGTAATCCAACTGTAAAAAACAACGACCTAGCCTACCCCATCCAACTGTCCTATTGGCCTCTCACGCAAAATAAAAATCCCAGCATAATATCTTTAACCGTAACTGATAGGCCACGCAAGCTGTGAGTGGCCATGCTGCATTCTGGTCCATGCTGATAACCTTCGGCCGAAACCACCGCCGTCGACAACGCGAGAAGGAACATGACGACTTCGAAAACAATTTCCCCGCCCAATTCCACGCTTCGCCGGTTCCAACTTTAAAAAATAAACAGAGAAATTAGCGGCGAGAGAAAGAAGGCGGTCGTCAAACAAGAGAATATTTGACTTAAAAACGAGTGAGAGTGCGAGAGAAATGACGCTCGAGTCACGATTGAGTCATTTTGTTCCTAACTCTTCCAAATTAGTCACGCGATTGACTCAAGTTTTTTTAGAGTGTAGAAAGGATGTGCTACGATTTGATATGCTTCTTCCCCATCTTAAAAATATCTTAGTTAGACAAATAAAGTGTCGTATGCTGAGCGATTTACCTCAAAATATGGTGACATGAATCCAACAAACCAAGCGAAAAACCACAGAGATGCCGCTCCTACATTGGTACAAACAGGTCTCGTTTTGTCTATTGCTATAGCACCGCTCATCATGTAGCAAATTAAGTTAATAAACGTAAACCTGTAATGATTTATCGAAAAATTGAATACAAACAGTTTCATTGGAAGGTTTAACAAGTTTTGATTTCCAAATAGCTTATCATAATCTAGGACAAGAACAACTGTTGGTTTAGTAGCATTGAACTCTGTCACGAAAATTTCAACATAGTACGAAGCCCAGTAGATTGATGTTGCATGTGAATTACATGCAACATCGAGTGATATTTTTACAAAACTAGAAAATTATGTTTTTACGTATACATTTACCCGATATAAAAGATACAAACGGCGGCGATCGCAGCAATTGACATTCCAGGCACTGTGTCAGATGTCGCGAGACATGCAGTAAGGAACGCATCTCCAACAACAGCAATGAGGCTTCCGATGATAAGAAGATATTTGGGTTCGACTCCACAGTTCACAATATATATCTATGTGGTAAAAATATTTTATTTCAGATTATATTTCAGTTTACAGCTAAACATCCGGACATTTATGACATGTGAAATTATATTTTACAGGCTTTATATATAGCTACTACTAAGATCAGAACTAAGTGGCGCCACTCAAAAATATTGAATTAAAAAATAAAATATTTCTTAATGCATCAGTATTGATGCTTGCCGATGCGCCACAACGTGATTGCTATGTGGATTGCACTTGAAACTGAGGCAAAATTTTCAAAAAACTAAGCCGACGTGTGGGTTTTATGATAAAATTATTCAATTCTTTCTATAACATAAATCAATAATTTATCCTCATAATGTTGTTAGCTGCCTATCAAAAGTATTCAGAAAACTCACCCCAATCACAGAAAATATGGGTCCTAATGCCAGCACTCCTAGAGTTGCAGGTGTCACGACAATATCATCCAGTCCAGCATTTAGAAATATTGAATTCGAATAAAACAGAATGTTGTTCAATCCACAGGCCATCACAAAAGAAAATAGTATAACAACTCCAATAAAATGCTTTCTAAACGACAAAATAAATACATAATTCGAACATTAGTTTTTTCGACAATATACATTTATATGTATATATGCATTTATCTTTACCTGTATTGGGAAATTTTCATTACTTCCACAAAGGTAGCAATAGCACTGGCTTCACCTTTCTTTGCTACATCTTTTACGAGGAGGTGCATCTCCGCTTTAATTTCGGACTAAAAAAAGTTCGAAAAAACATATTTTTCAGATCGTATTCACTGTTTCTCTATGACTCAACTTTTGTTACAAAATGCAGATAAGCAATTTGCATTTAATGAGACGTTTTTCGTTTGTCGCACTGAGATGTAAACCAGTTTATTTTACATTTAAAAAAAAAATTAAATATAATATATCACGAAAATAGAACGTATCATAATACCCCGTCCCCTTTCCGCAGCTTTCTTAGAATCTTCATCGCTTTTTCCTCGCCTTCTCTTGTTAAGATTTGCAAGGGTGTATCGGTGAGCCAGTAAGCAAACACTAAATACAATGCTGAATAGACCATTCCAAACAACATGACACCTATCCACAATTCATCGGTTCCTAAAACCTTCGATATAAAAATATAAAGTAACACTTAATACTCTTGGACTTGGATTTGTTTGGTGCCACATTTAGAAGATAACAATAAAAAAATGACAATAAACAAATAGATAGTCTCATAACATTAGATTCAAACCAGATTACGATAATTGGAGGTTGAAAGTATAGATGGCCTCACAATTGTCCTCTTACCTGTCTCTCTATTTTGAGTCAGGGTATATGTATATTATGGGATGTAAATTGTTAAAGCAGCATACAAAGTGGAATTCAATGCTATGATAATGATAGATACACATTTCAGTAGAAAGTTGGTGTATTCATATCAAGTGTGATTCTTACAATTGGGGCAAGTATGATACATATTGAAAACGACGTTTTAGAGACAACCACAAGTATATATCTGCACGAGATTACAACAAACTTACGGAACCTCCATTACTAATGTGACAAATGAATAAAATACTGGAAATCTTAAGATTTGATTAAATGTGTGACATATCGATGCTGACATGAGCAAGAAAGTTAAGTGATATTACCTCTGGCCAGGCGATTAATACAGCAATTGGTGAACCAAGTTGAAAACTTGTACCGAGAACTCCTCCATAAAATTGCTGTCGATGTGAGACACATAACTCATTTGCCACAAGAGGAATCAAACCTGATAAAGTTAAGAACTATTTAAAACTTGGTATAGATAAGACTGAGCTCCAGGTTAAAGATCAGAAAACGACAAATTTGCTTAAAACTTTATCATTCCAAATCGGGGTATTGGGGTATCCCAAGTTTTAGGCGTCGTCAATAGTTCCCATGGCACTGAGAATTACTGGACATTTATTTCGTAGAAAAAGAGGCACACAGAAAAAATTATATATATATATAAATAATTATGATATCCTGTGTCATATGAGGTTTGGGGTTTATTTTCATCACTTCGAATGCATACTATTTTTAAGTTGATTAGTTGTTTGGATTCTCTAGAATCCTAATTCTTTTACAACTCTGATGAATAGGACTTTAGATGATAAGGTTAGACTTTATATGTTCAATAATTACGTACTCAAACCAAGTCCAGTCGAAATGCCACTGATAAAACGACCAACGATGAAAGCTTCGTACGACCCCCAAATCCCTGCTCCAATTGCAACAGTTGCATATCCAGTTATGTTACATATATGAGAGATAACCATGATTTGTTTACGCGTCAAATGGCTTAGTACAAATTTGAAGGTTAAGGATCCACAGAAAGCTCCGACTACAAGCATCGACATTGTCAAAGTTAATAGTAATGTCCACGTGTCCTCAGGAATATCTTCTTGGTGTCGGGTCTGTAAACATTAATACGAATTTTACATAAAGTACTACTAATCACAGAAAGGTGTCTAAATATAATTTTCAAATATGGCCACCAAGTGCGTTATTTCAATAGGGTGCGAACTCCGCTAACGTCGATATATCAGTGCAGTGAACCTCACCGTAAACTCAGTGACAGACAATCGTCAAAAGTTTTCAAGTATCTTGTAATCCTGATTTTCTACACATTTACTGTGCAGATTTTGGTTCTACAGTAACATTTTTGGGTTCGCTCCCACAGGCCTATGGATGAAAACAGGCAGAGCCTATATACAAAACTTTGGATACGATCCAATTTGGTTGAATTTTTTGGTACAAAGTACTTGAATAATTTATCAATTTTATAAGGCAAGCCTTTTTTTTTATCAAATTTATTGATCTGGAAACATTAATTGGAGGTTCATTTCTAACTGCACACAGCACAGGTAATACTTGACAACACCAGTATATACTCGCGCGTGACTGATTGCCCCATACTATGTTGGTGTAAAACAGTTTTCCAAGAACATATTTGTCATTCGAGCCCTGCAAAAATACTCAAGTTAACATGGAACCCTCAGTAAGTTTAAAAAATTAAATGCCTTTTAATCAAATATTTGGGTGGCGTAGAGGTGGGCCAGGATCTATTCAGTTTTCCACACCCCGAATCCGGCAAAAACCAATATATCTTTCAGGTTATTGTTAATTTGTTTGATTCAGCAAAGAACACACTCCGGAGCAACAAGATAGATGATTTTGATTAGTGATCTGGGTTTTAAGGACACATGATTAAGCTCAAGGCTCAAAAAGTGAGATTCGTAAGTTTCATCGGGTTCCCCAAGCAACCTAAACGCCATCGTGACTTTTGTATTGGGACTTGACTTTTGTTCCAAAACGAATTAAGTTTACTTCTTTCACAATCTAAACCATATCATATATCAGACAAAAAACCTTCCGTCGTCAACAAACCATATCTTATCATAGTTTTTCACTCATTTCCCGACGCGCCGAATGTTTTGAAACGATTTTGAAATAGTATCGTTCACGTTTTAGATGAAACCGTCTGAACTTCGGAATTGACGCGAATTAGCACAATGCGCGTGTTGCAGGTGAGAAAGGTGAAGGAATCATACGAACAGTGAGTTGGAGGACGATTTTCTTCTTAGCCTCGATGAACTGCATCAAGTTTTTTTCGATGTGATACTGTTTGAACTTTGAACTGACGAAAATTTTCTAAGTATGCGCGTCTGAAGCGAGGCGGGGAATGATTCCCCCTTTTCTACGTATAAACTCATAACCCAATTGAGACGCCATCGATTGCGTAGTCTCTATCCTGCATGTGTCCCAAGTTTAATGCTATTTTATGTATATTTGAATAGAGAGAAATTTTAATCATCTTTTTGGAATAGGCCGCTGGTCATCCACTACTTCGCCAATCTGTCTATGAGTGGGCTATTATAGGCACCGGTACGTAAAATTGTGAGCAATTGATAATCAAGGACTGCTTGCTCCGCTTGCAAGACGGCTATAAAAAGGACAAACTTCAGTTTTTCGTCTTCGACTCCAGTACGCCATTTGAAAAAAACGACTTCGAATCGGAGCTATTTGAAAACAAGACTCCAGCGAGTATAAAAATACGACCCTTACTTCAATAACGACGAAATCGTCAAATACGATCCCTATCCCAGAGTCTTGGGTAAAATAAAGCTCAGTAAAAAAGTATTTAGTATCGACATCCTGGTTGTGTCGACGACGCCAAAAACACAAACTATCTAATACCAAAAAATTAAATATATAAAAACTAGTAAGCTACTTTACGTTTCGTTAGGGAACACCAGGGTTCGGTTGAACCCACTTTAGGAATCTTTGATATATAGTACATATACAAAGAACGAATTGTAATGTAAATAGAATATGATGCTTACTCTAAATAACATACTTGAACACATAAGGGGGTTATTCTAGTCTTCGTTACCATGTGGCGTAGGATGGCTGAAAACAATTATTTTTACTTTATTTGCATTATACACGTAACTTGATTCAGGTTGGGATGGAAAATACTTTACTACGAATATAACTTACATGATAAGTCTCATTGTAAATTTTCCGAATAACTGGCACCAACGGGTTCAAGCACGCAAGTGAATATGTAGTAGAAAGCCCAATACTGAAGATAGAAAGGTTGATCACAAATGAAGCGTACCGTGAGTTCTGTGAAAACGTAAATACTGCCATTATATTTACTGTAAACTACCTTGATACTGCATTAGAGATCCAAATCCCATCAGTTTATTAGAAGGTTGATAAATTGGTATCCAATTCCGAAACTTTAATACTCCGTCGAAGGATGTTAAAAAAGGGGTTTGGTTGTTATCGTATCACTCCTGCGCCTAGCTGGTGAATAACCTTTAGTAATTTGAGTATTGAATCTGATATCTCTTGAAGCATATCCAATATGAAAATTACGCTTTCTCGTTATTCCAAACATTATTTATTATTCGCATTAAAAACTTCATTAATTCATTAAAAGAAGGAATTGTATTAAATTAATGTGGTTTTAGTGGAACACAGAATTTTAGAAACTTAGGAAAACCTTCACCAATACCCCGTTAGCAAAATATGCAACAAAACCGAATACTCACTGATATTGCCGGTTCCATTGTAAGATGAAACGGTGAATGCGCTGAATCATGCCAAACGAAATAAACACTTGGGGCTAGCTTTGACTTTACAATGCTATAATGTCACGCAACTTATACGTGCGACTAGTATTTACCATACTAGAAAGAACAATTATTTTATTGAATTTTCGATGTCGATTCAAGAAACGGCACTATTGTGTGGCTTCATGCGTATTGTGTCAATACGGATTTAGCGATATTGCTTCATTACACCTAATTATTTCATTCCAATAAGTGAGAGTCTGATGCTTTACGTATCTTGACGTTTCTATGTTCGAACCGACGACAGATAGCTCTCCTATTTTCCTACCACGGCGCTTTGTCGTTTCTGTTTTTAGGTTTGAAAATATATTATCCCTGTAATAATTTATTTTCTATATTTTATTTGAAAAATTTTCTAAAGCAGAGAATATCAACAATAGAAGAATATTATTCCACAGTACAACACTTTACAATGTGCGTTAAACTATTGCAGTTTCGCCAATGACTTTAAAATACTTCTTTTTGTTCTGACATGAATTCAAACGAAAAGCTTGTATCTTAGTTTCGAAACATTTTTCGAATTACCTGAGCCTGTAGATTGTTGGTACCATTTTGAGACTGTGTCAAATCGAAAAGTAATGTTGATACCGGAATAAACATTGTATGAATATACGCGTAGTTTATATGAACGTATATTCACACATTGATGCAAAGCACAGCACCCGTTAACCATCTATGCAGACCCATATGATACAGAGAAGGGATCTTTTGTACAAAGTCCCCGCCAAAAAGACTTCCCCTGCCTAATATTTAAACCTTTCCTAACCCCAACTAGATAATAACTAATTCGTTATTTTAAAACGTGGAGGTGGTGTTATACTCAAATCTCGCATTTTTGCATTAGTTACGGGGGCTTTGTATAAAATATCTTAGAGAAGTTTACCAATCCTCAAGGGTAGGCTTGCACGTAATTTACTGATTTACGGAATTACGTAATTATTTGGAGTTACGGAAGGGAAGTTACGAATTACGTAAAGTCGTAATTTTGCATTGAAACGAGCTTTCTTCAAAGCAGTCAATTTCGTCGATTGCGAAAAATGAAAGCTCAACAAGTAGAAGAAGTTAGAGTTCCGGTATTCGCAGCCGTTTTTCTCCCTTTTCTCTCTCTTGTTACGTAGGCGAAGGAAGGCATGACGCTTTGCCATTTACTGACCTATTATCAACGGCATGGCCAATGTAAATTATTAACGTAGTTAAGGGGGGAGAACTGAGTAGGGCCGTTTGACGCCAACACACCTGGTTTTAACTTCTCCCGTAACTTAACCGTAGAAAAGGGATAGAATTGCGTTGAGACCGATTGACGCCAACACACCTGATTTCAACTTCTCTCCCATCTTATCCAGCATGGTCATGGCCAATGTACATAATAACCGTAGATAGGGGGAAGAATTGTGTTAAGACCGATGGACGCTAACACGCCCGGTTTCAACTTCTTCGGGTGAAATGACTAATGAACGCATGAGATCAATCTTTCAAACATGGTCTATCAAACATTTGTATCCATTTTACTTTTATTTATCATTTACTTGTTCCAGTTTTCTGTTACTTATGGTATATATATATGTTCCGTTTCTATTTAATTCTATTTTATAGTCACGCGTTTAAATAGTGGGAATACCCCACCAAGTGTGGATTAGCAATGCTTAACCATTCTTTATTGTTAATATCAACACTTGATATATGAACATGGAATATCATACTGTTTTATTTCAGAATTGCGGTATAAACAGGAAAATATCCATAACCTTTCAACACGACGATCTTGTGAAATTTAACGAAGAGCTTTCGCGACGAATTGGAACCAAATAAGCGAAAAGAGCGATTGATCACTCGCGCCAATACCTCGCCGTGATAATTAATGTCGCGCTAATCAAATAGCAATATGACGACAAAAGAGAGATTGCGTAATGAACCAACGCAACTTCGTCTTCTCGGCATCGGTAAAGCGATTGAGACGGCAGAAAAACAGCAAAACGACGGATTCCTCGCTGACCGCTAAAAATTTAACTGCTATCATATATAATCAAATATGAGCCAGTGTGTTTATTCTGTGCGAGATCCATTTTCTATTACAAAATCTTGATGTTCTGTTAACGGTTTTATCGTTATATATCAGTCCGGACTTGGCCTTGCTCATGATGTTTTTCACAATTCCTCTCAATATTTCGGCCATATATGATTAACTGTCTTACCAAATAACAAACTTATTTTGATTTATCGTCGACTTGAATACCACCGGCACTCGACCAAACTTGTGTCAATCTTGGCCGATAGGATCGCCGACTTGAGTTAGCAAATAAATGTCGTGAGTGTAAAATAAATGTCACAAAATGCATTGTTTTGCGATATAACTTTGTATTTTTGGAGAAGGCATATCATATAAGTTCGATATTTAAATTATACTCAAATAAATAATATTTGATCTAAATTTATCGCAAATAATGTTATAAACATTCAGTCCGCGAAATGATTAAATGTAAAATGAAGCATGGTAATCGGAATATCGTCAATAAGTCGACATCAATGATTATTAATATAAAATGCTAACAAAGCAGTAATGTCGGATAATGCAGAAGACGCTGCAAAAACAAGCTTCGTCGCGAGGAAATCGCAAGTATAATCAAACGAGAGAATACGCTCGTCGTTGGTTAATAAATTAGAAACCCGTAATTTTTATTCAGTACTAAGGTGGTTTTAAAAAACTATCGTTTCCATAAATATCCGTATACCAGTGTCGGTAATGATAAAATAAAATTGATCGCATAAAAATGGGACAGTTAATTTGCGAAGGTGATAAAGGAAAACCAAAGCTAACACAAAAGATAAAAATCAGAATAAAATTAATTTGAATTCACTCCTTGATATTTGTATTTAACATCTACCGCTGGCGTGTAGTACTGCCAAGAATATGAAAACCCAACTTCAATGTCCCATTCGGAAAAGAAGTGGATTCAATTGGTTGTTATGATAGGTTTAAATGCGTGGAAAAATATCGCAATTACGGGGTCATTACGTAATTAATTTTGTCGTAATTACGGAATTGATTTTTGTCAATTACGTGCAAGCCTACTCAAGGGTTTCAAGTCTGCAAACAGGTACAACTCTTTTCATAAATCGTAGTCCACTCCTTGTCCAATAATCAATGCTGCAACGGCGAGTTTGTACTAGTGGTCAATGCTAATATACAGTACTATATACTATATTAATATCAGTTTGTTTAAAGCAGCAGATAATCGATTTGGTTCTTCTAATTCATTGCAATACTCTATGTATTCTAATTATTCTAATACAACGTTTGGACTGTGGTCAAATATAGCGGTAATCTTTATACGTTGGGTTCCGCAATTCAAGAAAAAAATGTTGTTTTGAGACCAGAGGTCTTCGTATTGGTACGGAAATGGTATTATAGTAGAAGTAAAGGGAAGCATGGTAATGCATGAAGCTGTATACGTCCAGCTATCACGTGACCCACCCACCCTACGTTTAATAGTTATACTGTTGACTGTTGATAAGTGACTATTTCGTGATCGGCGTTTGTTCGATTACCGCAATCGTTTCACAACGGTCCGGTTGTTAAAATAAATTTATGGTGCGAAAAGTCCAGTTTCTCTAGTTGAACTAGTGATTAATTTATGTTTTGTTACATTTTAATTCGTAATTCTTTTTACATCACATCACGCAAATAATTAGTACAGAAGTAACGTGTAATAGACATTTCCCCGATCTTTGACCCCATGGAAATTCATCCTACATTTTTCTAAAAAAACATTTGTATTGAATTGCCGTAAATTTTCTTGTAATTCTACACAGACATATTTCGAATAATTTTTCTCATTTCATTGCAGTTCTTCGACTCTACCTCATTCAGTCAAACATTCTGTAAACTTACGCGCCGTGTTGTAAATATATTGCATTTTGCGAATTAAGTGCGTACCGGTTGTTACGATTTTTCCAGCTCATCAATGCCACGGTCTTCAATTTTCACTAAATTAATTACTAAATGAGATACTATTTATTGCATTCATTGGAGGCTAAATAAATTAGTGGTATTTGTTTATCATGGCTGCAGTCGGCCCTGCGTCTTATTGTTCTAGTAATCTAGTGGGATAGACCACGGACGCAGCTTCTTTTGATTTTTGGAAGACTGAAAAGTCGCTAAAAATGCATGAGATTGCATTTTGTTAAAAATGCTGTTTGTTCTCGTCAGCGCGACGTGCTATTTGGGCCGTAAATACCTTTACGATGTTTATTCTTCCTAAATCACAAATTTCCATCAACATGTGCATGTCTTGTTCCACGAGGACAACGATAATTACTTTTTGGTTCTCGCAAGGAATTGTGGGTTGTGAAAAACGAATTATTATATTATTATCGTCGGCGACGAGAAATTTTTAGATTGAAAAGCGGCATTGTAAAATACTAAAAATAAAACGAAGGGAAACACCATAAGTTTTGTTTTAGGAGGCCCACAACAGATTAAAGATGCTGCCCTACGCCACACATTGGGTTGGGTTGCCTTCGAAAAATTTGCTGTTTTATCGCGAAATACGAATCGAAGCAAGAAACAATCGCACACATTGTCACACATTGTTATCGCCGCGGAGTAGTTTGGAGTGGGAATGCTTTTATATTTTTAGTCGACAACAGCGAGTTACACTGGACACAATTAAATAAATAAAGCAAGCCATTTTAAATATGCCCGTGGCGCGATTGCGAATTGTACTCCTAGGGATTTTAAAGCAGACCTTAGGATTTTTCTAACGGCGATATTTCAAAAATAACCTCAAGTTGCAGTCAGTGCTAAAAGAATAGCTCAAAGTTGACAAATCCCAAGGTCGCAAAAACCCGAATCCAATCTTGCTATAATCAGGCGTATATGATACCCACATATTGCGTAGTATTTTAGAGAAGTAGTGCTTTTATTTTAACGCAAGTCAACGCAAAGGAGATTTTTGATAACACAATTAAATTCATATGGGAAGACATTTTAAATTCTCGCAAAGGCGATAGACTGAATATTTTACGCAATACCGTAGTTACCGGTATCGGCTGAACCCCCCATTTCGAGAATCCTGGCTATGCCCCTTGGATAGGCACATGTTTGTTAGTTAACAGGTTGTTAGGCAATTAGCTTGCTCTGCTGTATGGAGTTTAGACGGCGAGAAATTTCCACCCGCTACCGGTTGGCAAAACCGTTCTTTGCAAGTATATGAAACATCTGTGCAATAAGAAAATTATAATCTATACTTATTCAGTAATATTATCCTATTTTATAATATCAGCATATCAACGATTACATAAAATTTGTATGGCATTTTATTATGAGACGCTTTTCAAATAGAATTCAATTCTCACATTTGAATACACAATTGATCATACCTCTACAAGTTTATTTACTAAGTTTAATCCAGAAATGTGGTGGAAATGTTCTCTTTGTGTATCTTACTTGGCCATTGAAGATTACCAATAATATTTTACCATTAATGTTTGAGTTATATTCCAAGGAAATGAAAAATAGATATTATCCATATATTCTGATAACATTAACATCAGTTGCATTAGTGAGCTATGCCTATTTTATGCTATTTTCTTTTCAGTCCAAACACTTTGCTTTTCAGAGGTTATGTCCACTTGGCATAATACCTTCAAGTTTCAATTTTCTTTTTTTGAAAAATTGCTGTTACAGTATTTAATGGAAAAAAAGGTATTCACAAAAAAACACTGATAACATCAGTTCATCATCACTCACTTGCAGCCAACTTTTAATATGTTGCTTTGTTTTTACCAGTATTCTTACATAACCTAGTAAAGATTCAACAAAAATTGGACCATGAAAAGAAACCGGAACAAGCCAGACTTTTTCAAAATTGAAGATACAATGAAGTAAATTTTAACATGCTCTTTCTATATCAAAATGTTCACCATATTTTATTACCGTACATTGCATATTCAATTTTTTTAGAAAGTTGAAAAAGGATGAAAAAGCGAAAGATGTTAAAGTACCACATGTGAATAAAGAAGTCAAGCCACTAAGAAGAATTATTCTTCATGAGAATTTGGTATTATTTCTGCCTCACTCATTATTTAGGATATGAGTATATTTGTTTTATTCGTGTTCAATATGCTTCATTTAGGATTTGCGGTACCTAAAGAAGTCAGCGATGTGCAACTTAACTCTCTAGCTCTATATGTATGATTGACTTCTAGTATACAGCTTTTGGTAAAGTGAATACTGATGATCATTTTTTATGTATATCTTCTTAAAATATTGATTTTTTTTCGTTATAACTGTAGCTTGTTTGGGCCAAATTCAAAGGAATTGGTTGGTGGCCTGGAAGAATTGCAGACAGGAAAGAATTGAGTGGCCCATTAGATTTACCTGATGAACCTACAAGATGGGTTCACTGGTTTGGTGACCACAAGTATTCTGAGGTACGTATCCCTTTATTTGCGGCCTAGTTAATGGCAAATGACCACAGCTTACTGCACTTTTTCAATAGTTGTTGAACACAATGATATAAGACTCTGTACTTTGATGTTATCTATAATTTATATTGAATAAGTTACTTCAATTTTTAGTTTTATCCATGTCTGTTTTAGTACAAATTTAGTTGTGTTTTATGATATGCGTAGATATTTTATAAATTGGTTGTCTATTTGCACTAAAGCTGTTGTTTTCGATAGACGAAATAAACGTTGCATATGGCACACAATTAGTCTTCATCCTGTTGCTGTTTATTTACAGTTTTGTGCAAGGTTTTATGTATCATAGCTCTTATTACATACACACTATAGACGCGATTACTTCTCATTTCATTAATGCATCTTGATGGAATATTAAAATTTCTAATCTATAATTTAGCATTTTTTGATATCATATTTGCATATATCATATTTATTGTATAAATCAATGATCAAAATTGCTTGGTATTTGAAAATGCTCAGCCCGAAAACAATTTTAAATTGGCATTTAGAGGTTAGACTTCGTTAGGAAAATTCTGTAGTAAATTTTTACCAAAGAATGATGAATTTTTTCCCATTTACGGTACATCTTTTTTAAGCAAATTTGTACATAAGTGTTACTGTAACCTATTTCATTGTCAAAATATGGACTCTTAAATAAAATGAGTGGTAACAACACTTACTATTTCTAACAGACCCATGTTGATAATATCGCTGCCTTCCATGAATTTAGCAAATTCTACAACGAGAAGAAAATTAAAAACAGCATTGCATACAAATCAGCTGTTACTGAAGCGTTGCATGAAGCTGCACAAAGATCAGGTTCAATTTATTTAGTATTTGACTCGGATCAGTGTTATTAACTATATGAGTATGATGAGTTCTTCCCTGATCCCATGTTAAGCCATTTTGGATTGAATCAATGCTTGCTATGGTCATTACCAGCATTTTAATCAATTATTAATTACATGATATGTTTCAAATGGCAATCCTAACTTGGATGAATTGTTTTAAAAATGCTGTTTACAGGCAAAAAATTCGAAAACGATACAGAAATGGTTGAATGGGCTTTGAGAGATTTCTTGCCTGGTGGATATCTTGCATTTATGCCAAAAATAAAGACTGACAGTGAGTTTATTTCCTAATTTTATTTTGTGTCACTTCTACCAATATGAAGGTATGTATATACTGCAGAAAACACCCATTTTTATTGAATTTTGGACACAAATCCATTAGCCTCCGATCAGTGTGTCAAGACCATAACTACTGCACCAAAAAGTCCTACGGTTGGTTCAAAGTTGAATCATAGAATCGGACAAATATTTGAATCATCTTAAATTCCAAATGTTTCGCTTCTAACTTAATATTGTACCCTCAATAATGTTATTTCAAAAAGTAACATAAAAATCGGGACCTGGGAGTTATTTTTTTGGTAAATAAGAAACAGAAACTTGACTACTTATGTATTACATTTGTCAAAACATTGAAAGCTTAGGAAGTTTTCGTAAGGTATAAGTATTGCGGTAAAAGGGTTCTCACAATGGAAAACACCTGAACAATTTGAAATCCATTTCAAAACTCATGGTACCTAATACTCACTTTGATTCATTCAAGTATTTTCATTTCAACTTATTTGATTAAGCTATACTATTAAAAATTTAGTCTTGTTACTAAATTTCTATTCTTACTGATACTGTTGATTAATATTTTTCAACCAGCTCAATTTGAACTTTGTCTGTGTTCCATTCTGATCACAGTTTTAAATTGTGTCTTACATCCAACATCATTATTGAAAAAGCCCATATGTAATGCTAACTCCAATCAGATAATGCATTTATGTTTTGTTGTTGTTGATAAATTTCATTTGAAAAATGGTTAAATTTACCATTATTTGGTTTGTGAAAAATAAGTAGTGAGTTCTTAATTTGTGGAAGCATTTTTGCTTTCAGACTTGCAGGATTTTTTGAGTACTTTGAATTTTCAATTTTTTCAATAATGATTGTTACTCCATATCTTAGAAACTAAGCGAACGAAAAATCAAGCTACTTATGGCATAACTAAATATATTATGAACTTCAGTCTTTTATCGCTTTGAATCTCTATTGTCGTGATTTGTGATACAATAGGCCAGGGTGGTCCACACCCAGGCCCACAGGCCCATGTGCCCCGCAACCTCATTATCTGTGGCCCACGTCGCATTTGCTGGAGGGTAATCACATTTGGTGTTGTCTTGTCATGAAAATAGCAATAAGAATCTATTGACATAATGTTACATCACTAATGTCACAATTAATGTGTTGTGGCCTAACGTTATAAATCCTGTCGCCTGTTTTTTTTTTCAAACAGCCTAAACAGTATTACAAAAAATTATGCCTGTATGTCAGAAAATTTAGTAATTATCTTCCTGTACCTCACATTTGAAAATCAATCAATATGGAGGTATTTGTAAATTATTTTGTAAACATGAGTTTGAAAAAAAAAGGTGACCAATTCAAGCAGATTTTTAACTGGATATGGGAGAGAAAATTCCAGAATGCACGCTTGATATGTTGGCAAGTTGTGCCGGTGACAAAAGAATATAATCCAAAACGACCTTGTAGAATTAAATATCATGTAGAACAGGGGTCGGGAACCCATGGCTCTTTTGGTGACGGCATATGGCTCCCAGAAAAATCTATTATTCTAAGATTAAGCTTACTATTGTTACTAGACTGCAAACTATTTTATAGCCAAATTTGGCAAAAAATTTCCAATACGTTTGACAATGCCGGCCCAGCGCATGTCTATGTTATTTAAGAGAATTACCAGACAGGCATTGTGACAAAACATGGGGATTCTGGAACATATATTGTGACATCACAAAGCGATAGAGTTTTAAAATACTACGGAGATGCCTAAACGAAAAAGGGTGATGAGTATCGTAGATTTCAACTTGGGCTGCATGTGAGCAACCGTTCAAGGCCCGCAGCGACAACATGCAGCATCAGAAGTCACATTAAATGTATATTGACATGGAATGTGTTGACTTTGAGTAAACGTTTCAGGCCTGATTAAGTGAAGAAATGTTATATGGCTCGCACGGAAATGCAATTGAAAATATGTATATTTTAGGGCTCTCTTGACCAAAAAGGTTCCCGACCCCTGATGTAGAGCATTGATTATTTTCCAAAGTTAAGGGATTTTGCTCTAAGAATCTTATCGGTGTTCGAAAGCAATTAAATTTGCAAAAGCTCCTTCTCCGGTTTTAAATCTTAAACTCAATGTAGATATACAACGACTTTTTACATGTTTTAGAGAGTTTTTCATGGTCTTCGCATGTTTTATCTTGATGAATGACAAATAATGATCGATGTGTTTGCACAATAAAAGTGTTTGTATTGTACTGTTTAATTACTTTTGGTACTATTGTGACCTGTGAACCATGCTAATTTTGTGGCACCCGAAGCGGACATCCTTGGACCACCTTGCACTAGGCTCTCTAAAGTCAAAATTTATTTATATCAACTGATTTTATATAGGAATTTTGTATAGACCATTTGAACAAAATCTGACGTATTGCTTGTAATATCAATTGGTATATTTTAAATTGCCATTTATTGTTTTCGTTTTGGAATTGAATCTAAGGTATAGCATGAAAATTTAATAATTGAATATTGTTACGAATAATGTACAGTAGTGAGGAAAATTAACATTATTTTTATATTGCAAATTTTTAGTTAGCAATAAAACAAAAGTAGTTGTGAAATTATGGAATTTAATGTATTTTATTTGTCAATATAGCATTCACTGTTTATGTAGATTGTAGAACATGTATATCATTTAAATTTTCAAAATAATCATCGTTTGTCCTTTTGTTTTTGCTTCATAGTTATTAACTGCACAGAAGTTATGACACAAAACAAAAACGAAGATAGAACTAAAAAAGCATCTCATGAACAATCATCACAATCCGTAGAATCAGAACTTCTTCAACAGCGAAATATGATGTTGTGTCATGTAAGCAAAACTGATCATGTTAGGAACTAATTCCTCTACGGTTGGAGTGAAATCAGACAGATTTCGTATGATATTTTGATATTGAGCAATCATTAAAAAACTAATTACATATAGATAGGATTACCATACGTCCCGGTTTAGCCGGGACAGTCCTGGTTTTCAGTATGACAGTCATAAATATTTTTTCTATTCAATACTTTTTTTTACGGAGGCAGCCGATTTACCACTGATTTGCGTCTCACTTCACAGTTAAGAGTGAGAGAAAAATTGTTATGTCATAGTTATGATATGAACTGTGAACCATGCATTAATTTAACACCCAACTGTACTGTCGTTGAATCATCGAAATGCCGGAAACAAAGTGTAAGTTTTCTAATGAGTTGAACGATTTTCATTATTTGAAGCAAAGACCAATAGAGGATATTTCAATATGATTTACAGCTATTTTCGATGCCCATAATCTACCGACAATGGTATTTAAAACGTTTAAACTAAGCTGTTGGTATCGAACCAAGGCTGGCTTGTCCAATCTGCGCCATCCCGTTTTTTTGCTTCAGAAATAGGGTAAGCCTACATATAGACAGAAATGCAACTAGATCGGTAGTAATTTCTGGAAGCTATATGCATGCATTGGGGCAGTAGTTACATAATATAATACCAATAGTCAATGAATGACAATGATTTTGTTGAATTGTAGCTTTTACATTACAGTTTATCGCTGTAATATTAAGATATTTATAAATTTTGAACATTGTCTACTATATTTTTTCTTGACAGACAGAATCTGTCTCCATGTAGAAGCATTAGTTACCAGTAATAGTTTTTTTTCATGCTAGGTGAAAGAGGGTAGGCTGAAAATCCAGGATATTTGTTTGGGATGTGGAGATCAAGATGTGAAAGCCAGTCATCCATGTTTTGAAGGTGGATTATGCAATGCTTGCGAGGTTTGTTTTCATGTTTATGCCATTTCACAAGATAGTATTTCTTGTATAATACAAAATAATCGTCTGGAAGTCGGAATGAAAGCCATTGCGGCACATGTCCCAAATATGTATTCGAAGTTCAGAGTAACCTAGAAGTGAATTAAATTATTGAGGTAAGTACTATAAATCAATAATAATCAAACATGGGTTATTTGTAAACAATATACCAGTCAGAACAATTTTAATTACCGGTAGATAACGTACTGGGTCACATTGGAAACGCAAAATGTCATGAGGTCACACTCAAAACACAAAATGCCACGCTTTGCTAGGGATGGCCAATTCAGAATATTGAATCCGGATGATTTGAATACTTTAGTATTCCAAAATAACTCGTTTCATGCCTCTTTAGCACTGTGTGATGATTTTCATGATTCGACTACTTTGTTTATTATTTTGACTCGAGAGACATAGATAGATACCAAATGGTAAAAATGGAAACTGTAAAGTCTATTGCTATGCTTCCCAACCTATAGGTCGCCTAAGAATCTTCTTGGGTCGCTTGTTTTTTTACCAAAAACCTGAAAGTTACTGATTTTATTTTCTAGCGAATTTCATTGTTTATTATTATCTCAAAAACTCGCTGATGGCAAAAAAAGCAGCTTTCTCACTTGAGATAATTCCTGGGAAAATAAAGGTTATGTTAAATGATTGTTTTATATTATAGTCCTTTCATTTGTGACATGAAAGCACCTAGTACATGTCGTTTAGTATTTGAACATGTCCTTGGGTCGCGAGATTTTACTAAATTTTTTTTTTAAATTTATGTTGCTTGAAAAAAAGGTTAGGAACTATTGGTATATTGCATGCTTGCATTTTCCGCTCCACTTTCAATTCACCATATACAATGAGTGATACCTTGGTAGTCGAACATAATTCGTTCAGGATTGGTGTTCGACTAGAGATTTGTTTGAATACCAAAACTTCCTTGCCATAAGAAACAATGGTAACTATTTTACATTCTTCCAAAATACACAAACCCAAACAACAGAAAATGTGTACATAATGAAGATGAAAATATAAAAAAATTGTATCAGTTACTCTACATTGGAGCAAATTTCTATGGTCTCCACAGGATTTGTTTTTTGTGTGCGATGACGTCAACATAAATTGCGCACCTTGTGCTGGTTCCGCTTCCGTTTAGTCATGAAGATTGTCGTACCGGTAGTACTGTGACCGATTGCAGATCATAGATTTTAGTCGACTACTGATTTGTTTGACTATCGGGTCGTTCGATTTCCGAGGTGTCACTGTACTAATATCAATTATTGATAGTGGTGGATACTCTACCTGCGATTTTACGATTACCTCATTTCAACAAGCAATAATTTTTGAATGATGCACCACTGTTCATACAATGGGGTCTAATCAATTCTTCCAAGAATGTTAAAAATTTGAATGTGTGCGATCTAGTCCAGTCTTCCAATAATAATAATAACTGCTAATTCATAATCATTGCCAGTTTTTTTTTTGTACCCCAATGAGCACTATCAAAGTATATATTTAACAGGTGTGTTCATTTACAATATTAGTATTTGGTGATTATATAAATTTTGTCCAATGCTCATGATTTTGCTTTTTAAAAATTTTAATCTAGCAGTGTGGCGGGAGAATTCTATTTTTTAAACCACTGTAAATAAATATAGAATATAATTCAGTATCAGTACTATAGAGTGAATTCAATTTGAATAGTAATATCACTCTGAATTAACCATCTTTACTGATTCTGTTAAATAAAAAAGCATTGATCTCAATAGCGATAACATGCGAAAATATTTGTAAATTGAATGCATATGACTAAGATGACAAAATGTTGTGTGTCAATCAAATTTTAACCAAATAAACTGCCTTACATTCTAAATTTTATAAATCATAAATTGTTATATTAAGTAGCAATTTCTCTCATGCAAATGCCACAAAGAATGTCTTTTTGGTTGAATGAAAGTTGATTATGACTATTTGTGTAACTTTTAAGACCAATTCTTGTGGGAATACTAATTATTTTACAATAGTAGTTTTGTAAGTTTAAAATAAAATTCCAGAAAAAAATGATTCAAATTGCAATGATACTATAGTTGAAAATTTATTTTCTGTGTATTTATGTTATATGCATGGCAGATTGACTACACTGAATGTATGTATTCTCCAGACCATTATGGATGTTCATCATATTGCTGTGTTTGTAGTGGGGGAAAAGAAGTACTTTTATGTGATGAACCTGATTGCACCAAGTATGATTTAAATAATTGAAATGTGGTTCAACATAGGATTAATTAACCTCTTGAACCCTTGTTTGAGTACGCTCTGTGCCCCGGCAAGCCGGATTACCGGCTTGTTTTTCGTGTCGGAAGGAATCCACTTTATGATCTCGTATCTCAAGAACCACAATGAGTATTTAAATAAATTTTATATTGCATGAAAGCTTGTTATTGGGACTAATTATATTGTAAATATCGGTGCTCTAATATACGATGTTTCAGTAAAATTGGCAATTTGAAAGTGCGTATGAAATTATTGTATGATAACAAATATTTAATATAAAGAATTTCGACTTCTTGCCTAAATAGCCACATATTCAATCGACAATATATGTGGAGAATTTGAATGTCTTTCTATTGACACTTCCGCAACGTATGTATGACAAACCATTCAAATTTTGTTGCCAAATATGTTTGATATTCTGTAGCTTTGACTGCGTCGCTATACGTCAACCTGACGTTTTTATCGACGTAATGTTTCGTCTCGTCACACACGACTTTGCGTAACTTACGCAAATGCAACTGGGCGTATCGATACCCGAAATCACGTAACGGCGAGATGTTATTATTTAAATGTGCGCGGAAAACAATTAATTAACCCGATGTCACTCATTCAAAGTTCGCCCTAGGCTTTGAAATTGACTTCCCGCTCCAGCCCCGATAAACACATACAAAATATGAACCAGATTGTGGTTTCATTACAAAAAAATGCGGAACAATTAAGAACACGCAAAAGAAGAAAATGTATAAGTATAATAAAATATTATGTGGATAAAAGACTGCTATACACTCTAAACCCAATATTGCACTTTGTTATGCCAATCATACCAATGAATATTGGTTTCATTCCCTATGCATAAGTATTCATCGCAGTATCTCCATTTGAACGTCGTCTTTCATTGTTTGGGCAACTCTTTGTCTTTAGCGGCAGAATTGGCCTTTCTTGCAATTTTGTAAATTTTGCGGGATACAACGCATCTGTTATTAGTGCTGGCATTTTTCGGTTTAAACACATCGTGGCGTACGTTTACTTGAAGTCTTTTCATATCTATATGCCATAAGTCATAAGTTTGACTTGCATCGCCTAACATTCGTACAATCTGACATTTTGATCTGAAGAGCAGGCAAGTACCTATTTTGGTTGATATTTGAACAAATACTGATGGACGAATAAAACATTTTCCACGGAAATTTTATATGACGATATAAACTTCCCTTCACTTCACCAATACTGCATGCGTTACTCGACGTCGGTGCTTCAATCATATCGGGTTAATATCAGATCAAAACTCGGCGACCGATGCCCCGCTGAGAACGTCGTCGTGAAAGTTATCTTGCGCATTTTTCAACGCAATACGTTTCCAAAGTACGTATCAACATCTTCATGACTTTAGTCACGTGATCGGCTTCTGCGTAGCTGCGAAATCAGTGAGCCATGGCCGCTTTTCGAAGTTGTTCATCCGACCAATGACATTAAACAACATGATAGGCAACTCTGACGTCACTCCGTAAGACTACAGGCAAAACATTGTATTTCATGATACGCTCCAATGCACATATTTCTCGTCGCCTTTCCCGTCCGTTTTCCGCTCGCTTTTGCTACTCGGCGTCTTTTTTACGTGTAGTACTTGCCTTTTTGCGCCTGTAACGAAACAAAATAATCTCTATATCTAAGACGTTTTGCTTACTTGGAAAGCTGGAATAACAGGCAAGCTGTAAAGAGCAATTCTGGACATCATAGACGTTTTTTTTTTATCAGAGAAGATTACAAACGCGATAGCGGAAAGATTTGTGTGGAACATTTTGCAGATAATGACAAAGTTCAAAGTTAGTAATTTTAATGTTTGCGCTTAATCATTGAAATTTCATTTAAAGAGGGTGTCATACAAAACTGTGCTGCGATACAATTCCATAACACAAAGTTTGCACCTATCGAACTTGCTTTTGTAGGTGAATTTATTAGACATATTACATATTCAGTTAATCGTAGGTAACATTGCTGGTACATAATGCATCGTAGATAGGTTTGTTTAAATTTAGGAATTTAGCTCATAGCCCACTAATTAATATTATCTTCTATGCAGGAGGTTGCAGGGCTGAATTCAACTTGCAGCCTTACCGATCACCTGACGATGCTCATTTAGTTTGGCTCGAGCAAGTCTTCTTGAAATGCTTGTGTGGATGGAAACTACCTATATTTTTTGCCTTCCTCCGATTTTAGACAAATTTATTCTGAGGGATTTCGCATATAATTCTCACTGATTGTTGGCTGTTTATAATTCCTATTGATTGTGAATTCTGATTATAACAATGAGTTGAAAATTTTTTTACCTAATTTACTGGCACCTTTTTCTTGTCAATACTCCAAGCTGAGGTAATAAACATGACAATACATTTATGTCATCTGGAAGCAAAATATGCACACTAATTAATAGTTTGGCACATTGAGATAATACATCATGACAGAAAATACAAGTTAAAGATATGTATGACCATCACATGGTAATTAAAATTAAAAAAAATTAATAGGGGCTGTGGAGTATGGAAAGTTCAAGACAAAGAAAAGAACAAATGTTCATAGCTCATGAACTCTCAATTTTGCCTCCATTGCTTTGTGAAGGCCAATATATTTCGAGTGGCTGAATTGGTTTACCTTTATGATAGCAACGATTTTGTATTTAATATAGCGAGATTATTTCAATTTAATTGAAGTGATATAATTTCCCAAAGCAATGCTTGAATCGTCTAGAATAGATCAGTGGTGTCAAACTCATGGGTTTTCGACAGCCGCATTGCATTTTGAAAATTGTAAAAAGAGCCGCAAACAGTTTTTGATAATGTATACTTAAAAGATATTTTTAAGATAGTTTTAGTTTGTGACATATATTGTGATGCAACTAAACAGTTGGATTAAGTTTTATTATTTTCTTCAATTTCAAATGCAATTACATATTAATATTTGCATTCCACTATTATTGCAACATTTGCAAGTTACAGTATTTATTATAAAAAATCGTAAAATTCTATGTACAACCATCAAAATCATTTTTGAACAAGCTTTGAATAAGGAAAGAATAATACATACACTAAAAATAACTTAATCTAAATATATGAACCTAAAATTAACAAAAATACTACAGTATAAACTCAATGTTTTAATAATTACATTTGTCCTGGCGTTTGGCATCTTTTTTGTGTCACCAGCATACTAAGGCCAGTCTGAAATGATTTTATAGTACCAACTCTAACTAACGAGGCCACATGATCATGGGTTTATCTGGATCTTTACGAATGTTTAATTAATTCCAGTAATGCAAAAAAGTTACTTTTATCATTTCATGTATAGATCAGTAAAAAAACAAATGACAGATTTCGCACTACATTGCGTGGCATAGGATTGCTTGAATTATTATTGATATTGATTTTTAGTAACTAAGTCGTTGTATAATTATATTAATATACAAACACATGGAAATTTTCTGTTCGAAGTTGGTCTTCGAATTTGTCATATTGACTGCTGAGCTTATTGTGTTTTTTGATTGTATTGATGGAAATATGACAAATTAAACAATGTGCTTCAGAATTTTGTGAAGAGCAGAAATGTTACAACTCCCATTTTCTTCGAAAATGCCACCTTCTTCATGTACTTTGCGTTTAATTTAATTACTCAAGTGTTTTATTCAAGTATTCTTTTGCTAGCTTGATGTGTATTCTTAATTGGGTCAAAATGTGGACAAAAAAAATTAATATTCCAAAACTACTTTCAGTAAATTGTTTTCTGTGTGAATAATCAATTTCACTTTAGAAGGTTTGAAAAATCTATTACATTTAGATAAAAAAAAAACTTCCAAAATACTATTACAATTATTGTTAAGCGTTTGAGGGCCGCACTGGAAGTTCTCTGGGGCCGCGAGTTTGAGATCCCTGGTCTAGATTGAAGTTGTTCAAAAAATATATGATAGTATTTTATCATGAATGATGATTATACCCCTTCCGGAATTTCTTCTATAGTACTACCAAAAGTTGATGAACCAAATATAACACAGGTGCAGTGAGGTACCCGTAATCCTCATTTCCAAAGCTGTTTTAAGTATGTCTGGCGTGTTTTGTGCCTTTTTACAAATAAAACCGCTTATGCAATCTTACGCTTTGGAATTTTTAGTTATTTTCCTCAAGTCCTGCAGGTTGTGGGGGCCATACACAACTCTACCGGAGGGTCAAATGTCTTTGCATGCCTCCATAGGTTGTTTTTCTATTGCAAATTTCTATTTTCAATTGCATTATATTTCTTGGAATCACACTGTCACTGATATGTTGCCAGACTTTTGATATCTCCCCGTCTGCTATAGTTGTCCTGTGAATAAATAATAGGAAATTGAGATTAGACGAATAGTTGAAAGTTTTGCTTTATGTCTGCTTAATTTCTTGATTGATATACTTACTATTTCTGCTATTGCCTCTTGTGCTGCAAGAGTCTCACAATGCTTAGACAGGTTGTCCACAACTTTCACATCTGAAGAAAGAGAGGAGATTTATTAATTTTCGTTAAGAATAAATAAAGCAGTCTATATGATTCAGAATGGAAAAGCTAATAAATCCAATATCTCATGTTTTATTTAAAAAATATTTTACTGAATTTGGTATATAAACCAACTAATAAAAGGGTTTAGTCAGAAAATTACAAGCATTCGTGGCTCCAAATACTTGAGAAATCAGACTATACAATATAGACCGGTATGAGTGAAATGTTAGGTGAACTTGTTAACACTTTGATTCAATACGCAAATAAAAGTGAATGCGTAATAGTATGTTACAATGAGCAGCAATCAACAATGAGTATATATCCTCACTGATTAAAAAAATCTAACTGGAGGTGCATGAACTATTTGAAACCATAAGGGGTAAGTAAATATGTAATTTCGGCAAATGGGCAACTACGTACCGTACTGAATTAATAACTTCGTAGTATTTGATAAAGGCTGGCTTTCCCACATGTACTTAACAGTGCGATGCCCGGGTGTGATATACAACAATAGTATTCACCTTACCTTTTACCGATTTTTTTTTACCCCAACTTTCAAAAATATCATTAAAATCGACAACAACTGTCAAAGCAGGCACGAACACCATTCGTGTTACGCCTTGAAAGCAGCACACATCCGCTCGTTTTCGTATCGTCAAGTATGTGCATTGGAGCGTGCTATCGAATACGATCTTCGGACAAAAATGCCGGAGTTGCGCATCATGTTGTTTAATGTCATTGATCCGACACAATGATACACAATTGAATATTTAAATATAAAATTGGTTATACGGCAGCCACGATAATAATTCGAATATCAACAAAAAGATTATGAAGAACTCTTTATGAACATCAATTATTGGCAGTATATTTTGTGCCAAAATATGAAGCCATAACTCACTTACATGCAGAAAAATCACTGTTAGATTAGAGTCAATTTTATTGTTTTTGACAAAATGTATTTCAAAAGGGAAAATACATTCTGAATGCACGATAAAATTTCCTTTTGATTGAAATGTCACACAACGTGCTACCTAAATTTGATAAAAAGTTATAAGCGTGCAAAATAGCCAATATTTCGAATTATTTTATTATTCTACCAATACGGCGCCGCGAACCTTCAGGGTGAGCGAGTAACTTCGCTCAGAGACGTCAGAGTTCAAAGAGTTAAACTGTTTTATCTGCATGGATATGCTTTGTAATAAAACTGAATTTGTAAACATGTTCACTTTACCTTTCTTTTTTTATGATAAGGATAATAAGATACTTACTAGGGATGGGCTGGGATTCGGACTCAGATTCGAGTCGAATTCAGGCATTTTTTGGACTCGGATTCGATTTCGAGTCCACGTCGTTTTTACCGAGTCTATAATCAATTCTGTTTTTACTAATTTACGCCTATGTTTGTACTTTTACCCTTATAAATCTCACTACATACCTTAGCTAGTTGAAATTCAAGGTTAGACATGTCACTTGTGTGTATTATAAACACACCTAATAAAAACGACGACAGATATCCAGATAATATAACGCAAGTTAAAAATTATTGATAGCTTATAACAATGATGCGCCAGTCGCCTTCAAATTATCTATCCTTTCTGGTATACATGTGGTACACAATAAAATATGCGTTAGCGCAATATTTTCGAGTTTTCGATTCGGGTAAATAAATATAAAACATGTGCAGGAGCAACCCAAGGGGGAATCTCACATAAATCGAGTTTATTATGGGAATTTATGCAAGGTGGTGGGCTGGAAATCCAGTTGACCCGCGTTTACAGTTGTATTATGGCCGCCAAAAAAGAAGAAAAATATATTTTTAAATTGATTCAACAGCTATCTGCTGAACCATTAAGGAAAAAAATATGAGCTACGACGTATGTTTGTAAGCGCGCGATGCTGTAGTATGGTCAAAAACGTGTTTTCTACTTTTACATTGTGACGTCACGAACTCGGAGGATTCGATTAGAGTCCTTGACCTATTACTCGGATTCGTCGAATCTCTGTAATGCCGGACTCGTCCCATCCCTAATACTTACCGTACACAATTTTGGCAAGAGGATTTAAAGTATTTATATACTTATAGGTGCTTTTGTAAGGATTGCATAACTGGAATGGTTGGTCCTCAAGCTCTCAAAAAGGTGATGTTAATTGTGTAATTATGTTTCTGTCAAAATATTTCATCATACTTGAGTTTCTCCCACTTTCGGTAGGAATCTGATATGTCACCACTGATTACCCTACACCAGTGCTCTTCAACCTTTTTGTTATTGTGGAACCCCTGATATAATTTTTCGTTTTTTATGGAACCCCAATTAACAGAATTAAAAAAAACACAAAATACTCGTAGCACGAAAAGCTGAACAACAACTTTATTTTGTATTATATACTCTCTCTAGTCTCGAGCAATATCTACATATCCTGAGTAATTCAATAAATAGTCTCGCTGTACACTAACACAAATATATTTCTGTAACGTTTCGTCTGACCAAGGTCAAACTTCCTTAGACATGCATATTTCAACTAAAGCAAGAATAATTGCTGTTCTTGCTTTAGTTGAAATATGCATGTCTAAGGAAGTTTGACCTTGGTCAGACGAAACGTTACAGAAATATATTTGTGTTAGTGTGCAGCAAGACTATTTATTGAATTACTCAGGATAGTTATCTCCACTCTTGCTACAGCATCCTTGCATTATATGCATACGGATCCACCGACGCAAAAGCATAGAAAACTGAAAAAGTAGTTGGTTTTGTAGAAACCCAATCAATATCTACAAACTTTGAACATCATGTAACTATGGTGCAACAATAGCGTTCTTGTTAGTTGCATAACAATGACTAAAGTGACGCAACAACCGGAAATATTCTGTTTTGTCTATTAACTGCACTGTGACTAAATCTCCTGTTTAACGAATTGGCCTACTTGGGAGTTTGAAGGAGACACGGTGGTCTAAGAATCTTTATAATGATGCATCAACATGCTGAAGCAAGAAATGATTTCCCCTGAAAAAGAAAAACGCGGAACCCCTGAGGAACCCTATAAACTCACGGAACCCCACTGCATGTATTACGGAACCCTAGGTACCGCGGAACCCCTGTTGAAGAGCACTGCCCTACACAGCAGATACTTTCCTAAAGCCTGCAGGGAATGATCATGTGCACTACAGTTGCTTTTTGTTTTTTAGTTCAAAGCAATTCATATGACTATTCGTTCGCTTTTCCTACAAAATATAACTAAATTTAAACCAATCAAACTGTTTTTCAAATCTTATACCCAATCTTGCAACTTTTTCCTTTAAAGAGAGATTTTATTATCACAAACAGGGTCAATACTATGATATATTTGAAACAATAATTTGTATTTGCAATCGAAAAACGATAATTTGAATGAACATTAAATATTATCATATGCTCTAGGATCTTCTTCAAAAATGTTGGCAATGCTACTTGTGCAGAGAAGCTTCTCAGCACGGCCTCCTTGTCAGACATGCAAATTGGAAATTAATGATGGATGAAATTTCGAATAAATGTGATGATATTGTGTACGCTACAGTGAGTTGATTACATTTGTAGTTTTTGAGACCATTGGTAACTTTAATATTCTAATACATTCAACTGCAGTGATTTTGGATGAGTCGCACTTTCTGTCAAAACCTGTCTTCCCATTTTTTATATTTTTGACTGAATATTTCATTTTTTGTTTTTCTATAGTTAATTGAAATACATGTACAACCAAAATTGCCAATATTTATAGGTCCTAATAATTCTAATTCAGGTTATTCTTTTTTAACCATGATCATTGGGTCAATATTGTTCCAAAGTACTGGTTGACATACTATTTTCTTTCAATCCCCTCTTAGCAACACCAAATACATTGTTTTTTGAATTAGCGTATCTTGAATTCAAATCACCTGAATTGAACAACCGAAAATCTTGTTGTTTAAAGTTTTAGGTACCCAGTCAACTAAGTTTGTTATCTTGCAGATATTACCTAGCTACGCACTACAGAATGGATCAAAAAAGAAAATTAAAGTTTTGTCGTTGTTTGATGGAATTTCAACCGGTGAGTGTGTGATAGCTCTTCTTTGACAAATTTTGAATGCAATTTTCATATTAACAACTGGAAGGGTATTTAGGCAGAAGGTAAAACTTCGCTACTTTATTCGTTCTGATAGATATATTTCCAAAAATAGGATTTGGATTCAATAAGTAGAGTTTATATTTACTCGTAAATAAAAACTAAGATATTCGCAGGATATCACTTATTTCATATTATACTGGTGGCAATTTATTTGCTCAATGTCATATCAATGTGATATGTAGGATGTAACAAGGTAATAATGAGGTCATACATCATCAAGTCAGCTCTAAATTTAGATAATAATAATATAAAATTGTCATACCTAACTTGACGTGTTGTCTTGACATGTTATTAAAAATTTGATGACTTCATACAATGTTATCAATACCTGTAAATGCCTGCGGATTTTGTATCATTCCTCTCAAAGCTTCAACATGAATCTTTGTCCTATTCTAGAACAGTGCTTTTCAACCTTTTTATCATTATAGAACCCTCATTCAAGAAATACTGAATTAAATCACTGTTTTACACAAATAAATATTGGGAAATTGACACAGTCCACTTAAAGAGAAACTCTCATCCTACAGAACTCGCAAATCTCAAGGAGACCTAATGAGCAGTTGAAAAGCATTGTTGCTATATAGTTGGGCATATTCAATTAACTTATGGAATTTGTTATCTTCCTTTTATTAGGAATGGTTGCTCTGAAAGAGTTGAATTTTAGCATAGATGAATACTATGCATCCGAGATTGATCAAAATGCAATATACATATCCCGAGCTCATCATCCTGAAATTCTGCATATTGGTGACATCGTAAACATCAACAACAAAGAGGTCGAGTTTTCTTTGAGCAGGGAATAGCAACCTTTTGAATGTAGTGTTTCAGATCACAAATTATCTTGAATTACCGTGGTTCAAATTTGGCAAAATCTGCATAAATGAGGCAAATATACAAATGTCAAAAAGAGAAGGACTACCGCAAATTATGAATAATTTCAAATAGCCATTATTTTTGCTAATGTTGCATAATTTCATAGCTACAATAATTGAAGCCTTTGCCATGCTTTGAGAATAGCTGTTTGATATTTATTGGAAATTGGCAATTTTCATAGTTGATACTTGATAGCCTCATTTTAGTTGACTTGAATTATCCCGGCATGGTCATATGTTTGGGTTTTATTGTTATGAACTAGATATAGTTGATATTGCAATATAAATTATAAAATTTATTTAAGCTGTTGGAATGGGGGCCGTTTGATTTGCTAATTGGAGGAAGTCCATGCAATGATTTGTCCATTGTGAATCCTGCTAGAAAAGGACTTTGGTCAGGTAATGATATGTGAACTTGCAATTTGTGATATGGGTTGTGAATAGAGTCAATTATCATTCTTATAATTACTGTCATGAACTAAATGCTGGTTTGCAGAAAAGGGTTCCGGTCACCTATTTTTCGAATTCTGGAGAATACTAAATACATGTATGTTGCAAGCTTCTGTGCACCAGAAACCTTTTTATTGGCTTTTCGAAAATGTTGTGCACATGGATCGAAATTCAAAAGATACAATATCAAGACTATTGCAGGTAGCAGCAACCCAAAATAGTATAATTTCAGACATATATAGTTATATCAGCTTAATTATCTGACTAACCATGGCTCATAATGACATATATAACTTGAAAGTTTTAGGTCATGGAGTTGGGATGTCTAGGACGTGAATAATGTTACCACAATAGGCTAGTCAAGCAATGTCCTTGCCTATCACATTTAAATTCTCTAGGTGTTAAAAATTGGGGTCTCCATGTAATTAAATATGTTCTGACTTATAGCAGACAACTTGTCTCCTGTACCACAACACCTTGTCACTGTACCGGAGTAGGGTGTACTATAATTTATGGATATTTGAACCCATACTAACCCTAACCCATGGGTTTTTGCACCCGCATATAGATTGAACCCGCAGATATACACATGGGTGCAAATGTACGGTCACCAGTCCAACCATGTGTATACTTGCCACATCTCAGATATGCTCTCGAAAGTCGCACTATACAAAAATGAGCAAATACTTTTTGGCATTTTCCTTTTACTGTTGTATTGAGGTGTCGCATATATATGACAAATCCTTACTGGAATAAGTCTTGTAATTTCCCAGTGACTTGAACGACATGCTGATTTTGCACACCAACTATCTTCAATACTAATAATACTGAAAGCAAGTCCATAATATAAGATTTTAAAAGTAATACTGCAATGCGATTAATTATATCCAAGTAGTAGGCCTACTTGATTTAGTAAACTTGAATCGAAGGAACCCTTATTCCTAATAAAAATTTTTCCATTTTAGAATTTGCATTGCTACTGCAATATTTTACAATGTTAGTTCGTATTTAACAATCTCTTGATTATTTTAGAAAACTCCAGTATTGCTAGATGCAAAGAAGGTATCCCCAGCTCAAAGACCTAGATTGTTTTGGGGGAACATTCCTAAGATGGACAGGTTTGATTTTTTATGTTTTCAGTAGTGAGTCTGTGCAAATAGTAGTGCATTTGAGGGTAGGTTTATGACGATAACTCCCAATTATCCTACATGTTGTCACCAAAAAATAAAACAGAAATGAAAAGGAACTAGATTATGATTTAATTCCATGTTTATTCGAAAAACATTTGACTAACAGATATTGGATGTAAGGTCAGGAGTTCGGTTTTGACATGCTATTATGAATGATACCGGTACCTTTAACCATGCATTTCTATTCTCAACGAAAAGAGGCCTATGTAGCAGGAATCGAAAGATTTCTCTTATGATGTCACATAAGTAATTTTCAAGAATTTATCAGAGACCAGCCGACATACAATTATAAGTGCAAAGTGATGCTCATGATTGTAGCTGCTTTTAGTCTGTTACTGTGACTCCAAGAGACAGGAGGCTGGACGCGGTGTGGGATGGACGTGTTGCGGCTCTGAAACGGTGCCGAAGATAACAACTCTGTTACTGAACGCGGAAACAACTAGATAAACAAAGTTAGAAACAGTTAACATCTTAAATTCTTGCCAGTTTTCCTGACCTTCCCATTCGTCTGTGCGTTCATTGTTTATGTTTTGTGTGTTCATTGTTTTTTTTTCTGCGCGCTCTTACTCCATAGTGACACCTTGTGTCCCATCACTAATTAATTAATAACTCGCTAATTATACGACATAATTCGCCCAAAATCAATAGGCTTCTGGTCCGAGATATGATGAATGCACATGAAAAATCTGGAGCAAATTCATCTCGTGTAAGTAATAAAGTTATACTTATTATAGTGTACATGCCTGCCACCGCACCATTCAACCAGGAGATATTCAGGAAAGGACAATTTCGTCTTATTAATAGGCAGACGTATCTCAACGTCTTTCTTTGGCCCGGGATAAATTTGTAAACCTATAGGGCCAGACAGAACATACGTTAGTGGTCTGTTTGCTATGTGATTAAACCATACCGAAAACCTCGGTTGTATACAGAAAACAAGCGTGAATAATTCTTGAGATTTTTCCGAAGATATTCCACCATACTTTGTACCGAAATGATCTTTCTGACGACTGTTGGCTTATTACGCCAAGCTTAGGAACACAATGCTAAATGTGTGATTGCGTAGGATTCATGTGTTTACACGTAGTGGTTGGTTAGATATTATAAATGATAAATTTCGTGTGACCACGGCTGGCTTTCTGTGTCATCCATGACCAAGCATTGGTCTGATCTCATACTTGATGTACAAGATTTACCGTGTAATTAAATTATCAATTTTTATCATGGATAAACACGATTATCTCGTTTATAGTCGATTATCCAAAATCCGCATTCAGATTTTATTTAGTCAACAATAGCGCACATGGGACGTCACAAATTCTTCAGGCAACAATTGCGGATGCGGGATAGACATAATAAACCTACAAGACTATTTATTGACTGGTTTTGCTTTTAAACTCTGGCTAGTATATATAAATTGCGATTTTTCATGAAATGGTAGAAAAACTGGTGTACACAGTTTTGATTGTGGTGGCATTTACTTAAAACATTGTAAAAATGCCGGAGAATCTTCGATTTCATTACATAGAAATCGCTCAAACATCTTCTTCGTATTGATTTTATTTCTATTAATAATACACGATCTGTGCACTATAAAAAAAAAATCGTTAAAGTGCCCATCAAATTGTGACTGGTCTGAGCTAGAGTAGTGGACGCCGGCGAGTTACGTACCCACAGGTTGACAACGGCTTGATCCAATACCCCATCATAATAACGTGGATATTTGACAATTTCGCTGTGCTCTTGTTCATTCATTAAATGCTTGAACATGTATGCAAAACCCATCGGGTATTGTCATTCCCACTGATTCGAAAGTTTTTTTTAAAGATACGTGTCCGCCAACCCCACTTTTTGCGTAGTTCATCAAATGTGCCGGACCCCCAGATTGCGAATATTATGAAATTGTCTCCACGCAGAACACCGGAAAATTCTCTGAAATATTTGCCACTCGACGACATAGACTACCATACCGTTTGCAATAACGCCACGCGAATAGTTCCATATTGTGTCTATATTATAGCTTAATTTTGCAAATTTGAAAGTTTTGGGGAAATTAATGATATATCTACGGAATACAGAAAACAGTATATATATATGCATATATATATAATATTGTCAGTAGGCTATACTGTATATGGACGCAGTGAATCTTAGCCTTATGGTACTTTGTTGGCGACTTTTTCCCAAATTTATTACTTTAATAATAATTTTCTATTCAACATTAAAACAAACCTCCCAAAGAAATATATATATAATAACTGCAAATTTAAGTTCATTGGTCCGCTAATTGAACTGTACTGTCGTTAACTTAACGAAATCACGGAAAGAAAGTGCAAGTTCTCTAAACGGTTAGCATCGATTCTTCAAATAAAAAAATATGGCGCTTGTTGCGGCCGTGGCTCTTTTCAATGAGTCATGATTGGTATTATTGATAGTGGTTGCGTCATGAAAAACATCACGTAACCGCTTTTCGGCAACAAAGTTAAATTCCTTTTCTGTTATTTTTATAGCCTAAAAAGAAAATTCGCCCCTCTCCCATTGGATAACAATCGACATTTCACATACACATTCGGCAATTGGTAATATATATTAGGGGTTTTCGTCAATCGAAGAATATATAAATATCATTCCGTGGTATATTTTTGAGCCACATTAATTAAGTTGATCACCACTTCTTCAAGCATTCCTAACTGTTCCGAATTTAAAACAAATTGAAACGCCACATAACACAATTAATTACAAAATCGAACAAGCAAATGATAATGTATGGAAGTAAAATAAGCATTCATTATTAATAAAGTTTATAGAGCAGATACTATGAGGATAAACTTACGCGAGAAACTCGATGTTGGCCTGTGAGATAATGAGTTATAGAATGCTGTGTCTGTTTGTGCATGAAAAAATAGATATATAAGCAAAATGTATTGATTTCCTTGCAAATACTCTTGTGTATTGCTTAGTTCGATTGGTGTTTAGTTTTCCCTTTTCATAATTTCCTCTAAAACGAATGCCGTAATGGTGAAATTATATTTCCATAAAAGATCCGAATTGTTGCGCAGGATAATTCAAGAAACATTTTTCAAAAATACTTCACCACCCTGTTGAAAGTTTCATTGTAATAGAACTTATCAGAAACAAATTCAGTTTTGTAGCCCCAGATTATTGTTTTAATATAGACAGATATAGACAGACAGACTGCATCTATTTTTCAGTCAATTCGAAATCCTCGACTAGAATATTTTGTAATTTAAAAACGTTGTATAGTATTTAGTTCGAAGAATTAAAGTTTTGTTATATTCAAGTCTTTGGGCATTTTCGTGAGACTATTGTTACATCTTGTATGATAATTTTTAATGTTTTATTTCGAAGGCCTTTGCTTCCAGCATCTGATGACAGACTTACACTTCAAGAGTGCATGGAGCCTGGACGAATCGCATTGACTTCAAAAATTGGAACCATAACTACCCAGTCAGGGACGGTGTCCAACAAAGCATCGCTGCAGAACTGCCAAATCATGGATTCATCAGAAGGACAAAAAGATATTCTCTGGGTTACAGAAATTGAAAGGTTAGCTACCTTGATTTTTTTTCATATTGAAATTTAATAACATGATATACTTTTAGGATATTTGGATTACCTGACCATTACACAGACAAATTCAATTTGTCCAGCAGTAAAAGACAAAAAGTTCTTGGAAAATCCTGGAGTGTTCCAGTTATCAAGCACTTGCTCACACCCCTGAGAGATCAGTTCCTTACGAAAACATAAATCATGTCAATCAAGTGTATTTTAAGCTATTAGTTTCGTGCCTTCATTTCTAAATCACTCGCTACATTTTCCATAATTTTCATAATGAACTTACTAATCACGTCTTTATGAAATTTAATTGATCGGGCGTAATCGATTGAACACTGTTGATTCCAGCATTCGCCATCCGTATGCCAACACAGGTCGATTTTTGATCATTTCTTCATCGCATAAAATTTTCTGTGATAAATGTGTAATTTGCGAGTTCAATTTCTCCTGGATAATTTTGAATGAATTTCATGATGGAATGCATTTTTCAATAGTACCCCGAATCCCAACGGTATTATTCTGTCTGTTGCCCACATGCTGTTGTTCTTTCTTTATATAAGGGGTTTTATTCATTTTATATTAACGTAATTGGCGTTATTCATGAATGTAGTTTTGTTATTACTTATCCCTTTTCATTTCAATATATTGTTATTGTATAAAAATGTGTTTTGTCTAAACGGGAGAGAGGTTAGCATTGGATAAGCAACTGCTTCCGGGATCAGAGATGGCTATTACCGAATTTTGTTTTTACTTTTATTAAATTATCATTGGTACATTAGCCAGTAACCCTGGCCTTCCCCTTGCAGGGGGGCGGCAAAAACGATATTTGTAAAATAACTACAAATACGATTTTAACATAAATAAAGAATTGAATATAAAGAAAAAGCACGGCTGATGTAACTGAGCCAACCCGCTCGTATTATTTCTTATCAACCTGGGCAAAATTCTGAAACAATGAAAGTGGAAAATTTGATAGCGTTTTAGATTAAATGAAAATAACAAATCTAATAAATCCCAGTGGAAAAGTGTTGCAATGACTACAAATTAAATCTGGTATAATTAGGACAATATAAACAATATGGCATCTATGTGAGTTTGTGTAGGCAAGTGATAGAGAAAGGAATAAAATACAAACAAAATTTTTAGTCACAGGATCAGTGGACTTAATTTAATGAGCGAAGGGCTCAAACGACCTAGGGAAACCATTAATAGGAATCAACCGGACGAATATGACCAATATAATTACGGAACACACACGCAAGCTCACAAACACACCCAAATACCAAGGAGGAAGAAAAAAACAGGGTGAATTCAGATTAGCCGACACTGTCAGGGAGTTCACATCAGACCTTCCAGACTCGATGGGACCCCCAGATTGAGTTCCCAACGAGGTTACGGGAGATCGCTTAGCTGCACCCCCGGTCACACCCAATGCACGAAAAGCAGTCTGGTTCCCCAAGGCATAACCGCCAAGGGAGCCAACCACGAATGCGTGGAACTCCACTATCTTGCCAGTGTCAAGAGCTATGGAGCGACACAACTCTTCATACTTAGAGTGCTTTCGACGAGCCGCATCATCCCTGGCAGCGTCACCGTTGTCGAATGGGTACACCACATCGAGTACAAGTACTACGACCCGAGACGTATCGATTTCCCCCAAAATTAAATTGGTCTGCAGCATCTCAATTGTTCTGGCGAAGTGCTCTCATAAAACTACGTTGACATCGCGTCTAAAAAAACCTGGCTGAGGGTAAATGAGCCAAGATATCTCCTCCTGCACCAAATCATGCCGCTCCTTGATGATATTCATCACCGGACGGCAGTGATTCAGCACATAAGGAAGAGTCTCGTTTGCGTAACCATATTTAGTCACCCAGGGTTCTGCATATGTCAAAAACCACTTTCTAACGAATTGCAGAGGTAGAAAATTTAATCGAGCTTTAAAACCCACAAAATCTCAAACTGAGCGAGAGGAGAGAAAGTTGTTTGAGCAACTACATCGGAAATGACAGATAACTGTCTTTCCGTGATCCCGCAGCTCGCCCCACCGACTCAACCAACGGTTGTTGAACACAAGGTTCAACACCCGATTTATCTTATTGCCTCTCTCGATCAGGACACTGTCAGTGGTTATCGTGGAATTCCCCTCCGAAGAGATACCCCAGCAAAAGCTAATAGGGCGACTCATAGGGGGCAGTTGGCCCCAAAGATCACCACACGGGCTGATGCATCGCCCATCTGGCTCAAAGGAGTTTTCACGATTGTCTGAGCCGGCGTCGCCTCCTGGGCTCGGTAAATCTTTACCACAGTCTCGCCCAGCCGAGCACGAGAAATCGAACGGATCATGTGTTTAAGGGAGTTCAAGGTTTTGAACGCTTTGGTAACCCGAAATATGTCAGCTTCACGGGCAACATTCCAACATTCGGGACGCCCAGACCGCAGCCGTGGAGCTGAAGTTGACAGTTTGGGATTGGTAACCGGAAAACGGTTCCCATCAGACGACGGATGTTGGCATCCGAAGTTGGAAGAAGAGTCTTGGTAGAACGAACGTCTTCAGCACCAACAGCTTTTGGAACAGAGTCAGCTCAGAAGCAAAAAGCCTTCGCATGTAAATTAAAATTTATATCAAAAAATCACTCTGTCAGACGATTCGGTATCCCACCCCGGCTGAGAACAGCAACCTCGCCACCATTGAGAAAGAAACCCTCACTGGCCGCCAAAAGGATCGTAATTTCAAGCCGACTCTCGGACTTCAATTACTCGTTCAGGGCTTTGAAGTAACTACAGTGAATGAGTGTAGATCAGATTTGGTCTGAGAGAAGCTTTGTTCCATGCCATACGAAGCCATGTCAACAACGACTGCTTTTCGGAGTCCCTATTGAGATATAGGCGTATGGACCTGGAGGCGCATTTAGACGGACATCCCTTTATTGAGGTCGGATTTGACCGAGGGAAGGAGTCTTTACGGTCATAGAAAGGGTAAGAGGTTTTATTTTGCGGAAAGGAGGTTCTGGTGTCGCCAGCTTCAATGGGTTTCGTCGGGGCAAAGATAAGGAGGAAGAAGAAGCATAGAAAGTGACAGATCTTATCTTACAGTTTATATTTGGAGGCTGAATTAGTTTTCGAATTTGGACAGAATAAATAAAGGTGGGATGGTATTTTTAGAATGTGAGAAATGTAAATTATTGAAATAGGTGAAGATGAGGAAGCAGGAAAAATGGGAGGAGGGGAGCTCGGAAAAGATAAGATTGCGGCAGAAGATAAAAAAAATGTTGGAAGCAGATTGTTCTTGGAAGAGAAAATCAGGAGAACTCGATGATCGAGCTGAAGTGCCCGATTCGGCCGACGACAACCGTAAGATTGGAACAGGCGACAATCGGAGAGGGGTCCAGGGACCCAATTGCTCGAGAGCGCCCCGGGCGGCAAGCAACCCAAAGGGCTATTACAAGAATGAGTTTCTTTTTATTCCTGCATTTTCACATAGAACACTTGCCGCACACCGGATCCAGCGAAAAGTTTTGCTCGCGGAAGCCGGTACACATTCAGGAAATGTCTATACAGCGCTGTCAATTCGCTGTACCGGTGAGCTCTCTGAGGATACTCAGGCAGTGGGCAAATAATAAGGATATTTGTGCCAGTGTTTATAAGTGGAACGAAGGTTTTAGCCGTGGTAATCGGAATCTCCACAACAACTTCGCCATCAGGGGGATCAGCTTTGCCCCTATGTACACCTCTAAAATTGGATTTACCTTGTACGGGAGAATTAAAATCGAGTGAGCAAATGAGACACACGATCCGTGGCTGAATTATAGTTCTCGCAACGAGTGCAAGAAAAGTTTGGTATTCCGGAACGCCAGTATGTAGTGTTCCTGTGTTTTAGTAGGCCTGATAGGGCCAAGGACTAGCTTAAGCGGGTTATTAGCAATCTTTGCCGTAGTGATTGCGACGTAATGTGATTACTCAAATGATGAGAAAACTCTTAATTGTTGCGTCACAATGCATCTATCTCATTTATTCGTCTGGCTCACCAGTCGATATATAGTTGTGTTAACTTGTATACGTTTGTTTATGATCGCTGTTGAAGCTGTATTGTTTAAGTTGTGCCGCTGTTCTCAATAAACGGAGTTCAGTTGTATACGAGTTTCTATTCTGAGAAGATAGCATTTAAGCAACGAAACATGTCAGAAGTGGTTCTACTCTTTGTGGAATAGCGAGGATAAGAATTACGCCTACATAAAATTGCTCATCTCCGGACTTCAGAAAGAAAATGAATCTTCCTACTCCAGCGCCATTGAATGTGAAAAGTGGCAGTTCATCTCAAAATTGGAAGATATTTAAAAGGTCATGAGACTACTATGAAATTGCCTGCAAGTTAGATGAAGAATCCAACATTCTGCGTACTGCAAATTTATTGACTATAATTGGCGCTGATGCAGTTGAAATAAATATATATATATAATGAATTTAAATTTGATTCTGAAAAAGACAAGAAAGATATCAACAAAGGTCTAGAAAAGCTTGAACTGTTCTGTATTGGCTAAATAAATGAAAGCTACAAAAGATATGTTTTTTTTCAAAGAGGGCAATTGCCTGGTGAACATTTTGACACATTTATGTCAAGTCTGAGATCTTTGCCAAAAACCTGTAAATTTGGAGCGCTTGAAGATAGTCTGATACGAGACCGAAGAATTGATGGAGTACCTGATAATGACCCGAAACGAAAATTGTTACGAGATTTAACTCTTGCAAAGTGTATTGATCGCTGTCAAGCTCATGAGTTTACTACAATGAGTCGCCTGGAAACAATGAAGTCATCGATGGAGAATGTCAACGCAACTGAAGGCAATCAAACAAAGAAGACCCGATTGAGGCTTGGGACTGAAAGTGCTAATAAGAGTAAACTCAATATTCGTGAGTGTAAATTTTGTGGTAGAAAGCACATTTATGGTAGAAATTATTGCCCAGCATAGGGTAAAGCTTGCAACAGATGCAATATGACAAATCACTTCGCCGTGTAAAATGGCGACTGAGAACTAAATATAACCATGGGACCGAGTGCCCAAATGCTGAATGTGTTGATATTTATTCTAAAAATGACATTGTTATGTGTGAAAATAATTATACCAATAGCAGTACCAATTTATCTCATAAGAAGTTGTTCACTCAATTATTGTTGAATAATTTCAGTATCAATTTTCAAATTGATTGTGGGGCAACTTGTAATGTAATTTCGAAAAATCATCAGATTAAATGCAGAAACGACTATAAATTAATCAAACTAGTACATACATCCGCCAATTTATCACTGTACAACAAGACGTTAATCTTGCCGTTGGCGAAAGTTTTTTTACCGGTTTATAACCCGAAAAATGGTAAATCCTATTTTTTAGATTTTATGGTTATAAAAAAACCTTCAGTGCCCTTACTGGTATTTGGGTCAATTCAGGAACTGAATTTAGTTACTGTCAATATATCTTTCGTGCCATTTCCATTTCATGTAATTTTGAAAAAGTTTCCAAGGTGTCGCTCAGCCAAATTTTTGCCGAGTTTGCTGATGTACTGGCACGGGCAAACTTGAAGAAAAATTAAAACTGAGAATTGATAATACTGGTACTCCAGTTTAAATGCCAATGCGAAAAGTACCATTATCAATTCAAAGCAAGGTTATGAATGAACTGGTCAGATTAGTAAATGAGGGTATTAATAGTAGTATCAAAGACATCTGAAAATATTCGTTTATGTCTTGACCCAAAGCCTTTGAATAAGGCACTTAAACAAATCAATCATCCAATGCCTATTATTGATGTATTGCCTCACTTGCACAAGGCAAAAGTATTCACCACTGCCAATGTTAAAATGGGTTTTGGCATATTGAACTCGATGTTAAAAGTAGTTAGGCTATCTAACAACATTTGGTACTCCATGGGGGCGGTATAGGTGGCGAAGAATGGCAATCGGACTTAAGCTGTCCCCTGAAGAATTTGTGCACAGTCTGAATTTTGCTCTTAATGGTTTAAGTGGAGTTATGCCAGTTACCGATGATATCTTGATGTATGGTGTGGGTGATACTATAGAAGAGGCGATAACAAGAAAATATTTTATGATCTCCTACAAAAATGTAGAGAGAAAGGTATTAAATTGAATAAAGATAAATTACAATATATGAAAACAGAAGTTGCTTACTTGGGTCACGTTATCAGCAAAGACTGGTTAAAACCAGACTTAGCAAAATTGGAAGGTATCAGAGATATGCCTCATCCGACTGATAGACAAGGGGTGCAAAGAATTTTGGCTACTACAAATTTTCTACAGCGATTTGCTGCGAAATTATCTCAAATTAGTGCACTTAATAGAGAACTTCTTCGAAAAGATAATGAGTTCATATGGGACAAAAAGTTCACGGTACATGTTTCAATACAATGGAAGAGACTGATGAAATCGCCTATTTTGCAATATTATGAAAAGAAAGCCTTATTGTCCTGCAATGTGTTGCTTCTCCAAATTGCTTGGGAGCTTGCTTGATGCAAAATGACCACCCTGTTGCTTATTCTTCACGTGCTCTGACATCTACTGATTGCAATTATGCTCAAATAGAAAAAAAACTTGAACACTATGCGCATGGAAGGGCTGTACGAGTTGACTCCGATCACAAACCACTCGAAACTATCACTAAAAAGCCATTAGTAGATGCACCAAAACGTCTACAAAGAATGCTTCTTCAATTACAAAAATATGACTTAGTGGTCAATCACAAAAAAAGTGCAAATATGTACATTGCCGATACTTTGAGCCGAGCATATATCGACAAAAGTATACCGACACGATTGGTAAAGGTGATATATTTTATCTGTCACTGGCTAATGAAATTGATATGTTGAAAGATATTCCAGTGTTGGACAAAACAATGCATATTTTGCAAAAAATGTACATAGAAATATTCGACAATGCAAACTCTTGGAGCCATCATTGAAAATGAATGGCCGATTACCAAGAAACAGCTTCCACGGTCCATGCAAGAATATTTCAATTTTAGAGAAGATCTCACTGTTCAAAATGAGCTAATTTTGAAAGAATGTCGCATTGTGGTACCAGAATCTGCCAAACAATATGTTCTGCAGCGATTACACGCAAGTCACGTAGGAATACAGGCTTGCATTCGTAGAGCAAGATAGGTTCTGTTCTGGCCAAAAATGTGACAGTGACATACATGGTTATGTCTCGTCATGCACTACTTGTCCGAGTGTTTCAACCAAATCAACAAAGAGAGCCGATCATTAACCATGAGATTCCTTCTCGACCATGGCAAACTATTGCGTCCGATTTATTTGAACTGCAGGGCAGAAACAATCTTGTAATGATTGATTTTTGCGAAGTTGACCTCATACGACTACATCTGCAGAAGTTATGGAAGCATTGAAACAACACATGGCTAAACACTGCTTAGAAAAATTGATTTCTGACAACGCTCCTCAATATAGTAGCGATGAATTTAGAAAATTTGCTGAAGATTATAAATTTCGGCATGTTACAAGCTCTCCTACAAATAGCCAAAGCAGCGGTAAAGCAGAGTCCGCCGTTAAACAAATGAAGAGCTTAATGATAAAAGCTATTGATAGTAAGGGTGATGTATTTCTTGCCTTGCTCGATTGGTGTAATACGCCGAGTGAAGGAATACCAGGTTCACCAGCACAAAAGTTATTTGGAAGATGCGCAAGAACTCTGCTTCCAACATCAAAATATTTTCTTTGCCCGAAAATTGTTACGAATATCGAACCACATTTAAAGAAGAGTGAAAACATTCAGTCTAAATATTACAACAGAGGAACGAGGGAGCTAATGAAATTGTACCCGGGTCAGTTGGTCAGAATGAAGTCGGACCGTGGGGAAAGATGGCGCAAAGAAAGAATTGAACGACAAGTTGACATCAGATCAAATGAAGATGGTGGTCTTTATCGAAGAAATCGAGGCATACAAGTGAACTTGATGAGTTTCAACCCCACACAAAGTGTTATGATTACGATTGTAATATTTCTGATCCATACACATCTTCCTACTATAACAATGGTGAATTGGTGATATGAAAACACAACTTGACCCAATTTTTAATGATAATATTCGTCCCGATAGCAGTGTTACAGTTAATCCTATAGTGTATCTGATCAAATGGAACGTAGATCAACCCCCCACTTCGTAGATCTACACGCACTGTTAAAAAGCCTGATAGATATGGGTATTGATTGACAATGTTTTATTTTATTGCTTATTTATTAATGCTATTTGTATTAATTAATATGCTATTTCTTGTTTGACGGGAAGATGTGACGTTATGTGATTACTCAATCATGAGTAGCGCAACAACTCTTTAATTGTTGCGTCGCAATGCATCTATCTCATCTATTCGTCTGGCTCACCAGTCGATATATATAGTTGTGTTAACTTGTAGACGTTTGTTTATGATGTTTAAGTTCTCAATAAACGAAGGTCAGTTGTATACGAGTTTCTATTTTGAGCAGCAACGAAACAGTAGTGGTAAGTCGACAAAACCGCGGCTTTCCAAACACAATTAAATTAATATAGTAAGATATTTCACATTCTGACATCAGTCTTAAATTGATTATCCTGCGCAACAGAAAAGCATTCTTTGAAAAGACGATTGTTTTACCTACTATTATAACAATTATTTTTCGAAAAACGGGTTAAGGTATAACTTATTTTTTCCTAACCTTCTGAATAAATCGACTTGTTTTTCCAACTTGCGACAATTTTTAAGGAATCGTAACAAAGCGCATGAACACAACTTATTTATTCATTCACTTCAATTTTACTTTTGTTCGCGAAGTGCGAGACCAATGGCGAGGAACGGGATTGGCTGAAATAGAAATGTAACTTCCAGAATTTCGAAGCGTTTGGATGAACATCAATTCGAATCGATCAGAAGCAATTTTAAAACAAACGAATTGATTATGTTTAAAAACAAGAGAGCTATGCTCAAATATGTGGACATTGAAGGCAAAACTAAATATTTTTCTCATCAATTTTGGAAAAATCGTATGCTGTAACTTCCAAGTAGCAGTATCGGACCCCTTGACTACACGGACAATTCGACTACACGATAACTACGGCCCACTCCGTGTCCAATAAACGAAGGAAAGCTTTTAAGTTGAGATATTATCACCAATGCTTCGTGCAATCGCCCGTGTTATCTGAATTATTTTTATGTGATGTGATTATTTTGATGTGTAGTTTCAAGGCCATTAATGAGAGGGGAATGGCGGGTTCGCTATTATTCAACAAATTTTGCCCGGCATCACTGACATTTCATGACCCAAGGGAGGACAAAGTTTTCTATTAGATTTCTGATCATAGTCCAATATTTCCGTTGGTTTAGACAAGATTTTAACGCACGTTTTGACGTTTCAAATTACACACAACTCAGCTTGAGGAAAATTAAAATTTTATCTGTAATGATAAACTGAAAATTTTAGCCGTCGCACGACTCACTTCAGGGTTCTAAAAACAGCTATTCTCACATTAATTGCCATTACATGTATTGAGGGATCATTACTAATCAATAGAAAGAACACATCTCCAGGCATATGTTCTATTTTTTCTGAGCTATTTCACGTCTTTATAGGAGCAACTCTCACTGTAATTTCGTCAGAGTTAATGTACATATATGAGTCAATATTACGTTACCAAATGTTCGTATATTGTCGCGCCACAGCTCGAGTCGCAACCAGGTAATCGCGTGGTCTATCACTTGTATTGGCGATATTAGCTGTTTGAGCGTGATACGACGACAATGGCTTGTTATCTATCATTAATTTGTGCTACAATAAGATATTAATGATGCCCATCGTTTAGACTAGGGGCGGAACATTTAAGAGTGATTTACCGAGCGCCAACCTTTCAAACACCACACTTGATAGCTACGTCATTACTTGGTTCCATTCGATGTATCCAGAATGACTCACCGATCTACATTTAAAACCTTTGGCGATTTCAGGTTTGGGTTAAGCCTTGACGATTTTTAGTTTTTCATTTAGTTGATAGCTGACATAAAAAATGTCCATATCGTATCTCCTATAAAACTAAAAAGTTGCCCAGATTGCATTTTTGTTTGAACTTATAAAAGGTCAAAAAATTAAATATAAATAAACATTCCTGTGTACCATTACAGCTTGAAAACAGATAAACATCTTGACACTTTGTTGCATGTGAACGTGTTTCACCGATGGATGTATCTGCCTACGCAAATCTATTATTCGATAATGTATACAAAGTAATATTCAAATAGATTCACGCAGAATGTTCAGTTATTTTTTATCCGAAAATGATCAAACGAGAATAACGACGTTTAATGTAATAAAACAACGAAGTTATCAACAAGCATACGTCGACGTTATCAAATAATACCATCATAATCCGACTAGACAGTGGATCAGATTTCGACCTAGATAAATTGAATAAGAATTCAATAACAAGGACGAATGTCAAGAAAAAATTACACGTTTTTATTAAACAGCCATCCCGCCTTGTATAGTGCAAAAATAAAAGTGACATTACATTGGGCTTTAATGTTTGCAGAAACACCAAATTTCCTAATTAAGAAGATAATATGACAGTGCTTTACTGTTACTTTGTTTTAATTATTGTCGTATCAAGTTGTATTTGTCAGCCTACACTATTTCTACGAACTAGTGATTGTCCAACTCCTCCAATCATGAAAAAGTTCAAGCTAAAACAGGTAAGAAAATTTTTTCATTCGATTAGGAAATGAATTATAAATTAAATGCCTGTTCTCGCGTTTATTCTGAAATATTAGATCATTAAAATAAAATATCTTGTAAGGGAGTTATATAGAACCATGCTGCGCATATGAAATGGGACCTTATTAAATTTGCTTCTTATACAATACCGTAAATTGTCCACTATGTTATTACATTGAATAGATGGATGGCCAATGGTATGAAATCAGCAGATTTCCTAGTCAGTGGGAAATCGGAAAATGTATTCAAGTTTCGTATAATGTCTCCAATGAAGATGGGACGGTTAAGATGCGATGGGAACAAATATAGTGAGTAAATTTTATTTTGATATTCGGAATACATGTGATTAAATATAGTAGATGTTTGACATTAAATATGTTTGTTTAATATGATGGCTACTTTATCCGTTTTGGATTTACTGTATAATATTTTACTAATCAAAGATGGTTTTATCATAGAACTGGTTTCTGGATGTTTAATAATTATATCGACTTGAACATAAATACGTCGTAATGTACGATGACTAAATTTCGCCTATTTCAATTTTTATGAGGATTATATTATATTTTCTATTTAGTTCTAGAAGCGTTTTGATGATTACCGATACTTTGATGTCTGTTTACTACTGAATTTCGTAGAGTATTTTGTAATATGTGACCAATTAATAATATAAAATTATAAATTCCTGATATTGAAATAGAGTTCATTTCATCTTTAATGGAGCTTGAACTTGAGCTTCAATATAGGCAGTAATGTCAAGTGGATGTTCAGTAAATGTTAAAGATTAAGATATCTTTAGTAACAATTAAAACTGTTTCTTATCTTGAATTGCAATGAATTAACTAAGATTTCGAGTTGTCAAGAAATATCTTTAAATCAAATTGTAATTTAAAAATCATCTACACATCTCAAATAAACATTTTCGACAACCGCATTTTTTAACAGCAACAATGGATCTATTAACTACGCCCACAGCGTCGGCCACGTGAAGGAAAAAGACCCGCCAGCAAAACTTACCTTGAAGTTTACGAAACCTTGTAAGTAATATCCAATTTTGTAATTATGGGAGACGAAGTGGACCTATAGACCGTTTTATTAATATTATATTGTTGTTGTTGTTAGAATTCTTTTTATTTTCCTTGCTGTTATGATTATTTCGCTTTTCTGTTTTACTACTGGACCAATAACTTTTTAAGTTATTAAAGAGTTTTGTTGTAGCTAAAAGTCCTTTACTTTCAGTTATTTTCAAAGTTTCTATGAATCCTATGAGATCTGATATTTATTCTCTATTTGTGGGAATACGGTTTTCTAATCTGCCAAGACCTATGACAGAACATTATAAAGTATGTTATTTTGTGACAAATCCCTGTCGACAAGATCACGTTTTGTTAGCGAAAGAGGTATAACTCTGAAGCGTTTATCCAATATGATATTTAAAATTTAAAAAAACATTTTCTATATCCATCATGAATACCAATCATCGCATCATTTGTAGCATAAATTAGCTACAAACATCGGAATCTCCTTATATAAAACACTAAATATGGTTAAATAACAAAAATAAGGTTGTCGAATGAGCAAACTTGTTGCAAACTTGTTGGTATATGGATTGAACGCTGAATGGCAAGTTACATTTACTCGTATTTTACAGACAATCCATGGGAAACGCCCTTCTGGATTTTGGATACCGATTATAATTCTTACGCAATCATTTATTCTTGTTATCCGTATTTTCATCCAGGATTGCGAAGAAGTAAGTTTTGTTGATGACTATATAGAATTTGAAGTTTGCAATTGTAAATGATAATAGAGTTAATTGTGCTACACAAAATCTTTTAATATTGTAGCGCACTAACTTACATGAAATGCTAGTTTCTACGTTCGCTCAATTTTAGTGTTTTATATAGAATAATCTATTTGAAATTTTACGGATTATGTCTATATAGTAATGTTAAGCTGGCTTTCATGCTTTTGATGTAATGGCAGAAGACCCGAACTTAACCTGTTCTAAATTTTATCAAGTGTTCAACACGGAATTTGCTTGGGTGATGTCCCGGAAAAGAAAAATGAGCATAACTAAGAAACGACGACTGAAATCTTCAATAACACATCATAACATTTACACCCATATGTTTATCGACAATGATCAAACCGGCTGCGAGGAATACGAAAATCCCAGCGCTCACTTTTTCTGATGATTGGAATAGATTGTGAGAAAATCATTTGATCGAATAAAAACGGATTGGAACAGCTCAATTGCAATGAAACTTATTGAATTATATATCAAATTATCTGATCCCCGTTACATTTTCATAATGAGTTATACCATATCTAGCATTTAATTGTTAAAGTATGATTGCATTTATAATGCTTATACACCAATATATATTATACACCACTATTAAGTTGTCTAGCTATTTTAGAACATTTATGGAAATTACTCAATCCTGGGTCTGTAATAAAAAGACATTGTTGCTGGTCGAAATAAAGTTTGCAAACTCAAAATGATTTTTTTGCTTAAAAGAGTATATTGTATTGCATATAGTAAAAGCATTATGAGCCGCTTTCCAGAGCACCACTGCAATTATTATAATCCTTTATATTGTTGATTCTTATCAGATTCTGTCACTAAACTTTGCATATAAACTTTTCTGCGCCAAGTTGCTTTTACATTAGGTTCACATGTATAATTAGTATTGTTAGTCATAACAAAAAGTCTTTGTTTATGAAATGTGATTTATCCTACAGACATGACATGTTACATGCTTTCAGTGATAATTCTTTCGTAACGTCAACACCAAAATATCAATCTCGATTAATATCAATTATCACGTAGAAATCTTCAAGTTAATTCTTACATTGTTTATATTATAAGACATTAATATAGTTTTACAATAACACGAACTACTTTGTGAAGAATATTACATCAAGCTTTGCTTAAGATTGTCAATGTTTATGTGAACAATTTTTATTAGTCATACCGTAAATCACCACGTTACAGCGTGATATCGACTACGGCTGTCTCGTCAAATTCTGTATCTGGTTTCGAACAACGATATGGTTGTTTCATCACAATTTGAATCTTGTTTTGACATTTTTGTGGATAAAATCACATCTTACAATATGAGATGATACTTTCATAGAATTCATAAAACTTTGCTATTGCTATGGCTTCATTTACTTTATATTGTACGTAAATACGTCAATATATACGATCAATGAATATCACTTATTTCAATTTTTTTTTAAAAAAGGGGGTGGTTGTGCAAAAGCGAACCAAACTTGCGAAAAGCCAATGTACATTATTAATCATTCATGATAAAAGTTCATGATAAGGGGTAAGAAATATAATTTCCGTATTGTAAACAAACAGATAAATTGGCTGTTATATTGCTTATATAACCAGTGTAACTTGCATCAGTGTGTTATATGTTGGCGAATTAAAAATAATAAATAATACTCTTTCAGTCAAGCCGCCAACCACAAACACGAGGAAACCGTGAAGAACGTCATGTGAGATAACTGGCCTCAAAAGTAAATTTGAACTGACGACACCATAATTTTCCTTTTATCGATAAGATTTAGAAATAAGAAATACTCTCGATAAATATGATATCTTGACGAGTTTGACTAATATTCAAATTAGTTTATGAAAAGTATTACATTGTTCGCAATGTTAAATGAGTTTAATAAACTTAAAATTGGGAAAAATGATATTGGACAGTCGTTTAAAGAAGAAACTAGAGGTGTAATTAGTATACGAAGTAGAATATTTGAGCGATTCCATTTTAGACACTTCAGTCCAACTTGACTGAATGTCCATTGAGATATTCTTTGCGCAACAAACAATCGCTCATGTAGTGTGGCCTACGAAATCTTCGGATGGTTTGACAGATTTGGCGAGCATACTTATTCGAAAAATCGAAATATCCACGATGAATTAGGGATCTTATACAGTGTATAAATGCATTGATTTGGGTGGAAAAGTTAAAATTTTTGCCATGAAACTAGTAACATTAGCACTATATTGAGATTTGTCTTTTGCGACTGTCTTGTTTCGTGATGTTGTGCACCATATCAGTGATCAATGATTCAATGGAATTTTGATCCGGGAAATTTAAGGATAATAGCCTTCTACTGATTCATTTCATCCTAAAATACCGAAAAATAGATATTGATTGGCTCATTAGTTGCCGAGTAACTTGATATATTATTTAAACGCTAATAACAATGGTCAAATATATGTAACCAAATGAACATCGCAATGCTATCCAATTTATAGCCAAAGTTAAAAAATAAAATAAAAGTAATGTCTTCACAAACACTTGTTTCATTTTAAGAGCAGGTTCATTTTTCCGATACTGAAACTTTGGAATCAATCGGTACATCCAGGCAAAAGCAATTTGTTCAAAGCCGCGACAATTTAGGAAAACGATACAATGATCAACTTTGTCTAACCTGCATTTGTTGCCACGTTGCATTACCTAGCGTGTGGGATCACGCGCCCAAACCAATTGTTGCATCCCACTACATACTTGAGGTTGAGGTGTGTGGAATAGAAACGTGTGAATCTGTTTGCTACCATAGCAGAAGCAAGACCAACTTCCTAAATATAATTTCTTCAAATACCACCGATGCTTTTAGGAACAATTTACTTGCCTCGGACCTACCACCCTGTCTGTACAATTATTCACCAAAAGCCGTTTTCCTAGCTACTAAAACATTTGCTACCCACCAATTTGGTGTAGGCGGAATACAAACAGGTCGTGATGAATATTCATATATTTGGAGGCCATATTTTATGAAGCGACAATTAATTTTAAACATCAATATTTGCTCATACCACAGAAATGTTTTTTGGGAGAAAATTTTGGTGACCGTACATTTGAACCCATGTGTATATCCGCGGGTTTGATCTATATATGGGTGCCAAAACCCATGGGTTATGGTTAGTATGGGTTCAAATATCCGTAAAAAAAAACAAATTTCATAGGTGCAATAGTATGCAGCTGCAATAGTCGTGGGTTCAATTGTAATGAAACCAAAATTTCATCTGGTCTACTTACCCATGCAGCTAACGTCGTTTGGGGTCTAGTAACTGCAATGCTTGGTTTACGCCCCGGCTAATACGACGTTTATACCATAGCAGAAGCAAGACAAACCTTCTGATAATTACCGAAAGAAATTGCTCTACTCTAATACAACAATGACGCTTGTTGGAAGAAACTCCACTGTCACAGACTATACTGCCCAGTCAGCCTCGAGGCACATCCCAAAGTCGTCGATTCAGCAGACTACAAAGCTTAGTGACGCTTTGAATTTATTGCGACGTTGGCAGATGTTGCTGCTTATTATGAAGGTAGTAGCAGTGCATCGACTACTTTTCCGAAAGCCAGGACTCCTCTAAAGACTGTGCCGTCTAAACATTAGACTCTGAAGGACCTGGTAACCATATGAAAGTCCTTGTTCATTTCCAATGGCGATCTTTTTAATATTCAGAACATAGCATATAATTCGACAAGTAGATTAAAATGCATGAAGAACAGATAATGTATTCATCATTCAATAAGTGTTGACGTTTCACACATGTATAACGTGCCAATATGGCATAAGAGTTTAATATACTTTTTAAACAATATTTACAATATTACCATCGAACAAAGAAGAGTATCAAAAGATATTTGTAGAAGAATTTTGAAATTTTATATTATACAACTGAAAACATCACAGCAAAACTAAGCTAGGAGATCAGGAGTATTAAAAAGGTCGTGATGTAATTTCACGAATCCGTTTAGGTATAAATGTAACACTTCACAAAATAACATTGATGAATATAATAGGAAATGTGCAACATCATAATCGTCATTCATTTATCCAGTATTTCATTTTTACGGTAACATCAGCACGTGCATGTATGAGATAAATGTTTCATCTTGAATCCGTGATCCTAATCCACTCTCACGGTGAGGAATCCATGGGTGAGCGGTTATGTCATACTGATGTGCCACTAGATGGTGTTGAATCAGGTGAATGATCCGGACTGTTTTTGCTGAACAGCCAGTTAGCAGCAGAAACCGCTGCGACGCCGGCCTAAATATTAAGTATGAAGTTATTATCATTCTGAACGGAAAAAATTTATCTGCTTAGTAAGTTTATTGCAAACATGAATTTTTGAAGGAACGTTTGCACAACATATCAAATAAAAGTATATGTATGTCAAAATGTGTGTGGACGACCACCCTTCACCATAAAAACAAACAAATTGTACAAACAATTTTTCTGGTTGTCAATTTTTATAAACGCTAAAGCAATGTTACAATGAAGGCCCAATTCTTCAGGATAAATTTAGGACGAATGCTGGTTTTAGTGCAGGAAAATAGTATAATATTGACAAGAATATTTGGAGGTTATTTTTATATTTAGACAGACACAGCTACAAACTTATACCGTTAACTAACGGACCTTCCAGTGCATCCTCGCCATGAATTTCTTCAGCTGTTTTTTACTCTGTAAGCAGCTATGATTATTTGTTGTTAGAGGTTTCGAAAGCCAGTCGTGACGCAGACATTGCGCTGCACTCATTCGTCCTCTGTTAACAAAAAAAAGAATTGTTGAAAAGCTAAATATAACGAGAAACATGATCTGAACGTGTCAATTTTGTGAACGATAACAAACCATAAAATATCAAACAGGATTATTTAACTTTCTAAAGCTCGTATTCAATTTCAGTAATTGGTGTAGTAGGGCTATTTATAGATTTCACGTCGTTTGTACAGAAAGTATTTAGCTGAGTTTGTATTAGCTTAGTATAATCCACATTGATTTAGATGTAAATTCTCAGTTTCGATTTCTCGACACAAACGTGAAAGAGCTATTTATTTTTAAAACTGGAAAAAATTCAGGTTGGTTATATTACCAAAAGCTCCCTAGCAACACGTAGGCAAAAATGATGTAGCTAGACGAATAAATTAATTTTAAATTTGTCATGATTACGTCTTGAAATAGTTCGTTTTATTGGAACAATAGGGGGCGACGCCTTCCAACTCCCTTTTAAAACGCACCCAGAGAATATGTCCTATGATACGTTTAATTCATTGCATATAAATTTCAATAAATTTGTCAAATAAAGCCAAACATTTCCTTAAAATTATAACGACAACAAATTGAACTGAAGTCACCTTTTCTCATCAACTAATAATCGCGAGATAAAATCCCGGGCGTCAGCAGATACTACTTCGAAATCTTCCTCGTCAAATTCCCATTCGGAATCAATTATATTTTGTATTGTTTCTTTATCGTCATTTCCCAGAAAAGGTGAAACGCCACTCACACTGAAAAAAAAACATTATCAAAAAAGTTTGTCCGACTGGTCACTAATCGTAAAATGTAGTATTATTGAATAATTTATTGTTGCGTCAGATTTTTGGATGCGATTATTGCTTGGTTTGGCAAGTTTCGATCCACAGTCAGTTTGGCAACTTTTGCTATCGGATGTTTAGCAGTTTTTGTATTACCGGCATTGGAGAATTAAATAGGTTTTGCTAATCAGGTAATTTGCGGCTAGCTATAGTGTGTTGACCTGTGTTCTTTAACAAACAGACAAATTTATTGACTTACAGGATGTAGCATATGACGCCAACGCTCCACATATCTGACGCAGCGCTAACGAGTTCGTAATTCAACACTTCGGGTGCCATGAATTCCGGCGTGCCCCAGTGTACCATCAGCTTCTGTCTGGGATTATATCTATCAAAATATAATGAATAAGATATAGTGACAATATCTTAGATGATACCGTATTCAAATATATAGGTCTTAATTGTATGGTTTCAGCAATAAGCATCTACAGTGGCTATGTCTGCGCGGTCAAAAATCAACAGTTTGAAAGAAAAGGTTTTGTACAATGTTAGCTTATGGGTGTGAAAGAATATAACTTAATAGGTAAAAGAAGGGTTATCTAACACAAGTAGAAAATGAAATTCAGAAATGGAATCATGCATAATATGTTTTTGCTTTGGCAAAAGTGCAGACATGTAAAAAGAATAAACTCACTTTCTGGAAAGGCCAAAATCGATGATTTTGATGTGATGTGAATCTCTGTCCAGACACAATATGTTTTCGGGCTATAATTCGAAAAATGTCGGATTAGAAAATAATTATTTTATTATAATTTAACGAGGATGTCCCAACACGTACTTGTTGCGTAAATGAGCGCCATACAGACGATTCCTTGAGACATAAATTATAGAGACAATGTTGAATAATGATAATTATAGGAGATTAATAATATATATCTCTTGATATTACCAATATTAAAACAAATGACATACAGACAGTGAAAAATGACGCAGTAAGAATTGAATTGAAATTATAAATACTTCGTCATGGTGGCAATGCACGCCTATATAAAGTTCGACTGATTTTATATAATAATAATTTTTGACTGTTTGCTGAGAATTAAAAATATATAAGCCATTAATTTATCTTTAAAAATTATTGTCAGCAACCGGTTATATGTGCATACTTTTAAATAAAAAATACACTTCTAAACATATTTTTTTTTCAATAAGCTTTTTCTCCAGCCTATGGCCTGGCAGAAAATCAACCACGCAGTCCCGTTATACTATCTATATTCTATACCTTCAAGTCTAAGTGGAGTATGAGGTTTTTATGTAGATATTGCATCGCTTTGCATATTTGTCTCATGTATAAAATTGCATCGAGTTCCGTCAGGTGAGAACGATCTACCAAAACCCGTTCGAACATTTCACCTCCATCCATGCTGTGAAAAAAATACCGGTGTCAAGAATGTTGGATTTAATGATACGATTTTCGGCGCTCCAGAAGTGTATTTACCAATATGGAGGTAAATAATTTTGTTCGTCCACTTTACATCAAGTTGTATAAAAGGACTGAAACCTATGGGGAGAGGAACTCGTAATAGAACTAAAATAAGGAAAATCAAAATAAAATTATGGCCTAACCCTAACCTGGTACATATACTAAGGGAGTACCCAATTTTCTCCCTGACTGAGGGACCAGTCAAATTAAAATTAACAGTATTTCAAGATGGAAGTGAGACACAACTGCTTTCGAGTTCCATGAACTCGAATATTTCACCAAAATTTCGTTTTTTTATTCTAATTCGTTGGAACACTGGTTATTCGTCACGCTTGTCTTCTGTTTCACTTTACAATCTCAGTGCTTGGCTGTTTCAAATACCAATACTGATTAGCGTGTGGCAAGGTATTTTTGTCATCCTTATTTATCAACGTTTTTAGACTCATACATGTAACACACATGTCTGCGAATTTTTTTGTTGATAATTTGCAAAAATTATATTTCCCATATTTAAAACTGTGCTTGATACCGGAGGAGAGATCTGAGCAAGCATCTTGAACATCGGATCCTAAAATTCAATACTTGGACAACAATTCCCGAATTTAAGACCCCGATAAGGAGAGAAATACACATGCCCTTGGAAAGACAGGAGTAAATTTCTTAAATAAAAAAATAATATAGCCTAATTGACTGTGAATCACAGTTTATTTGAGATTTTTAAAGGAAGCAAAAGAGAAAATTGTCATAATTTTCTTTTGCGAAAATCATATTTATATCAATTCCCTTACAGGGTACATAGGAAAAATGGTATAGCCTACGTTTGAACCCATAACAGTATTTTTTCTATAAGTCGCATTACCAAGTTTTCCGTAGTACGCCCTTTTTATAATCCGGGAACACAAAAATTTGGGAATCTCACCAAATTCAGGTGAAGTGGAGTTCAAGGGAAAACTACGTTTTAAATAAATAAATGTACTAGTCTAGTATCCAAAAAAAAATAATAATGCTACACAAGAATATTGGTGTCCTTTCAAATGTTGATTGGGCATAAATGGGAATTATGAAAACACCAATGCAATAGAATGCTTGCTGAGAAACACAAATATGGAAACTTAAGCAATTTTACATCATATTGTCGTTAAATTGAACAATTTCATAACTTCAGATGCCTCCTAACCGCGGATAAAAATTTAGTCAGTATTTCTTGGCTAAAAAGTTGACATATTTCGCCTGTTTCAATTGCTATAGCAAGCACAGAATGGTAAGTACCAAATAAATGTCTCAATTAAACTATTTGGCGCCGCATGGATAAAATGAATGTGTCACAGTAAAATGGATTTCTCAATACTTTACCAAACTTAAGTAAAAACTTACTATTCCATTATAAGCGTCATTGTATTTTCATATTCGAATGCGTCATAGATCTTTATAATGTTTTCATGGTCGATACTGTTCATTATTGATATTTCATGTCGAACATCCTCCTGTAACGAACAATAATATTTATGAAAGATACATTAAAGATAAGACGTCTTAGTCATTCATCGGCATGTGTATGGCAAAAAAGTTGTTCGATCCTCCATTACTATAGTGTTTGTACAAACCCTAATCAGACAAACTGATTTTAGTCCAATGTATCATATCTTTATCGGCGCCTCTCTTAAATTGCCGCTGCTGCTGAACTAAAGCTTTTACAAATACGAAAAGACAGTGGGATAATTTGATTCATGCCGAATTAATGAAAAAGTATTTGACTGTACTCAAATGTAAAGTCAAAATGCTAAAATGTGCTTATTATCAAACGAGTGCGCTTTTTCTGGATAGATCAAGATGGCTGGTGCCTTCCGAGGTAAAACGATAATTTATTTAAGCTCCGCACGGTGTAGCATAATTACATTACTTAAAGCAAACATACAAGGACAGAAATTCAGTATACAGGAATTTCAAAAAATTCAAATGAAGTTCAAAAAACATGGTACATAGATCAAATAAAACATAAAATAAACACGACATTCTGAAAGTGGGCTTTAAGCTTGTGATATTACGCGAAGATATGGGAATGCGTTACGTTATTCAAATAGGAAATATTCGTGTTACGCGCGCTCTTGTTGACGAACTGTTTCTGGATGGACAAAAATAGTTTTAAAAAAAGTACTTACCTTATCAACGGGCTCTTGATCTGTTCGCTTAGTCGCAATGTTAATTGGTCTTTTCATAGATCTCGATTTGAAGCCAGTCTGTAAAACATAAATTAATGATTGATACAAACAATTCGATTATATTGTCATGTTATTTCCCATGTGTGAATAATTAGGCTATCGCATCAGCAAAAATGTCTTATCGCCTTGTTTGTCTTTAAAACCTTAAAAAATACTCACAGTTTCGTGTGGTTTCTTGCATTTGAAACATTTTGCTGCAAGTGAAAGTCCTGTTTTCTTTTCGACGCATTTGTACACACGACCAAATCTTCCACTGATAAATAAAATTGTGTTTTAGTTATCATATGTTTTATTTATTAATTTGTTGAAAACTAATCAATATCAATGACTTACCCACCAACTTGCTCCTTCAAATCATAGAAATATTTTGAGTTGGTGCATTTCACTTGAACAACTCGGTGTATAAATGCTGGTCGTGGCATTGGGTTGATTTCTACACAACACAAAAATAGTTGTCAACGGACTTTAGAGTGAAATTTTAACGCATCCGAAGTCGTACGTAACTGATGAACAAATTTCACAGTTTGGCCTACTTTACGACATAATGATTTCTGATATAGTGATATAAATTTTGGTATGACTGAAGAACAGGTAGAAATTTGGTGCTATTAGTAGTTATATGAACATATTTTAAAAACTCACTTATTTCATGTTCGATTTCCTCTCCTTCTGACTCGGAGTGGCCGAGTTTTATATAAAGACCCGCTGGTGCGCTGTCCGAACTTGCGTTGCTCGATACGGAATGCTGACGAGTCAACTTCATTCTGAAATATGGCAAATGTTAGAAGTATTTTATGACCAACCAATGAATTTACTATTTTTCAGAAACATTATTTGCACTAGGAATGAAATTCGATTTGCGGTGAAATCATGGAAACATGTCTATTATATGATGAAGTACTGTATCAAATTAATTTGCGCAAATTGAATATTTTTAAACATTAAAGTATTTCATGAAAAAATTCGATAGGTTCGATAGGTTACAGACAAAAAAAATAAGAATCCATTGTTCCGTGGATTTATATATAGGTATAATAAAATCATAAGAGAGTAATATTCATGACTAACGCCGTCCTAGAAATACCGACACCGAAAGTTGAGTTGGGCAATTTAATAATTGGGTAAAATAAATTTGAAGGATAATTACTTACTTGTTGTCCAACAAAGATGATCTGGTACTAGAAGCCTGGTTTAAATCTGAACAGCTGTATACTCGCTCCTTCAAAAGAGCGAAACTAGGGCTGTCGTCTTTTGCGTCTTTGTACTGATCTAGGTAGAAATATCGGTTTTGTAATTGAACAATGTACACTTGAAAAACAGTGAGTCTTTTGTATACATAAGAATAAACTCTTCTCGCTTCCTCAGCACCACAAAAACACCCAAACAACATATTTTTCTGAGTTACTTTAAAAATTGTATGTTTGACACCATGAATTATAGGTAACATATGTACAAACTACTCACTTGTAACACTCGCACTCGAGTGTTTAAAAGCTTCGATATTAGAAGTGTCCGAAATGCTTTCTTGTTGAGTATTTTCTAAAACTGTCGACTTCTCAGTTAAATCGAAATCTTTAATCTGTACTGTTAACTCTGCAGATGAACATTTTGTATCAGACATAGTTTTGTCTTGTTGTTCATTTAGGAATGTTGTTGATGGGCCGTGATTCTTATCACAGGAGTCAATTGCTCTGGTGACGTCATCGGTGCCTGGGATACATTCCATTGGTCTATGTTTATCTTTGGATATCTTTCTAATGCGTGCAGCCAGTAATGACTCATTTGCATCGTGCTGTTGTACAGAATTATGTGCTGTTTGTTCTTTAGTTAATGACAGCGCTACGTTATTATTGTTTTGTTGGCTTTGTACGCATTCATTCTCCAGACCTTTCTCGTAAGTGGTAGGCGAAACATTAACGGTTTCAGCCATGGTGTCTGCGTGAATATTGCAAATAGCGCCATCCTTATCAGAGATGCATTCCTGGATATCGCTGTTAGGAACAGGAACGACAATATCGCAGCATTCAATCTCATCATCTGTCAAAAGTAATTATGAAACAGTCCACATATTCGGTTTGAGTTATTTTATATAAATAATGGACATGAAAAATCAATTCAATTGATTGTTGTTCATTTACTGTGATAAAATCAAAAAGATCATTCAGTCAAGTATAAAACTAAAATAAAGATTTATTAACATGATCATTTCTTCAAACGAACGTACACATTTAATTTCTTTAGCACATTAAAATTATTCACCTGCATCGATGAACAATTCATCATGTATACCGATTCCGCTTTCACAGGACAATTTTTTAAGCGACGAACTTCTGCTGATTTTGCTTAAAGATTCTGATTTCGATCCAGATTTTTTAGCTGACGTCACAGAAAAGCTATTAGATCTAATTCTGCTAACTTCTTCGTTTTTTTCACGTGGCTGACTAAAACTTGCCGTTCGATTCCGACGCTTCAAGCCTGAGTTTTGGGATTCATCCGTATTTACTGTAAAAAAGAAACAATCAAGATTCTGAATTATTTTGCTTAAATTTTTTGGCAAAATTCTTTTGCCCTTCAGTTCATTTGTAATAGTATACTCATATAAAATACAAACCATTCAGAAAGTTTGAAGAATACAAATTCGTGTTGAAAGCTGGAGAACTTCGGGAAGCAGTAAGTCGTACTTGTGAAAAGTTCTGAAAATGATCACAGATATTTTAGCAAAATAGACAAGAACAAGATAGCAATTGAATCAGATTTGTATCAACGACATCATAATCAGATTTTGCCTCCGACGAGTCATATTTGAACTCAAAATATTAGTGGTTGTATGCAGTGGTGGGATTCAACCGGTTCGCACCGGCTCTATAGAACCGTCTCACGAAATTTTATGAAATCAGCGAACCGGTTAGCATTACTGGTTTCTGTCAGTCAATGCTCTGTTTGTAACAGAACCGGCTGAAGATAGGACTTTTGTGAAAGAACCGGCTGACAAAAAATTTGAATACCCTCTGGTTGTCTGTACATTCTTCAATTTCAAACATGTTTATATCAAACCTGTTTCCGAATGAAATTCATTGTTAATTTAAAATCACAATACAAACCAAGAATAAACATGACTAATGTCAAACTTACTTTCTCAGTAATTTCGCAGTTTTGGAGAGCATGCTGGGATGACGTTTCTGCCAGCAAGTCAGCTTGACTTAGTTTTCGTTGCCTCGGTCTTGTACAATCGTTCTCCACAATAGGTTTGTTTTGTTCTTTTACATGCTCTGATGAGGACGCATGGTGAGCTTGATGAAGAATCGGCTGAAGTCCATCACCGAATGCCAACAAGAGTTTATAAATCTCATTGACTTGGTTCGATTGTTGCGTAATTATTGTCTCAACTTTGGATATTGTCTCTCGGAGTTGGTGAACTTCTCCATTGAGTGAGGTTAACTTTGATACAATGTCAGAACTTTCATTCATGATTCACTCAATGATGTTAATTAAATATGGGTTAACTGTTATAAGGTAATTGATTGTACGCCCAGTTACATTTAAATTTATTGAACAGCTGCAGATAAAATTTTCCAAATAAGAATTATTTGGATGATAGTTTAGGATGAGTTTGATTTTAGGTTTTTGTACTATATTATACTCTAACTAAGCAATACATAGGTTTTTGTTTAAATAAACTAGAATAACAAGAAAATGTATCTTTCGTGGTAAAATAGTAATAGACAGAATTTAGTATTATTATCTTGTATTATAATGTTTTTATTCACATTCCATGAAATATATATTGTGAACTCATTTACTTAATAAACCAATTAAATAATATAATAGGCCTATCAACCGTTCATTATCTAAGCAATTGCGGTGATAAATCTGAAAAATGAGCGATTTTATTCTAAATGATTTTATAATTTGGCAATTACTGAAAAATGATAATTAACTTCGAAAGGTCAACAATATAAAAATGTGCTTATGTATCTTTGATTAACTTGCGACTACTGCCTTGGAAAAGATATCTTTATTCACCGCAAAATATCTAAATAACGAATTTTCGCTGAATCTAAATGGATATATCCGATAACGATTAATACCTTGGCATTATCATGTTAGGTATAATAAATATTATTATAACTCACGAACCTTTCTCATTTCAATTTCTATCTACAAACGAATATACTTCGACTAACTTTCTATATTTATTAATAGCATACTCATCAAAACAGCTTCAAATGAATAATAATAATTCTTCTTTATTAATCTTATTTAGTTCTAATGAACCCTACACTACGAATATAACTTCTCTCAATACAATTCGTGCAACTGTCTATGTTTGATTGTCATTTGATATTACTGAATCGCCACGCCGTCAAAATCCCTGACAATTTTCTCACTACTGGACTGCGCGAGAACGAGATTTGCGTCATTGTCAGTTCATACCATCTAGGTCATATTCTCAAGATTAATTAATATCGTCTTACTTATTTAATTAATTCATCTCCTGGAAGCTGTAGTTTTAATACGTGAGCCATCATTTAATATTATTCATACATGGTACATGCATAGAACGCTATGTTCGGTATGGACTTCCCGTGCTCAAGTGTTCAAGTCAAATGAAATCAGACGTTTTGGTTGCTGAGACATAAACCAGCTGTTGAATATTTTAGCACTTACATCGCCTGCAGTCTGTATTGTTTCGACGATACTGTTCAAGACAACAACTTTTGTGAACCTCGTTTATAATACTTGTGATGGTAACATTGGAAAATACTACCAGTGTGGACCGAAATAATAATACATTATGAAATATATCAAAAACACAGGATAAATAAACATATGTTTACGTATTCGATATAACCCCAACATGCTCCCGAACTGAAAGAAACAGAAACTGATTAAGTTTGTGAAAAACCACAAATTGTTGTCGTATCGATATTGTATAATAAATGGCAAATACGCCAATTATCTAAAATTGCCCACATAAAAATATTCAATCAAATAAACAGCATGTGGGAAAGTTAATAAAATCCAGATCTTTCTGCATTTTCTAATGTTTTGTAATTGAAAGAATGCATCGCTGAGACGCAGCCACACATGTTTAGAATAAAAATAATCAGCTCCGAAAATTCCAACGAATACTGATTTCAAATTGAAATATAGGAATGAGGGAAATTCAAACTGTAATTACCTACAAGGTCCGTAATTTGAAGAAAAAAATTGACGTAGAACAACGTAATACTATGAATGTCACCCGAAGGCAAATTAGCGTCCGTTAATTAGGATGTATAAAAGCATGTTTTCAATATATTTTCTCAGTTTGTGGTTTTGTTACCAAATTCGACTTTAATGAGAGAACTGTTTCTTCCAGGTTTTATTTGTCTGTAATAAACTTTTCTACAGTTGGTTAAATGCGCCAGGATTAGTTTCATATTTGACCTTAGTTTCACTCCACATGTATAATATTTATTTAATGCCGATTATATATTATTTCTTAGCAAAATTTATACTTAATATTACAGTGTTTTATATTCTAAAGGTACTTTTTCTAGTAATTTTATCATCCTATTTATTAATTCAATGTATTGATTTTTGTTTTACAGGCATATTATTTGTCAATATGTATTTTTTCTATAAGCTGGTATTGTGCTTGATATTATGCACGTCATTTGTAAAATCTCAAAAAAAGACATGTGTGAAACGTGCTCTACTTCAACATTTGGGATCTTGCCCAGGTAAATTATTTTTGCACCAATGTTGTTAAGATATGAATGAGGTTCATAGGGAATAGTGTTATAACAAACTATAGCATCAGTATTGCCATCTCGATTGTTCCTGTCGCGATATATTCTCATCAGCCATGAGGGAAGGTCGATTACGTCGTTTTATTATTTATCTTCTTTCTGTAGAACGTGGTTCGCCATGTAGAGATACATGTGGAGGAGATAAATTACTGGATATAACAACCAGAGAGGAATGTAATGATTATTCAGATTGCTGTTACAGGGATGGAGAATGTATACAATTATCAAGTGAGTCTTTTTGGTATAATTGCATTAATAACATAAAACTAATTTCTGATTTATCATCACCCGACTATGGCGATTGAGAATTTATTAAACCGATCCTTGTTGAAAAGCGACTGACTAAATCTTTATATTTTTATTTATTTTTTCACGAGTAACATATTGAATAATTCCATTCGTATCATGTTTTCAGCTTCTGAAGATGACAATGATCGATATGAAGAAGGTATGAAATATTGACTATATTCTGTTTCAAATGTTATATATTTATTATCACACTTTATTAATAACGCAGAATGTCTTTTACGAAGGTGTAAAACTAAATGAAACGTCTTGCAAATAATTAAAAAAAAATAATAATCTGTGCCAAAAATGTTACCTGTAGTAAACTATAAAATAACTATAAAAATGTATTCATAGTTTGGAAAAGTCGATTGCATACAGTCATTGTCATTTGAATTGATCTCGCGCATCTAAATGTCACAGTTAGAATGAGTAGTCTTACTTCAACCAACAAGAGAATATATTTTAAAAATAAACAGTATATATTAGTAAGAATGTATTAGATTTATAAATAAATATTCACATTTTTACACATACTATCAGATCCAGATCATGAAGAAGAGGAAGACAAATTTGAAAATGAATACCAGAGACATTTCAGAGGTGAGAAAACCGAGTTAAACAAGTTATAATGATAATGGAAACAAACATGTAGTAACAATACATATTTTTGTTGAATTTGTAGATGATACTCCTACTACTTGTAACACCCACAGATTTCCATACAACTGCAGGACAGAATCGTACACTTCGAATAATTTGAAATGTGCCGTAAATATACCATATTGCATGAGGTATGTATTGTGTACTGTGGAATAAATAACACTAAAGCAATTACATTTTAAATTTTATAGATATTGCAATAATTCTCAATAATAAATTTTGAGATTCACACAAAATATGATGACATTTTACATTGCGAGTTCCTTATTTTTTTTTAATTTTTCTGTTAAATATAATACGAGAGAGAAGTTATGTATGCGTTTTTGTTCCATTTCTAATGAAATATTTTTTTTTCATTCAAAACTAATCTAATAAGATGAAGTCGATATACTGTCATTTGTGTTCTAAGGGTCCCGTGCTTCGATGCAATTGCACAACATGAAGTTGAAAATAGTCAAATAGCTTGTTTGTCACATCCTGGATGTTGTTTTGACGAGGAATTGAGTATTCATCGACGCCATTTTGGACAGCGAATATTGCCTGGTGTTCCTGTTTGTCATTACGCTATAAGAAACCATGTCTTTCAAAAGCACGCTAAAAGATATTCAGATACTGTAAGTACAAATATTGCTGTATCTAGGACAGGAATAAATTAAAAATTGTGGTATTCACTCTGGCCATAAGTCTGTACTCCAGTTTTTGTTATTCTGTGGATATTTTTAATTTCAACACACTGGATACTTTTGACAGTTTGGTGGCTGGAACCCGATGTTGACGCCGTGCTTGATTGAATCCGAGAAAGAGAATATCTTTGGTGATTCACCGGGATGTTATATGGTGACAGTAATTGAATACTTTGGACTTCGGGCAAGACAAGCTGGATGGAAAAGTAAGGATTTAATATTGAAACTTTTCAACATTAATGTAAACATGTAATGTTATAATAGAATAAAGTTTTACTGCCTTACCTTTAAGGTCAATTTAAATCGTTTCACACGTTGCTTTGTAATGGAACTCCTTGTTTAACGAACATATATATTTATATATATTATGTATTTTGTTAGAATCGAGAACAGCTCTTCTTATTATGCTTTATCTTTCTCCAGACATCAGTCCTTTGGATTGTCATCTTATCGATGGATGTTTTCGACCTGGTAAAGGATGTGTTTACCCATTCGACCCTTCGGTTGGAATAACTCTCAAGGGCAATGATCCATACGCAACTCCGACTGCTTCAAATGGTTATGGGTATGGTAGACCATTATCAACTAATCCATACGGTAATCCTTTGCCACCTCCGACATCTAACATCCCGTACCAGCGTTACCAGTGTCAAACTTTTAGAAATTTGAAAGATCCTCATTCATTTCTGTCCACGTACCACCAATGCTTGTCCTCGGGATGCTCGTTGGATGTATCGGCACACAATTTATATCTACATCATTTATGGAATGTCAGTCAGACTCTGAGTCCTCGCGGGCGTGATCCATACTGGAAATCGGTGATGTCATATGAAATCAGAGCAGATAATTTCTTAGATGAGTTACAAAAGTATAAAGAAGCATATGACGAGCCCGATTACGATTCTCCAATTTTCCCTCTCAATATCAATCACAATTCTCACTCTCCATTCCCATCACCAACCCATTTGCAATACCAAGCTCCCCCACTTCATCTTTTCCGACACTTTGCCCAGCAGGCAAACAACGATAGATGTCCGTATGAAAGGCCAAAAGTACCAAATTTCGCACCCTTGAAAGGCAGCTTCAGTGGATGCTGCGAAAAGCCACTGTGTTACTTTTCAGCTCAACAGGTGCAGTTAGGCCAGGTCTATTCGGAGTTGACTTATTATTTTTCTGCCTGGAGTGCCTGGAGCAGGTGCACTGCTTCTTGTGGGGGAGGAAAATATCGTCGAGTAAGACGATGTGTATCGCACAACGAAGTCATTTCAGGCGCAGACTGTGAAGGGCAGGAAGAAGTAAAGCCATGTAATGTTGCGCCATGTCCACACTGGACAGATTGGGGTGCGTTTGGAGCGTGTTCAGTTACATGTGGTGGCGGAGTAAAAACCAGAAGACGGCATTGCGTGGGGAAAGTATGCTATGGGAAATCGTCTGAGTCGTTACGGTGCAGTGAAACAATATGCGAGAAGGCGACGCCTTGGGGCTCGTGGTCCACGTGCTCCACCACGTGTGGAAAAGGACAACAATCACGGACGCGTGACTGTTTGGAATTGTGTCCTGACAGCTTCAAATCTTCTGAAGAGCGGGACTGTTTGTCCTACTGCGGAAAAATAGTTTGGACCCCGTGGTCAACGTGTAACGAAACAATTTGCTCAATGCAAAGCACTGCTTCCTGCGTGCATGGGAATTCAACCGGATATTGCCGCGGCGGTACCCCTCGTCCAAAGACAACAGCGTGTACCAAAAAACCTTGTTATTGCAAAAAATTTCCAAGCCGATGTCACAGACCGATATCGTACAGACCACCTCCTCGTCCTATTGTGCACAGACCAATTATTCAGTACCCAAATGTTGCGCAAGCTAGAGGATTCATTCCACAGCCTGTTGCACAACCACGGTTCGGAACCTTTTATGGTTGAGTTAGTTTCATAATCGCTTACAATGTATTAGTCAGTCAGGTTTGAGGAGCTGTGAACGCAGAAGCTGGAATTAAATGGACTATTTTACGCTGCTTGAAATGAAGGCCATATGATGTTTTGGCTTGTGGTTTTTGTTCAACGACCACATGCGATTGGAAAGCTTTTATTCACATTTATTATGCTACGTCCTCACAACATTTTCTATATTGTACTAGTTTTCATGTGTACGCAATTTGATTAGTTTCGCCTCAGAAATAAAGCTATTTTTTGTATTTATATCATTTATTTATAGCATAAAGGACCAATGAGGAGTAGTTGTTTAACTCGTCTTAGAATAGTGCAATTAGTAAATAAAAAAAGTACATTTACATGTCAACACAAAACAGCAACATTGTTAGAAATTTTCAGTAGTAGTAGCGTTCAATCAGTGAGCTTTTATCCTCAAAAGCAATTTCAAGGAACTGACAATAATAAAAATGTATAAAAGCAAAAAACTGACTGAACAAAATTCATTTATTTGGCGAGTGCCTGACGCTACGGCTGGAGCACAATTCAGTAGCCATATACTATGTACAAATCTTCAGACACAAATGTAAGCTGTTTTATCTCTGATAAGTACAATTTACTAGCTACAATAGGCTGTAGTTACAGAATCAGAAATGCAACGAAAATGATAGCTTTGAAATATAAAGATTAACATATTTGACGTAGAATATTGATATAGACTCTTGGCGTATATTGTGACATGTTCGCTTTGTTATATTCTTTAAAAACATAAATTAATGTAAAGGGAAAAGTTGTTGTTGACTTCATACCTCCAAAAATGACAAAGTTAAAATGGTAATAAATATATACACGTATTCAAAATAAAGTTGACAATATTGAGTTATAGAACTATCAAAGTGAATATCAATCAATTCAAGGTTTATCTTCATCTTTGCCCCTTGTCTCAATAGTTATCATATGAGAATGTTTTATCCACGAAGTAATCTTCAGGATTCTGTAAAAATGTTGCAAAGATTGATCAGATTATCCACGAAACTCTTAAAGTTATTTCTTCAAAATGACCATGAGCAAAAAGTAAGTATAAATAATATATCCAATTAACGAGTCCAGCTGCACACTAACACAAATGTATTTCTGTGTGCAGCTGGACTCATTAATTGGATAGTATAGTCAGTCATATTTATTCCAGCTACAGCATCCTTGCAGTATACGCATACGGCTCCACTAGCATAGAGAAAAGATAAGAAGTTAGTCTCGCGCGACCTAACTCAAATAAATAATATGAATGGTGTTTGTGGGACGACAACACTATAGTCTAATATAAAATACACTGCCGCGAAGTATACCGCCCTATTGAGTTTTAAATATTACCTGGTATATATGAGTAATTACGCAGTTACTACTCGTTAATAGCACTCACCACATAAAGAAAATCACTGTAGTTGACCCCGGGCTCATATTCATGAATATAAGGTTCATCTGGCACTTCCAGTGGGGGCTCCAACGTCACAGACACTGAAAAATAAAACATAAAATGTATTTCATAAAATCCTGTAAGTGAGAAATTTAACACAAAGATAATACGAAACCCCTTTAAAGTTTACAATACACCGGGTAGATGTGATTCAAAATACAGCCTTTTAGTAACAAATGTTTTTACTTTCATATCTAGTAGAAAAAAAGTATCAAATAAATAGATAATATAAATTACTTACTTCCGCGTTCCTCGCAAAACGAATCAATCTCCTGATTTATACTCTTGTGGGTTTCACATGATGTAACTTGCATTCTACACAAATTTTCGTACATAACTCCGTCGTTGCCGCAGACACGAGGTCCCTGGTACCCACATTCTTGATAACATTTACATTCCGGAAATCTATCGTCGTGTTCTGAACAAAAGAGATATTTTTATATTGGGTATTTTTTGTCCTGGCTTTAAAAATAAACCTAAATTTTTGTTTGTTATTTTACTGAATTCCGAAGCACGAGATAAGTGAAGAATGATTTGCAAAAATATGCACAGTTTTAAATAATAATAATAACTTCATGACTTGGCATGTAATATATGAAAGAATGCTGTACTCAATATTGTTTCTCGGACTACATTAAAATGTCTGCACTACAAAGCGAATTGTTTTTAGTGATTTGATAACGTTGCTGTATTTGTAGACTGTTGTTTGAACCACATCTCAAGGTGCTTTATGTACAGCTTTATAGACTCACCGATAGTATAAACCTCTCCCTCTTCATGTTGGTTGTATTCTAGAGATGATTCATATCCTAGCAAAAATTGACGGTAATGTCATAGTAATGCACATATCATATATATATATTGATTGAAACTAACAAACAAGTTGAAGTCACATGACATCATCATAATTCAAACGGCCCTGATACGAATGCAGTGATCTAAAGTATTTAAACCCGATAGGTAGGGAAATAGGCAACTCATTCATCATAGTGGACTAATAAATATACTTTTAATCAGATATCGAAATGTGGTTTGCTTGGAAAAAATTAAGTGTCCACAAAAATCGAATTTCAGTGTCCTACATTTATAGAAATATTTTCAAAATTAAGCACGCGATTTAAGACGTAATATAAAATGATTGAAAGTCAAAAAAGGAGGCAAGTATTCGCTTGGACACATCATGAGAAAATCAGTTTATGATATTAAGATATAGCGTGCAAAGTATTTCATATTCAATTATTTTTAGATAAACAGACTGACGAGAAATAGTGCCCGAACATTTTTAACAACCGTAAACTAAGAACAGCTTCTCATTTGTTTGCATAACAAAGTTGTAAGTATAGATTATAACCTATTCGGGTTTATCCAAGAATCTTCATCAAGACGAATGTCTTCTAATGACCAAATACAAAAAAACTTAAAAGACTTAAACAATTCAACAAACCGGGTTCATAATAATCATAAATCTTGACAATCTTGGAAGACAGATTTTCAACATCGACTTCTCTTTGAATTCGAAAGGTTACACATGTTTTACAAACACTTGAAATCTCGTCGAAATAGAAAACAATTTTCGAATTTTCCACTTCATAGCGTTTCAAACTTCTACTTCTGTTTGACAAAGCCTAGAAAAAATGACAAGATATAAATTTGATTTTGATTTTACATCGATCAATTCTACTAGGAATTACGTGGAGGAATTCTACCTCGTTTAGACTTTCAGTGTCGGGAACGTAACCCGTTAAAAGCGGGACTTCCAAAACTGCCATATTCGAAGATCCATCATTTAGCCATCTTCCACATATTTTCATATGAGCTATTTTTTCGATATCCGTATCTTCTTCCAACACCGCACTTTCAGTGTTTGAGCGAATTTCGACCAGTGCTGTGATTAAATTTGGATTCGATTAATTTATAACTGTACATTGCAACTTATGACTGAAATATAAATCCCTTTTCTGAATAATATAATTTGATGTATAGGTAGGCTTACCATATTTCTGAAGCAAAAAACCGGGACGGCGCTGATTGGACAAGCCAAACTTGGTTCGATTCCAGGGGCTTAGTAGTAGTTTAAACGTTTTCCATACTCTTATGGGTGATTACGGGCATCAAAACTAGCTCTAAATCCCATTAAAAAATATCCTCTATTGGTTTTTGCTTCAAATAATGGAAATCGTTCAACTCATTAGAAAACTTCAGAACTTGCACTTTGTTTCAAGCATTTTAGTGATTCACAGTACAGGTGGTGTTAAATTAAAGCATGGTTCATACTTCATATCATAACTATGACATAACAATTTTTCTCTCTATCTGAACTAGTGAAGTGAAACGCAAATCAGTGGTAAATCGGCTGCCTCCGTCAAAAAAAAAAACAATTTTGTCATAGTATCAAATAGAAAAATTATTTATGACCGTCATACTGCAAAACCGGGATATTTGAGTCCATCGCCGGGACGGCAGAAAAAACATGCTAAAACCGCGACTGTCCCGGCTAAACCGGGACGTATGGTAAGCCTATGTATAGGGTATTTTAGATGAGGCCCTTCACTATTTGTCCAATTTTACCGACCTGGTCTTACAGGCTCTCCTGAATCCCTCTTTTTCTTTAATATGCTGGATGGATTTATGTTTTCCAGATTATTCGCCATAACAACGCTCAGTGCAAATTCTTTTTTGTCGTCTGGTTTGGGTATGTTGTAGAGAACGTGTATCTGAAAATGACATTTACAAATACAAAACATTTATCTTAAAAAATTACACATTTTTCACTTTTGTTTTCAACTGGTTGAAAAAATAAATTTGATTATAATCTCGTATATATCAGAACTTCACCTGCAAAAGCGCACATCCATCTCCACTCGCGTTCAGGAATACAGGAATTGGAGTTGGTCCAAGAGGCGGAATTTCCCCTCTTTGTAATATTTCACTGTTTGTGTCGTTTAATATTACGTTCCAAGCGTAGTCAGGGCCTTCCAACGTAACGTTAAGGTGTATTCCTCCAATGTATGAATAAGTTGCATAGGATGAAAGAGCTTGCAATGCAGTGCAGGTATCCTGAAAATGATATTTTCAGTTAGATGTTATCAGTTAGCTGCCAATGTTGAAATGGAAATCGATCATAACTTACTTGAGTTGATATGAAGCCACCTTGAGCATTTCTTTGCTTTGAAATCCACTTGACGATAGGTAATGCTGAAGGAACATCTTGTGTCAAAGTGAAGGCAAGTAGAGCGTAGGATGCCAACTCAATTTCCGCCGATGCGACTAAAAAAGATGTTAAAATATTTATATGCGCAAAGGCTAAATTTGCGTCAATTATAAGATCAAATTAAAAATACCTGTTTGTTTAACTGAATCTCCTAGCATTTTAAATAAAGCATCAGCTGGATGAATATCAGCGACATCTACGTGTCCTTTTAGGGACCAATGCCGATAACTACCGGTCATTGTTTGAATGGACATGTCCATCAGTATCATTCTTGCTTCATCGGCGAAAGGGCTTTTCCCCAAGGTCAGTGCATATGCAGTTAGTGCCGCAGTGTATGGATCTTCATAACTATAAAACATACCCTCCAGGTAGTTGAGCGCTTTTGCAATAGATTCTTCCCGTTTCTGATAACAAAAAATAAATGAATAAACTTTCCCGGGTGGTCTTTTAACTGCGTTATTTGAACAAGTATGCAGCTTATGCAGCTATAAAAATGCCCAAATAAACTATACAGCCAGGAATTATCTTAAAAGTTAAGATATTCAATACCTAGAGCCATCATTCAGTATTCTATTGCACTCTTTTGGGTCATAAATAGACGTAATATGACTGATCCGCCTAAAGCAGGGCACAATTGCTAAAAATAAGTGCTATTAGTATTTTCGGGTATACGATTTTCGACATTATTGTAGGTCAATTATCCAATTCATCATCGAGAACAAAATTTTGGGAATTAAACATTCTTGAAAAGATATACAATATTTGCCATTATAAGTATCGCATCATCTCTAATATTGGTTACGATTTTAAAACCAAATCACGCATTTTTAGCAATTTCATGATATAGAAGTAAATGGCAGTAAATATGATGAATTTTCGTGTCTTCCCTTTGTGTGTTTTCTTAGCAACGGGCAACAAATAAAAAATAGCAACAAGGTGTAATTATTTACCAAAAATCGAGTTGTGAGTGGGATGATTATCAATCATGCTGTTATTTGCATTCAATCATGGACTTATTCATCACCTGGTTATCCGCTTCTGTTTCCAACAATGCGATGACGACATAGGCTGTCAAAGCAACTTTGCGGTTGTTTCCAGCTTGTGCATCCTTGTTTAATATTTTTCCGTATGCCGGGAACGATCCATCATCGAGTTGATGATTTAGAATCCAGTTCATCGGTTTTAGTATTTCTTTTTCGTCGATAAATATGAACTCCCTTGCCGCTGCATACGACTTCAGTACAAACGCAGTGAGCCTACAATATGTTTTTTTATTATGTTGTTACGCAAACTATATTTCCCTATGAAATGCTTTTGATTTCAAATTTTGCAATGGTAGTTTAGTAACGCCATGAACTGGCCTAATTTCATTCATATTTATTACACTGATACTAAAGTAGTTCACCAATCAAGTCGGACAACTATAGGATAATCGATAGTAGCTGTTAGCTGATTACTTTTATTTCATCTGGGACCCACGTTGTCCGATATTTCACCCAAATTTTGCTGATTTTATAATTCACAAGCTCACCTTTATGTGACATTTAATACAATTCTCAAAACCGGAATTTTACTGATGCTGCGGTGGCCATATTAGTCTTTGACCTTTTTGTCTATATATACCTTACATGCTTCCTTGTATATCACATTTTTAATACATAATGACTATAATCGTGAACCAGGCCGTTGTAAATATGTCTAAGAAAATCTTACCACATACTCCCGTAGTGATCGCGTTCACCGAATGCGCTGTATGAGCCACTTCTTCTTCTATACGTCAGTTGCCTCTGATACCCTGTAAATGCACATATGATTTATATTAGCCGCTCATAGCAATGTAACACCTATCTTCTAGTCACGTTGTTTTTAAATACGAATCGAAATGTAGACATGGTCCCAATCACCATTTGAATGAATCTATAGAGCGCATCCTGACCAAAACAACGAAAAATATATATCGACCAGATGTAATTGGATCACCAATCTCACCTTGTACGAGGTATTCCAGAGCCTGGTTCTTTATATCACCAGTCAATTGATTTGTCAACTTCAAGTATTTCATAACGTAGATATTCGGAGCAAAATTAATCATGTTTTGTTCTCCACATCCATATGGAAGTTTCAACAAATTATTCAAATTTCTAAGCGTCGGTCCCATCACATCTCCTGAATCAATCGACAATAAATGGTAAGTTTAAATTAGGAATATCTGACTGGAATACACCTCATTCTAATATTGTTATAAGGCATTGAATTTGATAATATCGCTCAAAAAAACTATCGTACATCTGTTATTTTCAAAGCAATCAGGAAAATTACTTTGACACTGTTTTTATACTGTTGACATGTAAACATGAACTTTATAATATTTGCTAAACTATTTCGACCAGTTCAAAAACCAATCTGTAAAATTTTAAAGTCGACTGAACGGTCTCAGTAAATATCATCACATGTTGAAAGTGTAAAAGCTGTATTTTAACGATATCAAAATTTTACCAATTACTGTTGCATGTCCTCGTATTGATCCCGGAACTGCATAACTTGGAACGTCAAGTTGAAATACTTCTCTAAAGCTTCCTTCGGGATGATCTTAAATACGTATAACTCCAGAGTTTAAAAATTATTTGCAAGCTAAAAATATACATACACTATGATGATGAATATTTACCTCCAGTTGACCACAACCTGAATTCTGCTGCTGATTGACCATTCGTTGCCAATCCAACATATTTAACGTTTATATTTTCTATTCTCAAAAAGAGAAATTGAGAGACTTCTGATTCTTCCATACCGTAACCAACCTAATCAATTCAAAATAAATGTTTTATAAAGTTACAAAAGTAACATAATTTTGATTCAATTAAGTCCTGAAGAACGTTTGACTTGAACTGTTTTGAATCATTCACATACAATTGAATTACACACTTTATTGAGACTCAGAGCACAATCAGCATAGCAGAAATTGTTTATATATGATGAATTGGTTTTTGTATCAGCATTTGGAAAACATTATTTTTCAAATTTTGTTTATGCGTGAATTTGCATTTAATTTATTAGACGCTTTCCAAGAACGACAAAAAGAATGCAAATCCAAAAAAATTTGAACATAGTTGACCGGCTTTTTGAAATTATTCTATATATGTTATATTTTGCAAAAAATTACATTGAGTATACAATAGGAACAACTTTTAAGACATGGCAAAGAAATAACATAATGGTAAGCAACAAAATTATGAAATTCAAGTTTCACGAGGAATATTACGAAAAAATTTAAAGAACTATGTCCTACCGTTATGTTTGTATGGGACCACTGAACCCAAAACGATCTAAATTCTTTGTCACGTAATATGTTTTTCGTCGACGTCGATGCCAAAATTTCACCGTTTTTCTGAATCCAAGATATCATATTTCCTTGACCTCCCAAGATTATTTCGTACGAAGAAACCGATATTTCCTCATCGGTAGTGAGCGCGATATGCACGCTGCTTTGTGCTGCGGAAGTATCAATTTCGGTAAGAAAATATTATTCGGATATAAGTTATTATGTTGATCAATAGATAAGATATCCACGACTGAGTATAACAAAAGAAATACATGATATTTAAACGATCAAGTTAACACGTTAAAAAAAGTTTTATAAAATGTTGTCAAAACTTAGGCGACAAACAAAGAAAGATAACTTCAAAATATATGATATGATAATCCTAACGTTTCTCGGTAATCTATCCGATCTATGCGCGTTGGCTAATATGACTTTATTGCGTCAATTTATTGTCATCCGAGTTGCCAATGAAGGATAATAATTCAAAACCTTTAGTCATGAAGTTGAAGCCGCTTTTCTTGTTGGGAAATTTCACAAAATGCGTAGTTCCGGGCTGTGTTGTGATATTCAACCTTTCATTCGGACAGAAAAACACGCTGTGCGTATATTCTCGAAGATCTCCCTCCGGCTGCAATACATTATAAACAATGTTAGTACCAAATTTGTAAATGGAGAACAGTAAATATTCGAAGTTTAATATTTTTATTTATCTCATAGTAAAAATTTCACCTCCACCAGTATGCTCTTTATTAACGCATCGTTACCCACAACATTCTCTTCCGTGAGATCTATGTTGATAGTATCTGTTTCTTTCCATTTTGCGATCATGCGATTATCTGCGTTACAACAACGATTCGGACCTCCCATTGCGTCCGCAACAGCTATAAAATTTGATGAGAATTGGTCACTGTTTGTTACTATTTTATTGAAAGAATCAAGTGATTTAAAATTAACAAAATTTACCGAGGATCTTTGAACTCCCGAGATTGCTGAAGCCTACTTTAAACTTGGTAACCAAAGATGATTGTCGATCTATGCATAAATACTTTGTTTTCTTGCTCGCCCGATCAGAAGTTTCACCCTCCAATGTTGCCCCAGCAGGAACAGCAAAAGTTAAACGAACCTTAACGAGTAGGCATATGTTTGAACGCCAAAGTTACCCATAAAGCTCATTATAAACGAAATAATAATATCACATTCCTTTGTGCATGTACAAATGCTGAGATAGTCTTACCTCGGTACACACATCGAGATAGTTGTGTAAAGTAACTGGAACTTCCATGTTTTCGCCACGTATAGCCGAGTAAGGCAAATTGAAATCCACAAAGAATGGTTTAACGGCTTGTATTTCGATATTTTCAGCTACTCCTATCCCATTGTTAGGATTTGTGCCGACTGCGTTAAGAACCCACGAAGTAACAGTATCTGGAACTTTGAGTGTGATGGTGTTTTCTTCACTGGAACTATCAATATGGAAAATTACAATAAATATGAATTTTGTAAATTTTTGGTAATAAATATTAAATATTTTTGTATGTACCTTACTGTGAAGCACTTCCAATACCAGGTCTCGGGGAAGAACGATCGCAGTTTTCGACGCTTTCTGTGTTAAAAAGTTATCTTCATTAATATCATTTATAGTAACACTTATCATCAGTAACTTTTCTTAAATTTATGTTTTGAAACCGTTATTTATATACTGGTCATATATAAATTATAGCGATGTAATGCAGAATACCAAGACATACCAATACACCTAGAAACCATTATGTTTGAAATTACAAATTTAAAAACGAGGGATCTTGCATAGACAGAAAGTGAACAGTTCACCTGGATTTAATTTTTGCTGGCGGAGATTGCATTAGTGCTTGCCGACTCAGCTGTGAAAACACTTGAACGTCCTGTTTGTGTTTCAAAGTTACGACGTCCGTCATAACAACAAGACCCGTTTCCAGAAAAGCGTAGAGCGAATCTCTGCTGGTCAATTGTTGACGTCCATGTGCTGATCTTTTCCGTCTTCTGCCAAGTTTTGATGGTCGAAAACCTTCATCTTCAAATGGTAAATTGTCCATGTCGTATGAATATATTTCTTCGAATATCTCAAAAATTAAATATCATACAATTACCATAGTGAATTCACAGACAACTTACCACATTTGGTTACTTTTAAACAATAGGAATATATCGTTTCAGGATGTAAAAAAATGAAATTTTTGCAAAGGCAATAGCATCTATATGCATAAATCTATCTGATGTATTCTAACGTATTAAAGATCGATACCTCATCTTTGGTTAACAAATAGTCAGGCGAAATAAGGTGGAGACTTTTATCAGTTGCACCAAAACATACGCAAGTGTCTTTGGTAGTTTTTATAGTTACGTCGACCGATTGTCCTGGGGCAAGTTGTGTTTTTGACGTGCTTATCGTGACCTGGAATATAAGTTTTTGTTCTGATTCGGTGGTTTTCAACATAATTTTATATGTTTCCTAATAGTAGATCGGTTACCTCGTTTTCCAAAATAGACTCTATTGGTAGGTGAATGCTATCAGCGATACCCTCCCCAGTTGGCAGTACATAATATGCGACCAATTTTGATAAAGGCCCCATGTTTGCCGTCGGTATAAATTGAATAGATGTGTGGCATAAACCCATTTCTGCATCTAAATAGAAAGTTAAAAATATTTTGAAGCGCTGAAAATCGCAGTGAAAACGCTTTGCGTTGCAGACGTCAGCTTGGAAGATTGAACGTAAATATTTATTTGACTCGAGACTTACGTCGTTTCTTGTGTTCGATTGGTCTTTTAAAATTTGCCGACCTACGTCTGCGTTCCTCAATTCGATGGCTATTACTGTCATTCACTTGAAAGGAATCAGATAACACGATTTCACCTCGCGACAAGAACTCGTAATAGAGCGTGAAATCACAGGTGCACGTCGATTTTACCATAATTGATGTATGTTGGTTAACCTGGAAGAAAAACAAATTTTCTGTGGTTTCCAAGACAACATATCAAATAAACAAACGAATAACCGTACCTGCAAGTATTCGTCTGGACTCTCAATCAACAAATGGCATTCACTAGGAGAGTGCCAACTATAAAGATCATGGTACACCGCTAAATACTGGTGTCGGTCTGTGTATGCGCCATCTATGGCAATCGCGCGAGCCTGCGGTAAATAGAAATATGTTATCTTGTTGTTAATCGCGGAAAAGATAAAAAGAATTGCGTCAATTGAACATGGTTGTTTTGTAATTTTTGTAATTTTATTATTATACCCACTTCAAGCCACAAAAATTTCGTCGTTTGCGGCAGAGCAGGAATGGTAAATGTTATGATGCCGTCGGTCGGAGATATCAGTTCCTGGGTCATAAAGGTTTCTTGATTATCTTTCACTTTGAGTTCAATTAAAATATCTTTTGCGCCTGTACCATTCAGATAGCTCGCAAAAATCTGACAAAGGAAGCACCAGTTAGCGATTTGATAATGGAGGACAGCATATAATTGGTAAAATCGATTTGAATTGCAGTTTTTCGATTCTTGGACAAATTTCAGAATATGACTACAAAGACTACACTGTTTGTCTCAGACACGAGCAAGCAATTGCATATTGACATAATTCTGTCTCGAATATTCAATAAAAACTTCGAAATGTTTATTTGTGGCTACATGTTAATATTTATTCGCAAATCATATCATTGTATAAAAAGGTTATTTAATCTTTTCATATTTTAAAGGGATGTAGAAGAATTTAATGAAAAAAATATTTGTTTAAAATATTGACGACGAAAATCGAAAATGTATAGTTTACTCACCTGTCCTTTGAAAGGAATTCCATGTTTAAAATGTTTTCTGGTATTTGCAGTAAATTCTAGCTCAACGAAATTTCTTGACACTATTGTTGTATCATCATATGCTGAAAAACTCGATCCATCATCGCTAATAACGGTGGCCCATATTGCAAGATTTCCACGAAAGTGCCTATTCAAAACTCTGCGGCGCAAATTATCCTGGAGACATATTGCAAATCGCGACTCTCCATGAAACTGAAAATATATAATGAATGATTCCAAATTTAAATTTTTGATGTAAATCTCTTATCGTTTTTCGTGTTTTGAACAACATAAAAATGTAATTAAAATTCAGCATTTTTTTTTTAAATAAAGTAATACCATATGCTTCTAATCATATATAAAAACACAAACCGCCATCTATCATCAATTTCACAATATATCATCACAGTCGTTTACTAAACTCACCGGCATTGACTGCACAATGGTGTTTCCTCTATCCAAATCTCGCACGAAGTATCCTAGACCAGTAACTGTCATATTCACGTGAAGAGTCCCTCTGACCGGTTTACCAAATGTATATTTTGCAGTTACAATTGCTTCTTCGCAAATGGAAAAGTCTCTAAATGTTGTGGGAGGAGTGATGGTGACGTCAAATTTTGGAAGAACTAAAAAGAATACAACCTTATTGATGGAGACAATGATAAACATATGCTAATATTAGTGCACTGCACTAGAATATGTTTTGTTCTTACCATATTTTCCCACTTCAAATGTGGTGTTATATAGATTTCCTTGTAGTTCTGCAAACACAGTCCATTCTCCCAGTAGTGGTTGATCCGACAGTGGAAATGAAACATTAACAGTTCCTGTGTAAAATTGATTCATTGGGAGCTAATATTTGGAAAACTTTTCAAATATTAGCACAACATTTAACAATGTATAAATCTTGCAACTCAATTAGCTGTAGTGCTAAAAGTTCTCATATACCACAAAGAACTACTAAGGAAAGGATGATATATCAGAAGAGTTTTTTGCTATCCGCTTGGAATGCATATTTTATTTGAACTTCAATAGTTTATTACATAATATATTACTTTACAACTCACTGCGATCAGAAAAATAAATCTATCGTAAATTATTTGTTTGCAAACCAATTCTCACCACAGCATGCCGGAGTTAAATCCCTCCATTCGATTATTTTCACGTCACTTGGTCCCTAAATATGAAAAGGTCGTTGTTAGGAAATGCTCGGTTTGTTTACTAAACACAAGATAACGGAAATATTGCAATGTTACCTTCAAATAAATCGTGACCTGAAATTAAAAGAAAGACATTTTATTTACTAGAAATATAAGTTTACAATAATCAAAAAATCACACAATTTACCAATTTCGAGCATTTCGCGGTCAATCAGCTCTGGTATATATATATGATTTTTGCTGTTTAAGATATTTGCATTATAAACATGCCTTTGATATATTGCGAAGTAGCATAATTTAGGTTTTCTCGTAGATAACATAAGAATTGATTTACACAACAATTATCAGAACGTTTTAGACCCAGTAGTATGGTAAGGAATTTAACTTATCTACATTTTTGACATTGTGGTATTTGAAACTGAATTAAAAGCACTTTTTGTGAAGATAGCTGACTTATTATAAAATTATCGTAGGAAACCAAGAGAGATTTACATAACGTACAATAAAGATATAATCTTACATTGTCAGACACCGGTCGTAGATCACGATCAATAGTGTACACATTGATGTTCACTGCAATAAAACAGCCAAAGTTAACGGCTTGAAACAGGAATTTCAAAAGCATATATTTAAAGTATTGACTAGCTCACCTCGCTGAGAAGGTTTATACAGCGGTTTATCAGTTTGAATGAAAGCAGAAGTTCCTTTGTTAATAATTGTTATTGTTGTTGAATTTTGAAAACGAAATGTTGCATGCTGATGGCAATTTCCACAAACTTCCAACATTGCCTTCCCTTCTATACCTTTTGGTATCTAGAAAAAGACATACATGGCTAAAAAATTACTAAAAAATAGGGGAAAACAGACTTACTATGATCTCTTACCTGGAAAGTTATTACTCCGTTATCTAAACAAAATATAGAAAATGGTTAAAATAATACAAGAAAATAATATAAGCCCTGACTACAGTATAGGACTGTATATGAAATATATGTAAAAAAAATGATTCATCATTTATGGCATCTATTGCCTATTCATTACTTTCAATGAAGAAGTCCATTTTGCCTACTCAAAGTACAAAGTTTGCATTTGAGGAAATCGTTGTCGGTAATAACTCTACAATCAAACGTAATAAGTTCAAATTTTCAAAGAAATCAATACATTTAAATTGTATAACATAATTTCTATTGTATGATGTAATCTCGTTCATAGTTTCCTGTGGGCCTTAGATGAATTGAGGATATATGTCGAAAAGCAATTTAACTGTCCATAACTGCCAAATATATCAAATAAATCGGTACTCAAACAAGCTTCATGGTCCAATTACTTTCAAGAAGCACTAGTTGAGCAGCAACAGGCAAATGGTTATTTTCTACTTCCTTATCGCGTTGAAAAACTAGAAATTTATATGACAAATCCAATAGGCGTGATGACCTCGGGTTTAGAGGTTGTTTGTTGGAGTCACAGAGATCAATGGGTACGAGAAGTGGTTCTTCCACGATTACGTAGTAAGGGCAATGTCAAAATGAGCTAATCACACTGTTTTCACAAAGGTTAAACGTTGCATGAAACTCTGTTCGTCAACACCCATTGAATCATCACTATAACGAAGCTCCATGTTCATGCGTATAATGACATAAACGTCCTTAAATAAATATTATCAGAAAGTGATTTCGATTTAATAATCCTTGGTCATATTTCCTCACCTTTAATACTTGAAATTTCCGATGTTATGATTGACTGACCTCGCCAATCAACTATTGTTGCTTTTACAGGTACGGGCTCGTGTTCGCCAAATATCCGTATACTTATAGTTTGATTAACGCCAGATCGAAAAATCGCAGGAGCCAGAATGAGATATCCCCTGCAATTAAAAAATAAGTAACATCTAAAATATAAACGGGAATATTTAAGTTATCATTTTTATATGATTATAATTATTAGAGCAAATAATAGTATCTTCCACTTTGTTATGTTTATGCAGTACATAATAATCTATGATGGCAAAATTGTGCATTAATTACTGAAAAACTGCAATAGAATTCAAAAATTTGACTTACCTTTGCGAACTTGGTTTCTGTGAAGAAATATTTGATATAAATAACAATAAAATTAATGACAACAATAGTTCTAATCGAACTCTTCGACCACCGACGATATTCATATTTTCAATAATAAATATTTAGTCCTTTAGTTGTAACAAAAGTTTGGCGTTTGTGCCAGAAAAAATAAATTTTATATTCTCTTTTTCTTCAAACTTCTTTATCTATTCATTTCGCGTTAAAACGATTGATATTTAATATAAAATAAATTTTAGTCAGCTGAAATTAAAAAAATGTTTCGTCAAATATTTAATATAGAACATATCTAAAACAAGATCTAATCGGATTTGAATGCCAGCTAACGCAGTTCACTATGAATGTATAATTTCTCGCTGAAGAGTTACTACAGATAAATGTATCTGCGTTTTAAAATTGTTCTTTATAACCTAATTCTCCAACATCACCAAAGAAAACTACTCCTTCGAGTTCCAGGTACAACAACAGACGCAAAACGATGACGCCTCACCACCTCAAACCCTATTTATCAGCGTCTATCCGGTCACTTTTTACTCGCAGACGAAAAGCGATCTGTCTCTTATGGTTCAGTCAGCCCTATTTTTACGCGATGAAGTCAGAAGTTTGTGGACTGCACGTTCAACCCTAGCAAGAACCTATTTCTGTTTCGATTGGTAATAGAAAACAATATTCAATTTCATCGTAAACCGCAATATCTTCGAACACGTAAAAACAGAGCATGATCGACAAGCCTATGCAAATAAAAGTGTAATATTCGGTTACAATTTGTATATAAAACTTGTATTATTTGTTCGCAAAAGTACAATACAATACCACTTGTTTCTCCTGTGACGTGACGCATGGTTTGCCTTGGGCACGGTAAATAGTCTTAAGTACATCCAAACTGTTGTCTTGTAAACATACTTTAAGTGGAATATTCGTGGTTTTGAGGATTTCTATCGTGGGAAACTAGAACACACGTTGGCATAAAACAATTAGTGGCATGGATATAAGAATTCATTCTGAATTGTAATGCGCATCACCTAAACACTAGACGAGTTGGAATATAAGCAAAACAAAACAGATTTCGAAAACGTATATAAAGCAGACTACGTGTATTATATTATAAACGTTTTCGTTTGATTTATTACGTTTCGAGTTGAGATTATAACCGAAGGATCCTATACTGACGACTAAAGCTAGTTGAGTGACAAATATCGAAAGACGCTTCCAAGAATGAAAATATATAAAAAAAAACTTCGATCCGAGCAGTAATGCAGGATATTGAATATCATTTTCTTTGCGATTTGATTTAGATTCTTCATATTAAACTATTTATGAGAACATCTAAAAAAACATATGAAGAATATATGAAATTTGTTTGTGTCTAAACAATCGCTGTTACAATTGAATTATAGCCATTGCATTGCCAAAGCTTTTTTCCTAACTGTAATGGTGAAGCATGATTGATTGATTCGAAAGTGGCCTGTGGCTTACAATCACTGAAATTTGTTTTCTTGCCGGTTGTTTTCAAACATATATTACAGTAGACATTTTCAATCTCATCGATCGATGGGGAAAACGAGAAAGACATAGCCGTACGAACCCCGCAATGATCTAAACATATTGTTCTAACAAGAGTAAAATCAGTACCATGTGCATATAAATAGTACGCAGGGTAAAGTGCCTAAAACGCACACTATATATTCTTTTCCAACGAGAAACGCAACAACGTAAATTATTATTTTAAGGTATGGTGAAGTCAATCAGACAATAAGTTGAACTCGATAAAGACTTTTTATATCATTCCAACATCGGTTTTGCGATAATCATGGATAAATAAATTTTATTCATGATTCAATAAGATTTGTCACTGTTTATCAATTTAAAAATCCGGAACAATATCATTTACAGAATTGCAAAGAGATTTTTTTTTGTTTTAGATTTTACCATAATAACCATTTCATTGCATGTCGCAATTTGACTTGATAATTAATTCTGCTTCGTGTCTGCACAAAGTTTTATGTCTGTCTTGGATCTAATTTCCTACTCTGGTTCATCTTTTGCTAATTTTTCTGTAGCCATTGCCAGCAATTCCGACATGTCCTGGTATTGATGAAAAATCTACGAAAATATTTCGCCTCCCGAATGAATATAGAACAGTTTTAATTTTGAAACACGGTATGTAACCTACAGAGAAAATCCTTCTTAATCTTCGAAAAAGATCAGACTATCGTTGACGACCGATGCAAAATAATTCAATCCAAGCATGAACTCGTTGTGAACTTAACATTTTGTCAAGTGTAAACATTTCAGCAACGTTATGCTGTAAAATACAAAATGAAGTATCCGTCTTTGATCCATCCGTATAAATCAATAAGTACTGACCGTAATTCTCGGAAATATATTCGTCACATTCTTATTTACTTATTGACAAGGGATCAGGTTTTGATATAATACTTGGAAGCGATGAATCAATATTTGGAGGTTCCGTTCCCTATGGGAGTAGCTGAAAAGCTGGAACACAATGAACGGAATTTGCTCAAAAACCAGCCGAACTATCTGAAGATTTGATACAAGAGTTATTTCAGATAAATTTCGTGCCATGTTTGTTTTATCCTATATTTGTTTTCGGATGATACATAATTTAATGAAAAGTTGCGTTTATATTTATATCAGTATTATTTTTCTCATTTTACATATTTTAGTGCAAAATAAAAAGCTTCAATACCGTATTCAATTATTGAACGTACTAGGAATCCGCAAAAATTGAGCTCTAAGGTTTCTTTGAAAGCTTCCCTCGCTGGACAAAGTCTTTATCACTTTGGTGTGTTACATGTTCCACAGGAGCTTCGTGCGTCATTTTATTGCCGAACTCAACGCCAAGGTATTTACATGCGGATTTAACTCTCAATTAATGACCATTTATGATAGGGTGCATAGGCTTAGGTGATCTTGAGCGTAAAACCCACTCGATTTTGTCTTTGGGATGCATGACACGACGAACTGAGTTGATTCAATGTCATTTGCATATTCTACACTAGTTCGTTGATTTTTAAATCAATTAACAACGTGCCACAATCTTCAGCAAAGGTTCGTGGTGTCAAAGAATACTTTGTTTGGAAAATAATTTATTATGACCGTAAAAAGCAATAACCTTACAAATCTTTCTTGAAGAACACCATTTCGATATAAAACTCACTAGCGCTTCCACTGGAAGAAGAGCATGGCACAGATTAACTTCGCGAGGTATACTAATTCCATTGCTCTATATATATCTGAAACAACCGGGTGTCTGATTGTATTACATTTATGGTGATATTTTGAAAAATTTACCCGACCACAATTACAAAAGTGTGTAAGACACCAGCAAAGTCGGACAAAAAACTAGAAAAAAACGCAATCTAAAAACGTCACCAATATATTCCTTTGAAAAAAAATAATCCGATCTACCGAATGAATATTTACTACCGTAGCATTCGAGAGTTTCTACAAAAAGACGCAATTTTCAACACTTGTTTACAATTATACAATTATAATGACACCAAGCGAAGAAGTACTCATTGCAGTAGTCTACCACACCTTTAGCATTATCGGTAACCTAAAAAAACTTTCGACTTCCGAGTAGCAACAATTTGTAGAATGAGTCGTCACGCTTGGCGGAGTTAAAACCGTGTTCCCATATTCAAAAAGTAATACAGAGAAATTTTGGAAGAAATATTAGATCTCATAGGATTCATAGAGAATTTAGAAATAAATAAAAGTAATAGCCTTCTGGAAAAAAAATCAATCTTCACCCACTGACAATTTCAAAACAATTGGTCCAGTATTCGAAGAGAAAAGCAATTTTATATTGATGATGAACAAGAACAACAACATAATATTGAAACGATCGTTATGTCCACTAATGTGTCCAATAATATCACCATACCTCATCTCGTGTTGCAAAAGATGCTAGTAGAAACCGCCTATAACTTATTTCGTTCATCGTTTGTTTTGACATATCGATCTTCTTTATCAAGAACCTATGTGTCTTAATTATCTGTAAATTTTAAGGACGGACAATGTGCAGTTGGTGCTATAAGTGTTGTATAATATTTCATCCATAGGAACACTTATAGAACTTAAGGTGATCGAATTTAATAAATTAAGTATTCTCGATGACATGCCAATACAAAATTTAAATTTAAGGAATATATGTTGGCTGGTCCTTCCCAGAGTTACAGAACTTGCAAGCTTCAGCAGACGATTAATAAATTTGCTATATTTAGAACCTGTCTGCTTCCACCGTTGTCCAGAATGAAATCCATTACCGACTACCCTGAAAGAAATCTCCCGCTCAAGATTATTAATGTCCTCGAATGTGTCGAATAAAAAGATGGATATATTCCCAGTTGATATCAGTAGGTGCTCTGTCTATTCCCAAAGAGATCTAGGATAGATGTTACGTAAGTTGGAGGATTCCCCCTCATTGGTTAAAAAGCCTTTTCTTTTAAAGAGATTAAACCTTATCAACCAAGGTTCAAGTAAGTCGTGTGTCATAGAATTGCTAGATTAAAATAGGATTGATAAATTTCATTTTGCTGCGAAGGCTGCACTGGGCCTCTCTATGCCAGAATTGACTGGGGAAAGTAAGAGAGACCAGATGTTTGAGTTTTTCAGCCTGGGAGGCAGCAATTTTAGTCCGAAGACTGACCACGCCCATTCCGCCTTTATTTATGTCATCCTGAGGAACCCTTCTACTTAGAATCTCCATTGGTTCAGAAGACAAGAGAAAAGAAAAAATAGCTCGCCTGGTATGGTAACCGACCACGCATTAAACAGGACCTGAACAAGATTAGTGAGTTTATTATTACAATCTTGCCAGGTGAGAGATCGAGTCTTACTGAGATGGATTATTTTATTAATTGTAGTTATTTTTTCTAGCCAAGTTTTGGCAACCTGGTCTTTTTCAAAGTATTCACCCAAAATTCTTTACGAAATTATTATGGACCGAGATGATAGTAAATTTCTGACCCGTTGCTTGGTGCAAGGAACCTCCGTTTTGTTCCTGTTTATTGCCTGGCCTGTAGAAGTGCGGAAAAGATCCAATCCTTCAAAAATAGCGTCAACCGAATAGGCTATACACGTCCGATACAACAAAAATTGCATCGTCCGCGTACTGGTCTAGTTCATGTTCAAATTTACCAATTTTTATATACCTTTGAATAAACTATTGTTAGCTATTCTCCGGCTGAGGGGCTCCACATTGATAGTGAAAAGAAGCATACTCAGGGCCCAGGGGATATCATTGACGAATGCCTGTTGCGTTAGTCTCCTTTGTGAAGACCCCACTTACCTCAACAACAGTGGTAATATTGGAATACGTGGATTTTATTAATCTCGAGGTGCTCTCACCTATATTAATTTATTCGAGAAGGAGTAATAGGTATTAGTGATTAACCATATCGAACGCCTAGAGATTATCGATACAAACTATGTAACAGGGTATGTTCTTATTACTGGTATAATTTATTGCACTCTAAATATTATAATAAATATCAAGAATACGTCGTCCAGGAATATAGCATTTTTGACAACTATTAATTATATTAGAAGTGGGTTCTATGAGGCGTTTAGTGATGAGTTCAGCTGTGACCTTGTAGTCAACGTTCAGATTTGAGATCGGACGCCAACTGAAGTGTCGGCTTTCTTATAAATTAATCGAATTCTGGCTTTTTTGAAGGAATCTGGCAATATATCACATAACATAATAATATTTATTAGAATGGTGAATTATTTTTTAAATGAGAACCAAAACGCCACATAGAACTCTTTTGAGAAGCCGTCAAGACCTGGTGACTTCCCATTTT